CCCTGCCTCTTTGCGTTCCCTCAGAGCCACGAGCTGCCAAATATAATTTTTTTTTACCTCCGTGCAATCATCGACTGGCGTTCGGCTCATCAAAAAGCACTCCACGGGCAAAAGAGTCCCCCACCCACCCACTTTGCCTCCCGGGCTGGCAGTCCCAATTGCTTTCTGTTCCCACCGAGTCATTTAACGCAGTCTCCTACCACCGTTAGGTGCCGGCCCGGCATTCTCGATGGCGTGGTGGTGGGGGGCACCTGCTCCCTTCCTCCGCAAGTCTCACCACCGAGCACGCGAAGGCGTTTTGCATCTCGGCATGTGTCCTCCCCCCCACCCCAAGAGTGAGGTGCGCGGCAGTGATTCCATTGCCTCGCTCGGTGTCAGGAAGGGGGGCCCACCCACTTCCTGCCTTTAATAAGAAGCCACCGTGCCAGTGTTAAAACAGAGATGCCGGGGTGAGTGCGTCCGCGCAAGTTTGTGTTTAAAAGTGGAAAAAGAAAATATTAGAAAATATGCGCAGACGCATGATGAATTTTATTTGTGGATATTTTGCATTGAAAGGAGACGTGTATGTCTTTCAGTGTATAGTGACATTTTAGCAATCCAGTGTCTCTCGGCTTTGAAACTAACACGTTCCGAATCATACCACCTCATGCTAATATCCACTTCACAGAAGAGGATGTACATTTGCTCATTTCCTGCAGAATTTACAGGGCAAGCTTTGAAAGTTTACTGGCATTCATGAAGATGAAAGGTTTCGGTGTTAAGATAAATAAATTATCGCGTGTTTAACGACACGTTTATATATATATACACGATCTAACCCAAAAAACCTGTATTATGGATATTTCATTTCCGTTTATTTAACCCTTCAATTTCGAAAAAAAATGCGTATTGTTTTAAAATCTCTTGAATATTTGAGCCGTTTCTGGTTATCTCTGTATATATATTGCTTGTCTTGGTTATTTTTTTCCCCTCCCACTTCCATACCCGCGCTCAGCTCGTCTGATATTTTTCCTTTTTTACCGCAAGTCTTGGTTACAGAGGCATCGTGATCGCTAACGGGGGTCTAATCTTTGCCAAAAAACACTTCCCAGTGGTGAGCACCACAGAACCAAAGAGGGGTCCAACTGCTTGCTGTCATCCTGGAGCTTCACTTTCTGTCATCAGTTGGATTCATCGGCTACATTGTTAAGACCGTCGATGCAAGCTCTTTATCGGAGTGGTTTCCTACTCGATTCCAGTGTGAGTAGACATCAGAGTACAGCGTGTGATCATTTTACTTGCTTTGCATCCCTCCTAGTTAGGCCGACTGACCTATGTCCACTGTTGCCGTCTCGCACCAGCCAGCTTTTTTGGCCTTTTATATTTTTTTGTTGAGTTTTGCTTGCGCGCGTAACATCATGTTTGATTTTTTTATGAAATCGGATCCGTTCTAGACACGTGTCCAAATCACCAGAGTTGTCTCCCTCTTGGATATTCTCCAAGCCGCTTGGAGTCGGCCGACCGGGTGGTGCTGGGATGAGCGTCGAGCACAGACGGCTTGTGGGGCCCAGACTGGTGGAATGACGCTCTTTTGCAGTCGCTTGGCCAGCTTGTAGAGATCTCCTCCGGCGAGGCAGTCATCCCAATGGCATTTCCAACTCGACGAGCTGCAGAACGTTGGCGAACGAAAGCCGGCGGGCAAGTCCGCCGAACCTCCGATTTGCGCGGTTTGCTACGTACGGTGCAAAAGAAGTTCAGCATACACGAATACATTAATATGTACATTGTCACCTCTTGTCCGAGTCACTCTTGCTGCTTCATTCTTTTTACTTTCTGTATTCGACACTCATCCATAAGAGCTTTTTTTGTGGTAGATCGCGTAAATGTGTCGTTAAACCTTGCCACCACCCACACAGCCAATTAGTAAGGTTTGTCACGTAAACAAAACGTGTCAATTCGTTGCTAGTTCAGCACACCGGTGTGTTGGATAGTAAACCCACAACATTTACCATTCGAGTACGACGTTTCGCCTATACATGTCCACGAAGCAATTAGTGGTCGTCCGTTCTTGTCCTTTTCAGATGAAGCATGTCTGGTTTCTAGTCTTTTTTCCCTTTGGGTTGAGTGAAATGTGCTCGCCTGTTTCGGGTCATATATAAGCAGTGTCAATTTTCGGAGCAGCCCCAACTGTATGTAGTGTGTCTATTGAAGTCACCCACATGTATAGGCCTGGTGAGTGGCACAGGTGGTGGTGGCCTTTCCTTATTTGGGGGCTTACGCACGATGAGCATCACGTGACCAGCTGTGAGGGTGATTGTCGATGTGTCGCCGCTCGTCGTGAAGGTGGACTTGGAAGTCGAGTCCTCTAGGCCCTGCCTGTTGAACGTAGTGAGGTGGCCATGTTTAGGATGGTAGATTGCAGCACCAAAAGGTGGAACCATTTATTCTGTAACTTGCCATCGGCGCGCTGTCGTCAGTGTGCATCGCCTGTTAGGTGACGATGTCAGTGCCGTTTTCCATTCGGACTCACACGGAGGTCTGCAGTCCTTCAATGTTTAGTTTGTTCACTCAAAGACCTCATCGGTGTCTGGCCCTGAAAATGTACTTTTTCAGCATGTAGCTCTTCTGATGAAATCTGGATTCGATTTAACAACATCAGTTTCACCTTGATGATGTTATTCGTTGTTTAAAATTACACAAAACACGTCCCCGGTGTTCTGAGAGGATACCCATCTCACCCACACCACACGTTACAGTATTAGATGCAATAACCACACTTCTATCATTTAATGCTCGATTGGAAAAGCTACATTAAGTTGTAAAATTTGGGGCAAAGCTGCTGCATGTTGAACTTCTTTCGCACCGTACATAGCCAACCATGCTAATCAGAGGTGCATATCCACTTGGCATGACATTTGTGATGATTGTTTATTTTTCCTTCAAGACAACATTTGATTTAATTTTACATTTTCTTTATAAATAGCATTGCACATTAAGCTTGTTAAACCAATGTTATTGCTATTGTTAGCTCTTACAGAAAAGGCTTAGCATGATGCACTAAATAGAGATGGGATGGATGGGCGGTGAACAGGTTGTGTGGACAAAAGCAGACAAAGAACTGGTGAGCGAGTGTCTATGCATAAATGGACAAGAGTGACAACTGGACAGAATGACAGGGCTAGACTGGATGAATTGAGCAAAGTGATAAAGGCGGACAAATGGGCAGATGAACGGGCACAATGAAGAACAGACAGGACACGGTGACCAAGAAGCCAGACAGATGGATGGGCAGACATTTTTTTGACAGAGGTTTAACAGCAGCAGACAGTGATGATCACATGTACGCACAAAGACAGCAACAGACAATGTGAACAGATGGACAGGAGTCGACGGACATCTGAACACAGGTAGACAAGATGCATCATCAGGAGTCGTGTGGGCAAGGTATTTCGATGCACGCAACAGATTAAGCAATAAATACTTGGCGGAGCGGCAGGAAATGGGGCCTCCTCGCAAGTAGCTTGCTGGGTTCTCTGCACGGCATGTGAATGTAACGCAACGCGATGCAATTTCCGTAGCGGCGTGTTGCCACAGGAGAAGTGAAGTATGTTATTGTGCACGCTGGGTCCTCTGGTTGTGCTGTATATTTGAGTAATAATGCCTGTATTGGTGCCGTTTGAAACCACAATCTCGCACTAACCTATGCAAGTATTATACGGATATGCTGAATAAAATGCAAGTTTGGAAGAAGGAGTTTCCCGTTTCTTTCATAGCTGAGGGTTTAATTTTAAGTTGTCAATTGTTTTGTTCACTTGTGTAAATAAAATAAAACCATTTTAATATGGCCCTTTATTTTTCCAGGTGAGCACCCAACTCGGCTACGAGTGGTATCTGGGGGAAAAAGGTGTTTTTACAGTTTCACTTCAAATTAACTTAGATTAAGGTTTGGCCTGACATTAGTATGTTTACACTGCATTGAAGGACACATCTAATTGAATAGAAGTTTACCCAAGCTATCAATGTATATGCATCACTTCACGGAAATAACGTGAAAATATTGTAAATTAGAAACACCTTAACATGTTGAATTTCAGTTTGCCACGCTTACCAGCCATTTATATTTACATGTCAGTTACACGTTTGCTAAGAATTGGTGGCTACAAAACACGTAATCATATATTTGCGGATGAAATACACTTGTCATTCCAGGAAAGGCCTATTCACTCTGAAGTCCCTTTTATCAGGAGGGTTCTGGCACTGTTGCTTTTGCAGTGTTTTGTCCTTTATACAACGTTTTACAATTGCTGTCATAGATCTTTCCGCAGTCTGTTGTTTTATTCGAGTTTACGGACGATCGTTTATTTTAAAAGAAACTTCCTGATATTTTCCCTCCGCTGCCAGCCCCAGTTTGGGCTGGACACCTGCGTAAAGGAGAATTAATCATGAATCAACAGTGCCCTTCACGATGAAATTGACAGAGCCCTTCACGAGTAAACGACACATTACATCAATAACATTTGAGTTTACTCAAAGCAATAAAATGCATCTTGGACCTGATTTTAGAAACCACCAACACCTTCCTTTTATCAGATGGTGTTCATGGTGTGCATCCCCCATCAACAAAATGTTGACAAGCACGGTGGCACCATGAACACCCTACACGCAGAGATACGCGACTCGCAAAACCGGACTGAGAATGCTCAAACTCGAGCCTACGAACCCACAAACCTCATCAGCTTCTTCCAGCTTCAATAACATGTCTCTCTCCTGGGATGTTTCGTCAAATTCCAGTGAAATATTTTACATGCAGGAGGGAACTTGAGTAACCCATACTCTACCGCCATCTCCTGCCCACGTTGTATCCCTGCACTGGAGTATTGCAACATAACCTGGATCCGCCAACACGCATCCCAAGCTCGGGCACGCTCCCCCGCTCCACCCGCCGTGTGGATGCACCAAGCAACCCTCGTGCTGTCTGTCTTTGCCATTCGTAACAAAAAAAATATTCAACAATGCAAAAGTGCGATACAATTATTTTATTAATCCCGTCTATTTCAGGCACCAAGTTAGAAAACCAACCTGGCAACACGCTAAAATACTTATTTAAACGACCACTAGGTTTAAAAGATGATTACTCAGGATAAAAGTAAAACAGTGCCAAATGGTTTCTTGGCAAACGTGAATGTAGGACACTTTTTAAAAAAATACTGCCATCTACATTAAAACTGTCAAAGCACAGTAGTGGTATGAGGTATTAAGCATTTACTTGATTAAACATTAAACAGTGTCACAGTTACACAAATTAAATATACTTAATTCTGTTTTCCATTCACAAGCCATGAACTCAACAGCCACACTTCATTACGACAATTCTTACATTCTCTGGTATAAATATGGCTATGTAAACCATTATAGGTGGCACCGGGTGCTTCATACAAAAACCTCAGATCCATTGGTCCAGCACCACTGAAATCCTGGTTCAAAGTCCCGTGTGCAACCACCTGTGGTGAAATAGGTTTAGCGTGTACGATGTTACCCGACGTAGTCAGCGTTATCTGCATGAGAAATATGGGTTCGTACATATTTGGCCAATACCGTCTTTGGGTCTTAATTAGCAGTAGGTATAGTACAAGGCACTTATCTATGAAGCTGCAAAATAATGTGCACATTCTTGATTCTGAAAAGAAGCCAGAAGCAATTGTAGGCAGCCTCTTCCATAGGTAATGCCTGATGTACACACCAAGGCTACAATGTGTAAAAGCTGCTCCACAATGTAATTCACCAATTATTAAAAAGGCATAATTTAAAAAAATTAACATTCAAGAGTGATAAACTGGTCACGATTGTGTTTGTATGTGCAAATAAAAAATACAACAGCATGATAACCCATCTGCAGAGGAATTTTAAGATTTGCACCTTCATCACTTCTCGTTCAGATTCACTTTCCTGCCAACTTGCCCCATTCCATTATGAACGTTATACAACGACCACTGTGCACTGCAGTTTAATTTTAAGCATGGCCTGCAGAATCGTGAATACTTTTTTAACTGCTACGGTAAACCAAGTATTCAATAATATATTGAAGCAACCTGCACAGTAGGATAGGGTTCTGTACCATGTTCCAAAACCTATTTTTCCACTTCACAACCGAGCCGTGCCAAGCTAGCCCAGCACAGCTCAAGACGAGCCAGGTTGTTTTTTCCACTGTGGAACCAGTCACGCTGCCGATTTCACAAGCAATTAAAATGCGTAACGTCGGCATCGCACTTTGAGACGTACCGAATGATACAAAATGAATTAGCCCTGGCCCTGCTTGACCCCAAGCCAGATTCAGATGTGACTCCAGGGCATCACGGTTTGGGTTCTGGCTCAGCCTGACACATAGCCGGTGGAAAAACCACCTGTACCACGAGGGCCCCCATACTAGCTCGGCTGTGCCAGCTGAAGAGGGGTACAAGAGACGTCAGGGGGTGGGGGGATCCAGGCAGGTTTCACTGCACCGCCACGCTCAGCATCTCCTGCACGTCCAGCATCTTCTCTCGAGGCTTCCCCAGGGCGGCCCCACGCGTCCGCTCCACCGCGTCAATCCTCTCCCATCCGGAGAAACTCACCGTGGCCACCCCTGCACCATACAACCACGGGCGTGGGCGGGGGGGGGGGGGCAATTCACAATTTGGGTAAATGTACGTGTTAACGTGTCAACTCGGTTAACTGTGACTGCACAAAAAACAAGGCAACCGCGTAGGCAGGCTTGTGCATTTTTCCTGCTACTCTTGAGTTCTGATAGACGTGGCCTGTTCTGACTGTTTGTGCCCTGGCATTGCCTCGCAGATTGCTCAAAGGATTAAACCAAGGATTAAACGAGATTCAAACATTATTGCGGGCATTTCTTGGCGTTTCACTTCTCCTGCAAAGAGATATCGACTGTCACTCTATCTTGTACCAGAAAATCTAAAGTGACAATCCTGGTCTTGATTAAAAGCTGCATAGTTATTCTCAACATAACAAAAAAATTGAGATACATTTGTTGTGGGTGTGAACGTTGGAGCGAGACTTCTTGGAGGCAATGCGTTTATTTCAATAAATGATAACGACGCCAACAGCCGTAACACTTACAGCTATGGCCCCTGTAACACTACGGGGTACGGCCCCGTCACCCGATAACCTAAGGGAGGTACAGCCTCTCTTCTAGCGTGCCCTACACACTTCGGGCTACGCTCTCGCGGGTCCTCCGCTACGGGAACTAGGGGAGGCGAGCCCGACCCGACCTAGCCAGGGTACTGATCTCACCGCTGGTCCGCTGCAACCCGGCTCTGACAAGAGCCCCGGTTGAGGGTCCCAGGGTGCTCGTCTAGTCTTCAGGCGTCTTCGGGTCTTGAGCGGACGAACACTGCCGGTCCCGTTGAGAGGGTTTTTATTCACAAGTTGGGGCTTACCCCACCCTTAACCACACCTTCTCCAGAACCTTCCAGAAGTGTCTGGAAGGGTCTGGAATGAACCGTTGGCACCCATCCCCCAGCCTCCACCCCTTGGGGTGACTAGCCATTCATTCTGTGAGCTCATAGCTTCAATATCTATACTTTTCAAAACCAAACTTAACTGGTGGAAAGTCCTTCACAGTATTGGTAGCTTGGCCAGATAATTCACTTTGTGAAGGCACGTTGATATACGTTTTGCCTTGGGGGGGGGAAGGGGGGGGGGGTAATGTTGGACCTTTGGAAGCCAGAATCTTGTCGATGGCCTGGAACCCCGGTCGACTGGAATCGGCCCCAAGTTTCCCGGTCGCCAGGTCCTCCAGCACGCTCTGCGCCGTCTCGAAGCCATCATTCATGGTGGTGTTGATGACGCCCTGCGGCCCTCGCTTCACCCAGCCGCTGCAGTAGAGCCCTGCATGCGTGAACAAAAGGCACAGAAACGCACCGCACCGTGTGCACAGCGACCACGAGAATTAGAATTCCTACTTGTAAAGCGCCCGTAACACGACAGAGCGTAGAATGCCCAATGTATTAATGGCGATTTACAGTCCAATCGGTCCACTGTTGGGTGAAGGCAAATCTTGCAGGGAGCTCATGTGGGTTGTTATTTTTCTTAACCGTGCTTTACCACGCCGGTCGGTGAGCGTTGGCAGAGTGAGAGGGCCAAGATCACTCACCACTGATGTTAGCCGTGGCCAGGAGTGTAACTCCCAGTAGCAGCACAGTGTGCAGACCACTGCACCACCGCTCCTCCCAATCGTCGCAGTGCGATGATGATTTTATAGTTAGCCAGCTGAGAGAACTGATAGGAGGCGTCTCTTTTTTTAAAGGAAGACTTGAGCATAATAAGCACTTTAATTGAATGAGTAGTCTTGTTGGTGCGCTGGCTACCGAGGCAACCCACATGGAGTCGACAGCTCGATTCCTGTAACCGCACAGTAATTTCTCATCTACACATCACCTTTTTAAAGTTCAGAAAATCCTGTAAAGTAAACTATTAAAACCCAGCAGTACACCGCTCAAGAAATGTGTGCTCGAGACATCTGGCGAGGCACCTTTGACAACACATTGTTGAGTGTTTTTTACCTTGATAACAACACGAGTCCAAGTATTGTTATCAGACACCTCCTAGCCGTCGTATAGACACAAATGTAGCAATATTGGCCCAGGTCACCACCATGATCACCACGAATCCAAAGCCAATCAAACTGCATGTTGCTCAAGTTAATAGCAAATATGGACAAATTGTGAATAATTTTACCTCGCATGATCAATAATTGTTTTTTTAACATTCCCATTGTGCTTCAATGATTCTGCTTTATTGAGAAAACTGCACATTCCATAACTGTAGTAGGCTATTGTTGATTAAGAAAAAAACATTTATATATTCTTCTTTTGCACCGTACGTAGCCAACCATGCTAATCGGAGGTGCGGGGGAAGGACAAACTGAACACAAAAAGCAGTTCTAAAGACATTAGTTTTCAATCTTGATTTAAAAAGTGTATAGCTCTAGTGGCTTCCTTATACGACGGGCCTTTAAAAACGTCTACGCTACTTTAAAGGTCCATGTGAACAAAGCTGCTTCTGTGTTACAGACCTGAATGCAACTTTCCTTCCAAGGCGTTGCACCTTACAATAAACAGAACACAGACAACGGCACTTGTTGCGAGCAACACCACTGCAGGGCAGGGGCAACTGCACGGTTTCGCTTTGCCTCACCCTGCCCAATAATAATTGCAGCGCGTCTCGTGGCATCTGGAGAGGGGACGAAGTGGGGGGGGGGGGGGGTGAGGGGGGTGGGAATTTTGCGGGACCTGGGTGGGCGAGCACGCGGCCACGCGCGTTGGGCACCACGGCACGGCGTGGGTCGAAGGGCACGCCAGGAGCCAGCGGGCGGCTGCGGTAGCCGACGCTGCGCAGGACGGCGCCGCACGCCAGCTGCTCCTCCCGCCCGGTGGACGCCGCAACGGCGCCGTCGCCCTCTCCCTGGTGGGAGGGAGAGAGAGCATCGGGGACGAGGTGAATGGAACCACGTTGATAATATGACTGCTTCCTCTGCTGATTCACTATCAGTCAAATGCAAGGCTAACCTAATTGCTAAATTCAACCACCTATCAAAGAAAACCCCAGTTCCACAGAGCACAAAACTAGACGTTAACAAAATTGTTATCAATCAAAGTAGCACTCCGATTTCGAACAATCTGAAAACAGTATTGGCTAAAGGGTTCAATTTCGCTGTCACCCCAAAACATATACCAATAGATGATATCATTTCTCAGGTCGATGTAGCCCTCAAAGGTATAGGACACATCCAGGCAGACGTCACGAGAGCTGAAATAGCCACTGTTCTTAAGAGTGCTAAGAAACCCGTTAGCAACATCAGCAAAGATGAACGCTCTGAACTCGCGAAATTAAAACAGAGAGATGATATAGTCATCCTCTCAGCCGACAAGGGCAATGCCACTGTAATTATGGATAAGAACTCATACAACAATAAAATTCAGGACCTACTCAATGATGAGAGTTACTCAAAAATTAAAAATGACCCTACTAACAGCCTAACGATTAAAACCAACAAGATCATCACAAATTCGACCTCCCTAATCGAATCAACTAAACTTCCCTCCCTAAAACCCTCCGCTGCGAGACCTCCTAGATTCTATGGTCTTCCCAAGATCCATAAAGAAGGTACCCCACTACGTCCCATCGTGTCCACTATCAACTCCCCTACCTACAAATTGGCCCGTTTTCTGTCAGATACTCTGCTTCCTTTCACTGGCAAGACCGCCTCAGCAGTACTTAACTCATCCCAATTGGTCTCTATGGTCAAAGACATTGTACTGGCCCCTGACGATATCCTCGTCAGCTTTGATGTGGTTTCTCTGTTCACCAAGGTCCCAGTACCTGACACCATTAAAATAATTGAGGATCTGGTCCAATATGGACTAAACCCCGAGGTACCTGCGCTGGTTAGGCACTGCCTCACCAACACCTACTTTACTTGGAATGGTACCTTTTACAATCAAAATGAGGGTACTCCCATGGGTTCCCCCTTGTCACCAGTGATGGCCAATGTTTTCATGGAGAAATTTGAATCGGACGCCATCCAGACATCCACCCTCAGTCCTTCCCTGTGGAAGAGATATGTGGATGACACTTTCGTCATTTGGCCACATGGCCTCCCAGCTTTGAACCTTTTCCTGGACCACATCAATTCCAGACACCCTTCCATCAAATTCACCATGGAAGTAGAGAAAGATGGCAAACTACCATTCTTAGATGTTCTGTTTGAGAGGAGGTCTGATGGTTCGTTGGGACATTCTGTTTACAGAAAGCCCACCCACACAGATTCCTACTTGAAACCGGATTCCCACCACCACCCGGCTCAAAAAACTCTCTCATCAAAACGTTATAACATAGGGCTCATTGCATTTCGGACCAACACTACTTGACCAGTGAATTAAAACATGTACATCTGGCCCTAAGAAGGAATGGATACTCTGACCGTACCATCCGCCAAGCTGTTTCTCCTACCATACAGAAACTACCACTTGATACTCCGATCAAAACCATCACACTAACATACATAGCAAGCGTTACTAAAAAAGATTTCCAAAATTCTAAACAAACACAAGATCCAAGTCCGGTTCAATACAGTACACAAAATTCGTGATCTGATCCCATCCATAAAGGATGTCATCCCTGACTTACAGTACCCCGGTGTTTACAAATTGAGCTGTACCTGTGGTGATTGTTACATCGGGGAGACGAAATGATATATCTCTGACCGAATTCGCGAACATAAATCAGATTTGAAACACGGCAGAACGAATTCATCTGCTGTGGCTGATCACTGTTACAACGCTATGGGTGATCATGAGATTGTCTTTTCCGATACCAAGGTTCTTTGTAAACCTACAGGTTACCACCAAAGATTTGTCCACGAAGCCATTCAGATATACAAACACAGGCATAATTTCAACCGAGAGGATGGTTTCAAATTAAGCCACCGCTGGAAAGACGTTTTGAATCATACCAAACACTAACTAATTTCTAACAGCAATTTCAAGCAGTGGTAAACCAAACAAATTCTTTCCAAACTTTTCTATTTTCCTTTTTCTACTACCCCCTTACAGCACATCTTGGCCGATATTCTGTCCGTTTATATTGCACACACACAGTGACCCATCTCCCGCACCCTCCACACAACAAAAGACGGATTAACTCATCCCTGCACACACACAGCGACCCATCCCTCCGCACCCCACTGAAGTCCCCCCACATGGCCCCCCCCACACCCCCCCCCCCCACCTTGACCTGTATTTAAGCGCTGGGTTCCCAGACCCTCGCCACTTGGTGCAGTGATTTTGGCTGTGACTGGTCCCACCTGATGAAGGAAGCTTGCGTTGCCTCCAAAACGTCGTGTTTTAATTGTTTCTTTTCTTTTCTTTTTAATTTGTTTTTTACCTACGTGACTTTACCGAATAGAACCATAGAGTAGGTGTATTTGTGTTAATCTTCTTTTTGTACCGTACGTAGCCAACCGTGCTAACCACTCATGGATGCGCACATAAACAGCACGGCGTGCTTACAGATCAACGTTGATTCTCCCTACGCTGCTCACGACTAGCGCAGCAAATTCCGCACGTGAAATCGATTATGAAATTATGCAAATCGTGTGCGTATGTTTTGGTTGGGTAAACCAAAAAAATAAAACACTTTTCATTTTACTAGGTAAAGCCCACTGAGCTACACAGTTCTTTTTCCTGAAGCTACCTTGACACAAATAGGAGCTCAACGAAGTGGCTTATCATCATGTGGAAATGTATAGCCGCAAAATACTCAAAACGCATGTTTATAAATGTATAGGGGTAAACCCAAGGACCTGGAGAAAAATCCATGCGACCACAGGGAGGGCATGCAAACTCCAAATATTACAGCAGGCGTCAGTCAGGTTCGAACCCACGTCCTGTATACCAGGCGAGGCAGTTAACATCTCACCACCATGGCACCCCGTGGAGTTTTTGGCGCAGCAAATAGCGCCCCACACGACAAGCCCGGCAACCAGAGTTTTTCTGTTTAGTAGGCAAGGCCTCACCTCCAGCTGGTTCACAGTAAAGCGCACTGCCGCCACGTGAGGGCTGGCCCCCCCGTCCGAGGCCACGATGCTGGTGGGGCTGCGCAGGAAGAGCAGCTCCCACTCGCGGCCGCCTGCCTCCACCGCAGGGTCACGTGACCTCTGCTCCGTCGCCGCCTTGAGCAGCAGCTCGGATAGCCGTTTGCGCGGCCGAGGGAGGCCTGACCCGACAAGGAGACACGCGCGCACGCACACATGTGCACGTTTACACACGGACACACGTACAAAGATAAATAGTCCGCATAGAGGAACACCTTGCACTTTCGTCTGGTTAGGGACCAGAGCATGGACGATTGTCAAAAATGGACGAATGTCAAAGCAGAGCTTTTATTTAGCACAAAAATAAGAATGAATACTCTACATGTGTTTTATAATCACGAAAACTATGAACACTTTAGAATTATACTGTTATCAGTATAATACTCCAGTGTTTATAGTGTAATCACAGAAAGAAGTACAGTATTAATATATGAATATACACAAATATAAGAGATGCTCATTGAACGACTTCTATTCAAAGGATGAACGAAAAAGACGGCGCGTGGCGCGAACATTGTGGAAGGTTTGGGATGAAAACGGCCGAAAGAGCGAAGCGACGAAAGTCAAGTGGACGAAAGTCAAGGTATCGCTGTATATAGCCTTCACCAGAATGTTGGGGCAAGTGCTGTTAGCGAGCACCTATCAAGGCCGGCACGGCACACGAGGGGGAGGGGGGCGTGGCGTGGCCAGAGCCTTGCCTGGCCGTCTTTCTCTCCCGAGTGCCGATGTTTACACACCACACCAGGTACTTATTTAAGGCCGAATCGACCGAGGGCGGGCCCAGGACCGGTTCAGATAATCGTCAATGGCGTTGGCCGTGAGCAGGAATCGAACATGGGTCGCCGGGTTCGTAGCGCAACGTGCGAACAACTGTGCCACCGTATACCTAACAAAGACACACACATTCACAGAGGCGCATGCGTGCACACACAAGGACACAGGCGCAAACGCGCAAACAATCCAATACACGCAAACCTTGACTTCATATTTAATACAGCAACATGCTCTGTAACCAGACAAGAGTCAATTGAATCAACGTGCCTTTGTCAAGATAGAGCCTGGGAAACGAGGTGAAAGGGACACGTGTGGATTACTCTCCATGCCTAGAGTATACTTCTTCTAAAATCAACCCAGCATAAAATAACTAGCCAGTGGAAGCGACCGGCGAACCAGAACCAGCTGTGTCTGGTACTGGCTCCATCACCTCATTGCAGTTAAGTTTGACAGGTGCCCACTAAAAGCACGTGGCGAAAGTCTAACCTGGCCGTCATCGACAACGCATGCCCGTATGTGTGCGTCGTACTGCTAAGCGCGTCTTTAAAGCCGTCAAAGTCGGCAGGATTGATAACGGCTCTTGTATCGGGCAGATGAATCATCTCCCTGAGCTCCTGAAGAAAAGACAGCAGAAAAAAAACAATCAGTTTGACTTGCAAATGACAATTGCTCGTGACTGCAGCGTCACCTGCCACTTGGTACATGTGGAGTTCAGTTGTGAAGCAGTGGCAACGGGTGCAAAGTGGGCGAGTCATTAACTTGGATGACGATCAATTTAAAACAATAAAATGTGTTTTACTATTCCACTTGTGTGTCAATTAAGCAACGAGGAAAACTGCAACGCACTCTGCAAGCACAGTAAAGCGTTCACAATGACGAGCAAACATTTGACGCGTGACTTTTAACAAAAGTGCTCTCTTAGGGAACAAAAAAATCACGGAAACATGCAGTTTACAAATAAAATGTAATCAACACTTCAAGATAACCAAACATTACTTTCACAAAAAATGTTTACGAATTCACTTAGTTGCATCACGTTACAGCACCCTACCCCGGAGTCATACAAAAATCCGATGATGACGATGATGAGAATTCTATTCTATTTAGAATTTTCTCTATCATACCCCAGCCGGTTACCTTGATGGTGAAGGCCACTTGCAGAGGTCCCCGACGGCCGGCCAACACAACCTTGCGCACGCGACTTCGAGTGATGGCCTCCAGCGCCGGCTGAGTGATGTCTGTTTTCTGAATAATAAATTACGAGTTCATGGAGATGCTGGTGGGATAAGTGGCATACATCGCAGAGCTTTGTCTGCTGTGCGGCCCTGCCCTCCCCCACGACCCAACCCCACCCCCTCCTCTTGAATGGCCAGGGGGACTCAGCGGTGCTGCCTTGGCTGCCCGGCCTGTCCCGAGGCCTCGTTGTTGTTGTTGTCGTTGGTGCTGGGTCCTGGTAGCTCAGTCCCACACTGTGCCTCGGTGTCTCTTTCCTCCCGTGGATCCCCTCAACCAGAGATCCCCCCCATCTGTTACTCTGAAATACTTTTTCCATTTTTGCAAAGGGTCTTGAGGTGCAATTTTATTTAGATGCTATTGAAATTATTGTTGTCCGCAGCCAAGATTAACAGTCCAAATAATCAGAATAATGGCCATAAGGATGATGATGATGACGGAATTATTGTGAATAATGATATTCATTAGGATATGGTCATCGAGTCATGATGGAACTGTTTCACAAGCGGGTTCCTTTCGGTCAGATTTTTGGCAAAAAATTCCTGATGTTTTCATTCATTACCAACAGACAGGCAAATCGCCAAGACTCTGTTTTGGCTGTCAAGATGTATATCTTTGCCCAAAGGTTCCTGTGCTGAAATAACTACCAGATGTTATTGATATCTAATGGCAGTCCTAAGCCAGTGCTGTAAGTCATGCCGTCCCTTCACAGCAATGTAGACATCCAACAAAAATACATTCTCATCAATCTCAGAGGGATATAATGAGCCACGTTAACCTCTGGCCAGGATTTGAACTCGCAACCTTCCGATACTTCTCAAAGGTAGCCAGTGCGGGTTGATGAAGAGTTACGAGGGGTCCCAGGACTGGTTCAAATATCACTCACCACTAACGTCAAAATTAATTCACCATGGTCGGGTATGAAACAGTCCTCTGGCATCATAGTGCAGTGGGCTAACCACTGCCTCACCGTCTCCATCTATAGAGGTAATACTAGCAGTGATACATGTGTTGGTGGCGATGTTGGTGTCGTTGTCGGGGACGGTGGCGGTGTTGGTGTCGTTGCCGGGGACCGTGGCGATGCTGGCGGTGTTGGTGTCGTTGCCGGGGACGGTGGCGGTGTTGGTGGCGGTGTTGGTGTTGGTGTCGTTGCCGGGGACGGTGGCGGTGTTGGTGGCGGTGTTGGTGTCATTGCCGGGAACAGTGGCGGTGTTGGTGTGGTTGCCGGGGACGGTGGCGGTGTTGGCGGTGTTGGTGTCGTTGCCGGGGACGGTGGCGGTGTTGGTGGCGGTGTTGGTGTCGTTGCCGGGGACGGTGGCGATGTTGGCGGTGTTGGTGTCGTTGCCGGGGACGGTGGCGATGTTGGTGGCGGTGTTGGTGTCGTTGCCGGGAACGGTGGCGGTGTTGGTGTGGTTGCCGGGGACGGTGGCGGTTTTGGTGTCGTTGCCGGGGACGGTGGCGGTGTTGGTGGCATTGCCGGGGACGGTGGCGGTGTTGGTGGCGTTGCCGGGGACGGTGGCGGTGTTGGTGGCATTGCCGGGGACAGTGGCGGTGTTGGTGGCGTTGCCGGGGACGGTGGCGATGTTGGTGGCGTTGCCGGGGACGGTGGTGATGATAGTGATAGAGGGTGATGATCTTGGTGGTGATAAAGATGTTGGTGGTGATGGTGATGTCAGTAGTAGTGGTGGTGACGATGTCAGTAGTAGTGGTGGTGATGGTGACGATGTTGATGGTGATGGCGAATGGTGGTGGTCGTGGTGACAGTGGCTGTGTATCCCTCCACTACTTCCTGTCCGCATCCTTAAAACCTTCCCCAACCTCACCCCTCCCTTTCGTCACTCTTCATTGCCATCCCTTCCCCTCCCCAACACTCAAACACCATCCCTTTTTCCCCATCAGCGAATACTAATGTACAATTTATAATTCATATAAAAGCGCTTTGACAAAATAACTTTATAAAATCTTAGATAATAAAAAAGATGGCGATGGTGGTGGTGGTGATGGTGGTGGTGGCAATGGTGCCAGTAGTGGTTTACCTGCAGCCAGGAGATTGGAGACAGTAAAATGCGAGCAACGTCTAGAGCCACGTTCCCTTGTCCCAGCACAACGACCGTGTCGCAGCTCAGGTCTGGGTTCAGCTGCACCGCGAACGCAGGGGATGGGCATCGTCAGTACAGACAAGCAAAAAAAATAGTCCCATATAAGTGTTAACGTTTTTTTGAAGCACTCTGTATTTAACAAAATAAAAAAAGCTCATTAAATCGCCGATTTTGTTCCTCATTCTCCACGACGACGCCAACGATTATTTTGTGCTCAAATTTCCCCCGGTGGTGCGGGTGACTCACGTCCTTATTATGGGGCAGCCCGTTGTACCAGCCCACAAAGTCTCGAGCGGAGTACACTCCACGCAGGTCCTCACCAGGGATACCCAGCGCCCGGTCATCCTCCGCTCCGTAGCTCTAAACACGCCTCAGGCAAGCATCCGTCATTACTTCTAATGCGTCACTTTCTGGCCAGGATGGCTCCTTTACCAGAGGAAAAAAAAACATCGATTGTAAGGTCACAAAGTTCAAATCCCCGTCGCATCGACTCGGCCCATATATCAACCATCGGTGAGATAAAATAATGCACCGAGCGCTACTGATAAATAATTCAGTTTGAGTGTTCTATTTATTTATACCTCAGGGCCATACTATTGCTGGTGATATCAATACACAAGGACCTGTTCATTCAAAATAACCCAACCCCTACAAATGTTCCCACAATTCGATGAAGGGAGACAATTCACAGTGCAATTAGATTCAGGAATCATGGTGTTGTTCGTTCACATTGTGTTGTGTCTCATTCCTGTCTTGTCCACATTTGCCTAAATGTAATTTTAACATATTGCATACAATTTTCACGAATCATAAACAAATAGGTCTCGCATGCACGATTCGTTGCACGGATAATGAGCGACTTCCGTGACACGCCGCGTAGAGGGTACTACTTCTTTATTTCTCACACTGGGCATAACACAGGCCAACCTTATCCGTCTTTCTCTGAGTAGAACACTTAGATATTAACGTCTCTCTACTAGCTACACACACAGCCGATCACTCGGTGTGGTCCCACCGCCCTCACTCTGCCACGCCGCTGGTTGACGGCATGACGAGGATGGTGATGGAAACCCCGCAGGACAGCTTCCATGTGGCCGTACGACGGAGATGACGGCGAGCAGCGACGCTGTCCGGACCCATGAATCCACACGCGAACCCCGAGCCCGCCCCCGCTTATATCTCCCCAGGCGTGGCTAGGCTCCGCCTCTGGCCACGCCCTCTCGTGGAACCTTCGAGCAGGTTCCCGGAGCATCTCGGCCAACCCCGCCTATGACCTTTGCCCCGGATAGCTCTCCCTTCCCGGATTGGATGTTATCTTAGCGGTGCCCGTACCCGTGCTTCCCTTTCCCAGCCAGCAGGTGTCATCATGTCATTACACAAGTATTAAGCATGCATGAGTCTGCATCATTCCAAGCATACTTGCCATGAGTTGCCTTAACTCTGTTTCAAATTGAGGGGGTCACCATTCAAAAAACAAAACGGTAACCCAGGAAAGCCTGCATGGAGCTACCAAGAGTGGCGAGAGAACCATCGTCGCAAGCCCGCCCCGCCCGCAAGGTGGCCTGGGCGTTGTTATCCATTTTCACGACTCCATAAACGTTTGCTCACCAGCACGATGGCGTGGTACGCGTGCCGCAGCTCCTCCACGGACACGTCGCGTCCGACCGTCACGTTGCCGAGGAAGCGAAACCTCTCCGAGCGAGCCGTTTGCGTGAAGGTGTTGATGACGTTCTGCGTGGACGGCGCACAGACGTTGGCACTCCGCTGACATTTAACCACGCAAAAGGCGCCTGCGCCAAATACTGGCTCAGAAACGCGCGATACTAGCAGAACAATGTAACATAAGCTGAACGGTGCACAAAGAAGCATAGAGGATGCAGGTTGGGAATTAAACAGAATAATGCACCAAGTGGATCAGAGACAATTGTATTATTAGTTCGTATCTCAGTCCGCTTGTCCTGGTGAGGGTCGCGGTGACATTTTATTGAATTTTTGTTTTTAAATGGGCTTGGGCAAGACATTACTATATCAGGATGATAGCCGACAGATGAGGCCAGCCATGGAATGGCAGCCAGACGGGATGAAATATTAGCACAAGATTAAAATAACACCACAGGAACATCAAATAATCACAAACAGTTGTTGGCAGTTGCCGAAAATGCTTTCCAACAAAGTAGCCAAGGCTATGGCGAGTAACAACTCGTGATACAACCTGAAAGCATTTAATATTAAATTAAACTAACACAACATTTTTAAAACATTACTATTTACTATAATTAACTACGATGAATGTTTCACTACATAAGTGTATGCACTTTCATATTAACATATCTAACATTAATAGGGTTTTTCCCCTTTTTTCTGGCAACAAAACTGAAACCTTTTTTACAAGGATTCATGTCTGCATTAACCACAATACCTGCAGTCAAAATGCAAACAAAAAACAAACTATGATAATATATGCATTGTCCTTGAAACTGATTGGTCCACACCAAGGGACGGCTTTCTTTTGAGCCTCGACCCAATTGGTACTCGACCAGATGACGCCAAAAGGCAAAGGAGGTCTAATGATGTAATGATGTAGATGCTCACCCCGAGCCCTCATTACTTTGATAGTGTATTGTCTTTGAGCTGTACGCCTTTTGGCGTCATCTGGTCGAGCACCAATTGGGTCGAGGCTCAAAAGAAAGCCGTCCCTTGGTGTGAACCGATCAGTTTCAAGGACAATGCATATATTATCATAGTAAGTTTTTTGTTTGCATTTTGACTGCAGGTATTGTGGTTAATGCAGACATGAATCCTTGTAAAAAAGGTTTCAGTTTTGTTGCCAGAAAAAAAAGGGGAAAAACCCTATTATTACATTTTTGTACTGGCAAAGGAGGTCTAATGATATCTAACATTATTTATGATAATGTAACATTATGTATTTTTCTATACCTTTAGGTATCACTTGCTGCCACTTCAGATTCTTGTCAGAGGACACTGATGACATCACACCACCTATTTAAAGGCCCAAGATTGGAGGACATTTTCTCGATTCTGGCAATCGGCCGGATGGTGCTGGTTGTAACCACCAGTGAAAAACGTCCACACCCGATTGTTGTACGTATTGGCATTGCTCACCAGCGTTACTGCTGTGCTGAAGAAATAATAAATAGGCACGTATAGTTCAAGTGGTAACTTTATTCTAGGTGTTCGACACAAATTGATGTTTTACTCTGGAGGCAAAGTTACCTAAAAATCACATGAATCGTCACATTTCATGTCCATTTGGAGTTATTTTTTTATTACTATTGTGCAGTTATTGGTGCCTGGGATGAGACCATAAACTCGGTACACGAGAAGAACCTGACTTAATCACAGGTACCTGTCTGGATTATAAGTCAGTGATGCTGGCTCAGTGTTCCAATAAACCCACCTAATCCCATTAGTTGCTGTCACAGGGACAGAGAGCGAGAGAAATATACAACTACCGTTAGCCACCAGGTATTTACAAGCCTCGTGATGGTGATGCTGTAACCTCACCTTAACTTCGGGGTGATCTGGAGCGACACCAAAACGAACGAGGCCAAAAGGCACCGGCAGACGCTCAAACATGTCCACCCGAACAGCCTGCTGATGCTGCACTCGAGCAAACGCACAAACACACACGGGCGCAAGCATGGTTAGTGCCACACGGAGACAACCATAGCTGCATCAGTGATGCTATATGAGCAGTACTCTGTTCAACAGGACACCCAATGCTGATTTGAAATGGAGTTGAAGCCAATCTAAAGGTTTATGAACATTCCATTGTGGACTGGTGCATGTTATAGAGGGCAAATAGACAGTGACCTCTCCACCTTTATAGCGACGGAGAGGTCTTCGTCAAGCAGCACAAGATATATAATTGGCTGAGATTGTAGATGACTTCAACAGAAAACTATATCCGGTTCTCAAAGTTAAAATGTGTTTACTATTTCTGTGGAACGTATCACGGACACGGTTTTATCAGGAACCTTCAAATGTATGCAAGCAAAGTTCTGACCTTCGATGCCAACATTGGCTCACAGAGCATAATCTACACTGCGACCATGCTCGGAGACGCATCAGCAAGGCTGCTTTCAGGCTCCTCTTGACATTTAAAACGGAGGTTCTTTGCAAGCCATCTGGCTACCTTGAGAAATTCGTTCATGAGGCTATCCACATATACAAACAGAGACAATTTCAACCGAGAAGATGGATTCTGGCCGAGCAATCATTGGAAGGATTTGATCAACCATTTCGGGTCTTAATTGATTGTTCACGCTTACGGTGGCTTTCAGACCGCATCCATTATTTTCGTCTCCCCCCTCCACTTTTCCGATCATAGATAGACTCGTCCATCTGAATAACTGCCAAATCGCTCTCCGTGGTGCTAACGTTTAAAAAAAAGCCACTTTTTCAAATTTTCTTGCCGTGGTTTTCACACCTGATGATGATTGCTTGTGTTGCAGTCGAAACGTCGTGAGAATTTTATTGCTTTATATTTTTATTATTTTATTGTTTCCCTTCTACGTGACTTTACTGAAAGAACCAAGAATAGAAATATGGTGATAAAGCTGCGTTCAGTTGTCATTTTTACTTGGGAAGTTTTAAGCCGTGGCTGCATGGTTATGCGAGGCGAGGCGTTGTTGCTGCAGCGACAACCCACGGCATCACGAGCGGTTTCGGCGTCAGACCGTGTGAAATGGGGATTTCCAGATTTGGACAAAAACAGCCACTGCAATGCGTGCATTCAGATGCACTTCTGCAGCCATCTGGAACGCTCTTCCTTCTGATATTAGGAAGCTACTGGAGCTATGCACTTTTAAATTTAGATTGAAAAACATTTTTTGAGAACTGATTTTTGTGTATAGTTTGTGGTCCTTCCCCCGCTCCTCCGATTAGCACGCTGGCTATATATTGTGCAAAAGAAGTTCAACGTATATACAAACTAGGGAGCAGAGGAAACTAACTGCAGCTCCAACCCAGCCTGGATCGATTGTTGTGGCGTAATAGTATGCATGAAGCCAACAAAGGTCAGTGCACAGAATTATGAAAAGAGAATCAGGCATTCAGTGATAACATTTTCAGTTTTCGATCCTGAGAAGGATCAATTGCAGCTAATAATTATTCCTGTGCGTAGATGAAATGAGTATCACCAGGTAAACTACACCACCTGATGGAAAGTCAGGATGGGTTTTCATACCGAGACTGGCCTTCAACATAGAAATGTGGCCGATGCATCGCTTGTTTCGGACCACAAATGAAGCCGAGCACAGCTTAAATGTTCATTCAAGCATGCGACACCGTGCCATTTTGGTTGATGTCAATGCATAATTAAGATTATATAGATTATTTTGGTGCTATAAATGTCCAAATGATGAGCCACTTTGTTGCGCTATAATTTGTGGCTGGGTCGCTTCTTAAAAACAAGTTAATACATCAGTGGGCTTTGCCTGGTAGGATGGGGATGGTTTCGTGTTGTATTTGTTTGTGTGATTTGTTTACCTCTCTTGCACTTTGCACTGCTATCTTGTGTTAGTACTGTTTGTTGTTGCAACGTTCTTACCCGCCCCTACTTGACATTTGTAAAAAAGAGCTTCATAGCTCAGATTCCTCTAGTATAAATACATATTTTTTATAATTACGTTACCATAACGTTATTACATCTAGGATAGCTGCCACCAGTGAGCTGTCATTGTTTCAACAACACACAAACATGTCCACACTGTGTAGAGATGAGCTCTCAGCCTTAATCAATGTGCAAAACCACCCGTTCCTGAAGTACTGCATCCATAAATTTAGCAAATGTACCAATCATCAGGCAGCAATGAGACAGACACAACTGTAGACCCGTTTCATTTGAATTAAAACTCATCAGTACAGCACTCGCCGATGCTCAGTACTGACAAATCTGCCTCAAAGAGACCGCAATTCTACACTTCGAGACCCCATTACCTTGACTAATTGCAACAATAATTTCAAGATGGAAATGATGAGAACACCCCATCAGAACATAAAAATGAGTGCAGGTCGGAAAATGAATGTTTCAACAGCGCACAAAAGCGTGTACCGAGTAGTGTTGTTCAAACCTTTCCTATTCAGGGACTCCACACTTTTATTGAACTTGCCGCGCTGTCTGTTTATATTCTTTCAAATCTACGAAGCTTAACGAGCTGAAATTTCAACAGATTTGTCTCACGTGACAATTCAAGATTTCATTAAACAGGTCCAGGTCCCGTCAATCCTGGGCCTATTCGTGTTTTTAACTAAATTTTGATGTAAAGCTTTCGTGACTGCAAGGATTCATATTCTTGGTTCTTTCGGTAAAGTCACGTAGAAGGGAAACAATAAAATAATAAAAATATAAAACAATAAAATTCTCACGACGTTTCGACTGCAACACAAGCAATCATCATCAGGTGTGAAAACCACAGCAAGAAATTTTGAAAAAAGTTTGAAAAAAGTGGCCACTTTTTTCAAATGTTCTTGCTGTGGTTTTCACACCTGATGAGGATTGCTTGCGTTGCAGTCGAAACGTCGTGAGAATTGTATTGTTTTATATTTGTATTATTTCATTGTTTCCCTTCTACGCGACTTTACCGAAAGAACCAAGAATATAAATTTTAGTAATTAATAATCCCACATTCTGCCCCCCTCCATTTCAAATCACGAATGGCCATGCCCAGCTACGCGGGAAAACGTCTTGTCCAATCAGAGCTGCTATTGTTGGGGAGCCTCTGACCAATGAGAGGCGTGCTTATATTACCGCTCGTCATGGCGCCGGAGCGGCTGCTGTGGTTCCCTCTTGCTTAGCGCGAGACCAATAATTACAATATTAATATTCTTTGAGTCTTTCGGTAAAGTCACGTAGATAGGTTCAATGAAAATAACAAAAAACTACGACGTTTTGATCGCAACAAAAGCGGTCGTCAATCCCCCCCCCAGTAGTTCTTTTTGTTATTTTTTGTTATTTTCTTTTAACCTTTCTACATGACTTTACAGAAAGACCCAAAGAATATGAATTCCTGTAGTCACGAAAGCTTTAAGTCAAGATACAATAATAATTACTATTGCCAAAATAATTACATATTTATGTTAATAAATAGTATCATCATTTGCTTTGTCACACGCCCGTTCCGGCGTGCTGCACGCAACATGGTTATGCTCAAGTTGAGCGAGCGGTTGAGAAGCGTGATTATAATGAAATGCCATGTTATACCTATTTTGATTGGCAAAATATTATAATTATGATTGTTGATATGATTCAATGAAAGTGCTCAATCCGTGCATGTTGATTACGGTCTCGCAATATGCACTATTACAGCATTGCAGCCTAATTAATGATGGCAAATACCACAATTAAAGCGCATTATACGCATCGTGTTGGTCTAAATGTAATTTCGTTACTTTGCAATCGGGGTTATCGTCATTCCAATTGTAATAGCAATGCTGCGTGCTATCAATATTTCGTTACGTTGACTTGGTTGTCAAGCAATGCGCATGCTTTCATTTTATTGTAGGGTCAAAAGTTGACATTGGCAAGCCATCATTGTCATCTCAACAGGGTAATAAAATACGTATCACTTTGTGCAAAGTCGTCAGTGGTTGTTATAAATGGCCCCTGCCATGGTAATGTGGAATTGCCACTGGTGGAGATGAGCGCCGCACAATTCCCGTAGGAGCATAAAGACCTTTTGTTAACCCACTGCTGGATGAGGGCCTTGCTGGGTGTGGAGGCCGTTTGACCATACGTCATCCCGGCTGGTCAGTGCGGATTGGTAAAGTCAGGCAGCATAGACGTACAATACAACTGGATACAAACATAACGTGGCCCCACAGCCCCATGACAATATAATTTATTTTCTACTTTTGAGTGCAAATAAAAGAGTGTGCATTGAAAAAATAGTTAACCTAATTTTTTTACTCTTGTAAATGGCGTTTCCAGTCACGTAAATATTTGAAGTATGCCACCCTTATTTGGTCCAACACACGTGAGCACAGTGAATGCAAGGGAAAGTGCATGGCAGTTGCAGTCACCGAAACGTACAGCATCTTATTCCTAAGCCGCGAGGAACCCACTGACAACGCTATTAGAGCAAATCTATCAAGTTAATACCTTGAAATCCCCTCGCGTGACACGGTCACGAGATGCTAGACTAGCGAGCTGAAGTGTTTGTTTGTTTAACAACCGCGGCAATAAGAAAGATCGCGACTTGTCGAGTCTCACCATTGTGGTGTAGCTATAATTACGACCCGAATTGTAAATTTGCAATCAAATGCACAGTGAACAATGCAAAGTGGTCAGATTATTTGGTGATACAGCGCTCGCCGTGGTGCACAAGCGAATACAACAAAAACTCAACACGTTCGTCAGTAGCAAGAAACGTCGCCTTGTTATATATTTGTCCTTGGAAGACGGCGTTATTATTGACGAATGCTTGAGTTTTTTCGAGTAAGACGTCGAGTCCGGCCGAGCCTCACTCCTCGTGAGGTACGAGAGGGCGTGGGGGAAGGCCATTACGAGAAGACGCCCTCCCCGCCGCATGGCCTCGCTGACACCCACAGGAGGCATCTACTCGCAACGGGCCGTGCAGCGAAAGGATTCCTCAATAAAAGGAATCAACGCGAGAGGAGACGCACCGTATAGTGTAAAGAGAGCAAATGTAACATGTTCGTGAAGACAACGAAGGTGATGATAATGATGAATAATTTGATAAACCTGAAACGCGATACAGTACCATGACCATCATCTGCAAAACTCATGGGCAATTATATAATTTTATACGCAAACCTCAAGTGTCGCCGCTGTCACAACAGGAATGTAACACAAGTGCTCACTATTAATGGCACTGCAGACCTCGATTTATTTGGATATTTAGCTACATGGGATCAATAAGTACGAGTAAACAGTGCAAAGTAAATAAGGTCAAAAGGTCAGTGGGTAAATATATTGGTGTGGCATTGAGCCCTGTGGGGGTAGGACGGGGGAGGGGAAAGGGAGGGGGAGCAGCAGGACGGAGTAAGGCGCGTGCAGTTTATCATCTTTACGAAGAGCGGATAACAAGAAAACATGAACAGAGGGGAAGTTGAGCGAGAATTGACCGAGATGCTTTGGACGCGTGGCCAGGTCGGACGACGTTAGAAGGAAAGTTGAAACCGTGAAAGTTTATTGAAGGAGAAAGATGGGGGAGATCGAAGAAGATGTGGTGGGCGAGACGTTGTCAACGAGTACGTGCAATGGCGATGGCTCGAAGACCGCGGCAAGAGGGGAGTTGATACGTGGACCCCACCTAGTGGGACTAATGCTCGGAAGAAGATAAGGAGCAGGTAAGTAGCGTTTCGGGGTTTTTTTTTTCTCCCCCATACCCGTGGGACTAGGTGCCACTGGCCACCAATGACGAGCCGCCACCGGCTCTACGATGACCACCTGACCTTCAGCAAGTGCTGCGCCGTGTAGAAGCCAGCAGGGCCACTGCCGACAATGCAGACGTGTGGGTCGGCAGGGTGGATGGCGGATGACGACGCCATAAGCCTGCGCTCGGGCGCCCATGCTGCAAGCAATAAGGTCGGTTACACAATGCTCTATATCAAAGGATCAACAACCTGCGGCTCTTTGAGGACTGCTCCGTGACGTTATTCACACGCAATGCGGCACTTGAAATGTGGAGGTTTTTTTTCTACCGAATTCGAAAACATGGCTAATTCTGGATATTTTGGTTGCCGAACTCTGAACGACATGCATTAATTTGAGAATACATTAACATTTTAACATCCTTTCCAGGAAATGTAAAATGTTGCAAATGCTAACGTCACTAATGGTGGAAGGGCCTTTATCAGGGAGAGCTCTAAGGAGCCCTTTTTGAGGGTATTTTACCTGCTCTTCCATGCTGACCAGGCATCTTACAAGAAAGTGGTGGGAGTACACAAACTTCACCCCATCACACACGACCAGCCGATTGACTGTGGTGCACCCGTTTATACTGCTGGGTAGACAGACGAGGGGGAATTTAAAGACTTGCACCGCTGTTTCAATTTGCTGCACCAGATCATCGAATTGAATCAGTGACCCTCTAGATTGCAACTCCACTGGAACTTAACAAATTATACCACAGCAGCTTTCTAATTCAGAAATTAAGATGCCCGTACCCACGCTTGCAAAGATGTATTCGGCAACGTGCAGGTGATTTTCAAGTGTGCATTTGGACAATTATGGCGACAGTGGTCTCATTCTTGCGACTGGTTCTTTAGACTGTCATTTTTACAGCATTACTATGTCAATTATCCCGCAATGAGAATACTATTTGTTTTCATCATCTTGATACAAGCAAAAAGGGTCCCATTGAATAATGCGTTTACACAGACAAATAACGCTGTTCAAAAGTTTGCAAAGGGGACCCCCCCCCCCCCTTCTAGGGTACACTGGTCCAATACCTCAAGTATTTTCTGGGTCACCACGATTCAAGTCTGCACACGAGGATCGCAAAATATTTGCAGTAGGTTGAATAAACGGCTGGAAAGTGCAACGCACCTAGGCAAACGCATGGTGTGTTCCCACCGAGCAATACAAGTACATTGGATTGATGATGCGCGTGGCCAAGGTTCACTTGGCAGAAACACACACACTGCACCAAGTACGTACAACACAGTCTAGAGACGACGAAACTGCCTGGCCGGCGGACCACGTGCTCAACATGCGTGGAGGAATGAATGAATGAAGTTCACGGGGACAGAAACCACAGCAGTAGCAATAGAAGAGCGATACGGGGCACGGGGGAGGGGGGAGCCGGTGAAGATAATTGGCGAGTGCCCGTTGTTGTTGGAGGGCGACTGGCAGAAATACATACACACAGAGACATTGGGGACATTGAGATAGTGGAGACAAAGATCCCTCGTATTGCATTGAGCTAATGATGGGGCAAGAGGTGTTAACGAGTAGCGATGTCTATGAAGGCCGGAACGGCACACAGAGGGGGTGGGTGTTGAGCACCACACCCGGCCGTCTTTGTCTCCCCCAGTGACGATGTTTACACACCGCAACCAGGTACTCATTTGAGGCCGAGTCGACCTAGGGGAGGCCCGGGACCGGTTCAGCTAATCGTCACCGGTGTTGGTGGCCGTGAGCGGGAATCGAACTTGGGTCGCCGGGTTCGTAGCGCAGCGCGCGAACCACACAACACTGCCAGACCGCCAACACCCCGCCATTCACCACGGCGCCCGTGCCAGGCTAGGTGCACTTTGAAGCCCACGTGAAGTGTCGAAGGGCTCGCTGCCAGGAGGCCTCGGGACAGACCCAGCTGGTGCAATGGGTTGGCCGACTGAGATGACCGGTAGATGCACTGCACCCACAGAGACATTGAGACACGGCAAGACACCCACACACACAGAGAGAGAGAGAGAGAGACAGAGAGAGACAAAGAGCAAACTCACCGCGGCGGAGCAACTTGGCCATGAGCTGGTCGCGAACTCCCCGCAGTGCAGCTACGCCGCCGCCGGCACACAGTCTCATGGCCACAGGCAATCAACGAGATTATTCTTTCAGTTCCCCCGCTTTACAGTGGAGCTGGGGGGGGGATGCACTCGCGGCGTTGAGATATTTACGAAACGCGCTTCTGGTGGTGTGAACGCGGCGAGACCACCGCAATGAACACCACGCGCAATATACCATAGACACTGTGCAGGCGCCACTCGCGCCTTCACTGTATTTATACTGTTGGAGGCCGGGGCATACCACTTGGGCCAGCTACGGATGGGGGGGAGGGTGGGGAATGTGCCGGTTGATGCAATGGTTTCGTCCAAGTTATGCATTTATTTTTTTGTTAAATGTGAAAATAAGTCTGTGTTGTGAATATCAGCTGTTATTGCATTTAAAGAGATTGTGAATACTATCGCCGGGAGGGTGTTTTGTGTCAGGGACTTATATATGTTTTCCTATAATGTATTTATGATATATAAGTGGGCCGTATCATATTATGCAAGCTCGAGATGGGGGTGGGGGGGGGCATCTGATTGAGGTTCACAATAGTTTAATCTAATTTATGCATCTTTAAAAACGTGAAATGTCATTTGCCCGTGGGAGCTGATCGATACGGAACTGTTACAAATCCGATTTATTGTTACAAAAATAATCATACGGTAGTATTCTTCGAGAAATATTAATATTTTGAGGGTTGGCAGTGGGTCCTCTGGTTCAGACAGGTTGACAACCAATTAGAACGGTTGTTATTTTCTATTAAAATTACACCATATTCATGACTTTTCCTATTCTAATGCAAATGCCACGGATAACAAACGTGGAAAAAGGTTGATACACCACATATTTGAGATAGTTTTTTTTGTTTTGCTGAATGACTTTTGGCTGGAGGGATGGACGGGCGCAGGGTCTTGCCCAAATGATGTTTGGGTTGTTATTCTCATAAAAAAAAAACTTCAATGTTTCGCTTGGCGAGGACATTCCCCAAAAATGGTTTCCTTTCCCAATTAACATTGTCCCTGAAACAGTAAATAAATTAACCTTCAATGCAAACTAATGGGAGTCAAAATTTTGAAAAGATCAAGATGAAATAAGTGCGTTTGTGGACCTATCTGTACATAACTTTTTAAAATATCAATTTGAATGCATGGGTTTTCTTCATACTTTCCAATTTCTTCCCACAAGCAGTGCACTAATTTAGAAATAAATGGCCCAAAATGTCAAATATCCTTTTGCAGGACCCTCATGAATGAAAAGAGGATAACTTACGTGAAGACTAATGTATAATTGTATGCGATATTTGCAACCATTTCAAAATATAATAACATGCACAAAATAATTCAAAGTACTTTATTATAATAAGATCGCGTCCCCTACTGGCTATGCCCTGTACGTTTCCTTGTGTCTGCCACATCCCTTTTAATACATGAGAGTTAGCGTAATGATTTCCCATCTCAGATTTGCGAGCCATTCTGAGCGGGCTTGTTTTGAGCACATGGTATAAAAAAAATATTAATCATGGTTAATCGCCGACTCTGGATGGAAATGTTCTCCCCACTAAGCGGGGAGCTCTTGGGAGCAAGAATATAACGCAGAGTAGCACAATAACTCAAACTCTGAAGTTTATTCGCCGACCACATTCTCTCGATGAGACCATTACGTTCGTCAGTACAGGTAATACTGATGGTCGGTATCCTTAAGTTTAAACAGGAGATAGCATAAACCCATTGAGTTATACATGTGTAGTGACTAACTCGGAGATGATAAGACTTGGAGGCACTTCTTTATTTAACGAGTCCGACTATTATCGGCGACGCCGCTTAGAACAGTTGGTAGGCTGTCTCGCTGGCGGCGGCCCGCGATGGTAAAGACGGAGACGACGACGGGAAGAATCCACTCCAACAACAGCCCCGAGGCCCCTCTGATGGGGCCCTCTTATACTGTCAGCGTGGCCTCGCTCCGCCCTTGGCCACGCCCCCTTTCTGGAACCTACCAGCGGGTTCCTGCTGGGCCCCTTCTGTGACCTTTTCCCCCTCGACCCCCCTCTCGTGTCTGTCATGGCCTGCTGATGTCAGGACTGCTGTATGCCGCAGATGCACTTTTCCGCCAGCAGGCAGCGCTATGCCACTACACTTGCAACGACACAACCTCTTTTGCAAGGGCGACCTTAGTTACCACTATGCCACATTTAAGCTCACAGAAAATCTTTAAATATTTTAATTTACCAAGGCGGAAACACAGCGATAAGGAGATGGAGCGGTGACATTCTATTCATTTGCAGGTGCTGAATGGATTATTACATCGTAGCAGGAACGTTGTCTGGAGAGGTCTTCATCCAGCATAATAAATAAGCCACTTTATTGAGCTATCATTTGTGTACAGGTCGCTTTAAAAAATAAGTTCATACATCAGTGGGCTTTACCTGGTAAAATAAAAAAATGGTAAATTTTATTGTTTTATATTTTATTATCTTATTGTTTCCCTTCAACATGACTTTACCGAAAGAACCAAGAATATGAACCACTGCAGTCACGAAAGCTTTAAATGAAAATTTGATTTGTTTAGCTTTCCTATACTTTGCACCCCTATCGTGTTTTTGCATTTTTTGTTGTTGTATCATTCTGACCCGACCCTACTGAACACGTGTGAAAAAGAGCCTTATAGCTCATCGGATTCCTCCAGTATAAACAAACATTCTTATAGCCTGCTGACTCCTGATGAAGTTTGCTGAGCACAACGACGCTGCTGCTGCTGCTGTTGTTGATAATGATGATGATGATCGTGACGACGGGGCCGGGTGTGGTGTCACTTCGCACGAAACCCATTTGCACTTTGCACAGCAGCACTCGCTTCACTTCTGTTCCGAGAAGGCCACGCCTCGGCCGCGACGTCGAGTGGCGGAGGAGGAGGAGAGACGAGAGAGAGCGAGAGAGAGAGAGAGCGAGAGACACAAATCGCGTGCGTCTAACGGGGCCGCGGCAATCGGGCCCCCCCCCCCGACCAATGAGCCGGCCCGCGAGCCGAGCTGTACCGTGTTGGTGGTGGGGGTTGTGGTGGTGGTGGTTGGTGGTGGTGGGGGTTGTAGTGGGGGTTGGTGGTGGTGGTGGGGGTTGTGGTGGGGGTTGGTGGTGGTGGTGGGGGTTGTGGTGGGGGTTGGTGGGGGTTGTGGTGGTGGTTGGTGGTGGTGGTGGGGGTTGTGGTGGGGGTTGGTGGGGGTTGGTGGTGGTTTTGGTGGGGGTTGGTGGTGGTTGTGGTGGGGGTTGTGATGGGGGTTAGTGGTGGTGGGGGTTGGTGGTGGTTTTGGTGGTGGGGGTTGTGGTGGGGGTTGGTGGTGGTGGGGGTTGGTGGTGGTTGTGGTGGTGGTGGTTGTGGTGGGGGTTGTGGTGGTTGTTAGGGTGGTGGGGGGCCGTGATGGTGGTGGTGGGGGGGGGGCGTGATGGTGGTGGTGGTGGGGGGGGGCGTGATGGTGGTGGGGGGGGGCGTGATGGTGGTGGGGGGGGGGCGTGATGGTGGTGGGGGGGGCGTGATGGTGGTGGGGGGGCGTGATGGTGGTGGGGGGGGCGTGATGGTGGTGGGGGGGCGTGAGTCTTCCCGGAAGCCGCTCGGTGCCGTGAGCTGGCCACGTGCGTCACTGCTGCTCAAAACAATTCGCCCCTGCCTGGTTTCGCCGTCCTGCGTGCGGCTGGTTGAGGAAGCTGTCTGCCTATTTAAACTCGTCTCGGCATCCCTCGCTCGCCTCACTCGTGCCCACACGGAGGAGGAGGAAGAAGAGGAAAAGGAGTAGGAGTAGGAAAAGGCTCGTCTGCCGTGGCTTGGGTGGAGGGAGTTGTGTTAATGCCTCGGCGTTGTGTCGTGCGCCCGTTGTCAAGTTGTTGACGGCGCCCTCGTTCTTTGGTGGTTTGGAGGCTTCCCCTGCGTGTGGCGCAGAGGGGTTTTGACTGTCGAGACGAGGAGGAAGAAGAAGCGGTGGAGACGGAGAGAGAGAGAGATTGGCCAGCCGAGGTTCGTACCCGCTGCTGCCGCCGCCGCCGCCTTTTGTTTGGAGATTGAGGTTGGTTTTTTGGTTGTGTCGTGACTTTAAAAAGAAAATGTTGGTTATAGTTATGTTCGCAAGTGGTGGACAAAAATAACGAACCAAAAAAATACCTCAATACATTTCGTTAACACCGCTGACCCTAAAATAAAAAGTAAGGCGACGTTTCGGGCAATGGCCCTTCGTCGTAGCACGTAAAGAGGGAAGGCAGAAAGAAGGGCCACGGCCCGAAACGTCGCCTATTATATGTTTATTTTTTCTCAGTGTTACTGACGAACGTGTTGAGTTGTTGTTTGATGTTTGCCTGCATCGTTCGGTACTTATCGATGCTTCCTTTCAAACTGGAATAACCCGATAAATTATTTTGTTGGCGCGTCACATCCAATCTCGTCGTAATGTTGTCATAACACATTTTTGTTTTCAATTGTTTGAGGATGAGAACTCTGAAGGATATTTATTACTAATGTTTAAAAAAATACATATATTTAGTTTACGTATCCCGGCAAATCGTCGCGTTGCTGCTGTCTGTGGGTTGCGATGCGAGGCGCGGTTTGGCGCCTCCGGACTTGCAAATCCACAGGTCGCAAATGTTGCCCGTGAGATCTCTCTCTCTGTCTCTCTACGTTAAACAAATATACTTTTAAAACATTATGAGGTTCTCCCACCTCTTCCTAAACGTAGAAAAGAGTAGGCCAAACACACACACCTCTCTCTCTAGAGAGACTTCTTCTCGAGCTGACACCAAAATGGTGGCGTGAGAAATTGTGTAGCAGTCAAATTAGTTTGTTTTAAAATATCTCTTATGCAAATGATAATCTATCGAACTACCTTCTTCGTTAATAAAGTATTAAAGCTTTCGTGACTGCATACAATTACTCATTGTTTTTTTCGGTAAAGTCACGTGTGTAGAAATACAATAAAAAAATTGTTTTAATATAATTTTATTGTATTTCTACATACGTGACTTTACCGAAAAAAAATCAATGAGTACCTTCTTCGTTATCACCGACTGGCCGCGTATCGTGAGGTCATCACCCTGCCAGTTGATTGATCAAAGCGCCGTGAATCGATCGATTGATGCGAAGACGATTTGTTAACATAGCAGCAGCAGCAGCCCCGGTTTTTGTTTACAATCCGCTGCTGGATGTGTGGGATTGTTTGACCATACTTCACCAGCCTGGCACACCTGGACAACCCCATACGGTTTACCCGTATTCTTGTACAGGGGAAATTGAGTGGGGTGGGGAATGTCTTAGTTTGTGTTTCTCGCTAGTGATGGGACTTTGTAGGATGCACGTTGAGATTTATAATGGGCACGGGTGTGACCAATAAGGTTTGAATTGGTCCGTAATAAGATCGGCACTGATAAGGGGTTGACAGGTGTGATTATAGACAGAGACCCATAGAGATACATAAAGACCCATAGAGATACATAAAGACCCACAGAGATACATAAAGACCCACAGAGATACATAGAGACCCATAGAGATACATAGAGACCCACAGAGATAATACCCATAGAGATACATAGAGACCCGCGCAGATACATAGAGACCCATAGAGATACATAGAGACCCACAGAGATACATAGAGACCCATAGAGATACAGAGACCCATAGAGATACATAGAGACCCATAGAGATACATAGAGACCCATAGAGATACATAGAGACCCACAGAGATACATAGAGACACAGAGATACATAGAGACCCACAGATACATAAAGACCCATAGAGATACATAGAGACCCATAGAGATACATAGAGAACCGCAGATACATAGAGACCCATAGAGATACATAGAGACCCGCAGAGATACATAGACCCACGCAGATACATAGAGACCCAGAGAGATACAGAGACCCATAGAGATAGAGACCCACGCAGATAGATAGAGACCCATAGAGATACATAGAGACCCATAGAGATACATCGATAATGCATAACTGTCAACCCATATGGTTTACCCCCTATTCTTGTACCGGTAAATTTAGTTTTCAGGTCCATACGGCGTACAGCCGTTTCAAAACGGGCACAACAAAACACATTTGTGTGTGTTTCTCCCGTGTGATGGGACTTTGTAGGATGAACCTTGATATTTAAAGGGCACAGGGTGACCAATAATGTCTGAATTGATTTGAAGCTTTCGTAACTGCAGGAATCCATACTCTTTGGTTCTTTCGGTGAAGTCGCGTAGGTATAAAATAAATCACGACGTTTCGGGCGCAATACAAGCGTCCGTCATCAGGTGGGAAAGCCTTGGTCTGCTGCTGAGGCAGACTGTTTTTAAAAGGTTTGAAATGGGTGTAGCCCCTGGGTCATAAAGAAGTGGGCGGGGCTAGTGATGTTAATGTGAGAATTTAGCGTGTAACTGTAAGATAGGAAAGCGGCTTCCTCGACGAGGGCACGGAAGTGGCCATGTTAATGTGAGAGATTAGCATGATGTTAATGTAAGATCGAAGAGTGGTGCAATCCAAAGGCATGAGTGCAACCCAACGGGTGCAATCCAAAGGACATGAGAGTGCAATGCAAAGGACATGAGAGTGCAATGCAAAGGACATGTGAGCATGAGAGATCTATGAGAGAGGCATAGATAGGCCTCGGCAAGGAAAGGTAAAAGGTAAAAACCACGAGCCTACCTTTACCCTACCTTTAACCCTTACCCCATACAAATGACCCGATTACAGGGTAATTACTGGGGTACTCCACATGAAAAAGGTTTATAACAGGTAAATGCTAGGTAGAGCGCTTTATTAATATAGAATACACGCCTTTTAACTCACTCTGGCTGTTGTATTGTCAAATCTTGTAACTCAATTTTAACCCACATCCCAATGTGGTATCGACTGCAAACTTGGTATACTTTTGTCATACTTATGACAATACTATATTCTATCATTAAAATTTTAAAATATATTTTTAAACATTATTTATGTTATGTTTCGGCTTGGCTCTAATTGTCCACTGTCAACTGACGTTGGCTGTAATTGGCCACGGTCCCTTACATTATGGCATGCTCCGGGGCCACTTCCTGGAGTCGTGGAATTCTGCCATTACTCGTACGGTACATTTCATACAGGCGTGTTTTAAAAAAAAGTTTTTACTTATTAAATGGAGGCCACGGACTGCGCCACGGAGCTTTTAGCGGTAAACAAGGTACCGTATTTACCGGGTAATACTTCGCGCTACCTTTACCCTACCCTTTACCTTACCCCTTACCTTACCCCTTGGCATGTCGACACTTACCCTTTACCTTTTTACCCGGTAAAAAGGGTAGATTACCTTACCTTGCCGAGGCCTAGGCATAGAGAGACACACAGTCGGAAATAACAGCTGTTATTTCGTCTAGGAGGCCGCTTTGGATTGCACCACTCTTCGATCTCACATTAACATCATGCTAATCTCTCACATTAACATAGCCACTTCCGTGCTCTCGTCTCGGAGGCCGCTCTCCTATCTTACAGTTACATGCTAATTTCTCACATTAACATCACTAGCCCCGACCACTTCTTTATGACTCTTGAGCTACACCCATTTCAAACCTTTTAAAACAGTCTGCCTCAGCAGCAGACCATGCTTTCCCGCCTGATGAAGGATGCTTATGTTGCGCCCGAAACATCGTGATTTATTTTATTTGATCCCTAAGTGACTTTACCGAAAGAACCAAAGAGTAAGGTCTGAATTGGTCTGCAATAAGGTAGGGCACTGATAAGGGGTTGACAGGTATGTGATGGAAGGTGCGAATTGGTAACGGCAGGTGTAGGGGTAGGGGTGGCGCACCATACCACAGTTGTTTGTCTTGATCCGAGTACAAATTTTACGCAATGCACACCACGTTGGTATCGAGAGATCGGCTGTCTCAGGAACTTGTGGAAGTTTAAGACCAGAAGTAGGTGGATTGCTTCACTATTCTGGCAAATCGCCCGGTGATGCTGGATGTAATTACCAGCAAAACATAGTACTACTCAAATAGTAAATGTTGTGGATTTACTCTCCCAACACGCCGGTGGGCTGGAGTAGTAACAAGTTGACGCATTGTTTACGTGACAAACCTTACTGGCCGTGTTGGGTGGTGGAGGGTTACGACACAATTATACTTACGCGATCTAACCCAAAAACCTTTATTATGTTACTCGGTTAATAACTATTTTTGTTTAAACGTTTACACTGCACTTTTGATGTCGTATATTTACGGTGTTTGAGTACAAATGGAATCTCTACCTCCTCCTGGCTTCTCCGAAATTTCCTTGTCCCCAAAATTGCGCTCTTTTATTCTCTTTCGAAGGCAGTGCTATTGACGAGTGTTATTTTAAAAAATATATTCACGCTTATATTTGGACTTCAAACAAACACATCGCGCGCTTTCAGATGCGCTTCTGCGGCCCTCTGGAATGCTCTTCCTTGCGATATTAGGAAGCCACTGGAAGCTATGCACTTGGAACTCATAATCCAGATTGAAAACTAATTTATTTAGAACTGTTTAGTTTGTTGTCCTTCCCCCCCCCCCCGCACCTCCGATTAGCATGGTTGGCTACATATGGTGCGAAAGAAGTTCAACAGGGGTGGTCCCGCCTATATTGGGCCTCTTAAGATTTCCATAAAACTTTAATTGTTATACTGCCTAGGGATGTTGAACTAATAGTCGAATTAAGTAGTTTGGTCATTCCGTTTCACACTACAAGGTGTCGTGCCTGAACAGAATTCCTGTTTGCACAACAATTGCGCATGGATAAAGTAGGCTAAATTACCCTCTAGAGGGCTCGATTAAAACGTTCAGTAGTGGAAGTCATACCATCAACAGTGGCGTGAGGAATATACATTGCAGGGCTGCATCTTTGCCACATTCAATTGCATTTGCGTGACCACACAGTTGGATACTTTTGCCCGGGGATCGAGAACCCCCCCGTTTGCTCGCACAAGACAGATCCAAGAGGTAATCATGTGTGTGCTTGCACCATTTGCGCTGTCGTCTTTTGTGCATAGGCCACCATCATGGGCGACGACTGGAAGCAGAAGGTGCTGGCCCTGCTGACAGAGATGCCCGATGGCTGCACAGTGGGCGAGCTGTGCACACACTACACGCAGCGCTACCACCTCAGCCTCGCTCCCAAGAAGCACGGCTTCCTCAACACAAAGAACATGCTGAAGTCCTTGGGGGGCCACATCGACCACGGTTGTCTCACCAAAGGGGTCGCTAAACTGAGCGGGATGCCGCCGTCCGCGGCACAACGAGAGGAGGAGAGTCCTCCTCCCAAAGCAAGATGGAGGCAATTGGAGGACGGAAGCGACGACCATCGGCGAGAGGGCACGGAATTTCAACGACGAGGAGGATCGCCGTTCAAGGTGGAGGCGTCGCTTCCCGTCACGGAAGGGGCGAGCAGAGGCAACCCGCACTCGTCCCCGCGGGGTTCGATGGTGGACATCGGCCCGGCAGGAGCCGCGCAGATGCGTTACCAGCAGAGTCCGGCGGAGACCACGGGGCTCGCACTTGGAGGGGTACCAGCAGTGGTGGTGCAGCAGCAGCAGCCACCTCTCATTGGTGACTGTGTGTCACCCTGGGTGAAGAAGTTGATCGACACACAGTCTCCAGGTATTGGGATGTTGCAATGGGTTGTCATGTACATATATGTACGTACCGAATTTTGTTTTAGATTGCTCAACGTATAAAATTGAGATGACATTTTTTTAAACACGTGGTTGTTTGAGAATGGATGCGTTTTACTGGTAGGAACCTCCTGGTTACACCAGCCCACAGCGGATTATTGTGTCGGTCCGTCCGTCGTGCATCCAAAAATGGGAGGGGCTGGGTGGAGAGGGGAGGGTAGGGAGGGAGGAGCTGGGTGGGGAGGGGAGGGTGGGGAGGGGCTGGGTGGGGAGGGTGGGGCTGGGTGGGGAGGGGAGGGGCAGGGTTGGGAGGGGCTGGGTGGGGACGATGGGGAGGGGCTGGGTGGGAAGGGTGGGGAGGGGCTGGGTGAGGAGGGTGGGGCTGGGAGGGGGGTGGGGCTGGGTGGTGAGGGGCTGGTCACCCCGTGGTGCCCTTATAAAACTCAACGTTTAACCTACTCACGCCAGCTTGTGCTCGCCCTCACAGTCGGGCATATTTGCGGAATACACCACGTGGTGCCGCCGTTGACCCTGGCCATTGACCGAGCAACCCAACGTTCCTACCAGCTCCCTCCGCAGGAATGTGTTCTTGGATCTAAGAGCTTGTTTTTCGTGCAGTTAAATCATGGTTAGGCACTCGAGAGGAAACCGTTTGAGATTATATTTCGCTCTTTAAATAATGGGCGATGTATTTTTCAAATCGCTCAGCACCTGTGCCCAACTAGCAGTGTAAGAGTGTAGTAAAAGTGAGGTGATCGGCAGGTCGTGTGTGGGTGGGTTAAATTGTGGGCACTACCACCTCTTAAAAGATGCATGACCGGTATGAAAAATTAGGGTAAAATATCCTCTCGAGGGGGTTAGTTAGAATGCCTTCTGGTGGAGGCCTTTCCAACAGCAGTGGCGTGGGCAAGACATTGCAGGGTCTGCATCTTTGCGTCTTGTTATATTGGCCTTGATCAGTTCTATCCAGAGTTTGATTGTCACCGCAACCGCTGGACCCGCGAGCCTCGGGTGTGTTGAGAAAGTCAGGTTGGTTCAACAAACTCTTTGGGGAGATCCTACCCCACTGCTCTTTTTGATCACTTAATGAGGTGTCTCTTACCCAGCACCAGGTATAACATTTAAATTAATAGTTACTATTATTTTTCTCTTCCGAGTGCAGTGTGTTTTTTTTAATAATAGTTGTTTTGCATATTCGCTACGAATGTATTGTGCTGTACCTGCACTTTTTGAAAGTCGGGGGGCTGTGCAGTTCGAAAGAAAACTGAATTATGTAGAAAATAATTTCTTTAGAACTGCTTTTTGTACTTAGTTTTACCTTCCCCCCCCGCACCTCCAATTAACACGGTTGGCTACGTACGGTGCGAAAGAAGTTCAACATAGGTGTGATCTCCATATATATAAAAGGCAAAGTTGTGAATATGTGTGTCTGTTCAAAATGTTTAGCGTACTTCCCGACATGCAACAAACTCGAAATTTGCCATGTGGGTACTTTACAGACTGTGTACACCATGCAAAAATTATAATCTGTCGCGTAACCTGCGCATGTGGAAGCGTTAACGCAATGTCCTGTCGCGTTTAGCGCGCTGCGCTACGAACCCGGCGACCCGAGTTCGATTCCCGCTCACGGCCACCACCGGTGACGATTATTTTAACCGGTCCTGGGCCTCCCCTACGTCGACTCAGCCTCAAAACGAGTAACTGCTGTGGTGTGTGAACATCGCCACTGGGGAGACGAAGGCGGCCGGGCGTGGTGGATCCAAGTCCCTGGCGAAGCCGGGTAGTACAGCTAGTACTGTATAAATGTTCGCGGCTGTAGCTCGCTATGACATGACAAGTACTGCACGGCAAGTCCTCACTTACCGCGTGTTCACACGATAACGCGTTTTCACTACAACGCGCTTTCTTTAATTTAGGGAACGCTTTTCGCACAACGCGGAACGCGCTCCATCACAACGCGCTTTCTGAGCGGACTACTTTCTTGAGCTGCGCGGTTGAGCGAGATGAGACGGTAACGCGGCGGCGGCGTCCTCTCAAGTTATTTGGACCCCCATCTTACCGTGCGTGGACATTATTATTATTATTTACGGGAGGAAAATAGTTTTCGCTTAACGCATCTGCCGCGTGTAACGAGGACTTGCTGTACAGGTGCTGTGCACACTGTACTCTGAATGAAAATCTCTATTGACCCTGGAGAAATCCGAAGCGCTATCAAGCTCTTATTCACAGATGTCCAATAAGGGGCAGTGGGGGTCACCAAGTGACACAGCTTGTCCGTGGAGTAGATCATGAGGTGCCAACTTCGCCTACGCAACGCCGCTCTCCCTCTGGCTCTGCCTGCCTCGCTCTGTGCACGCGAGGCGCTAAATTTTTCGGAAGTACAGTACTCATTGTGTTACCGTTCACCATGGGGGCCCCTAAGCTAAGTTTAAATAATACAGTATGACATTCATTTATTCGTTAATATATGCACTTTTAAATATGTTTACGTTCATCATTAATAAAGGCGAGTTAAATGATACTACACAACGTGGTCATTGATATATACGTACAGTTGATATGTTTAATCGTGACTGTAGTTTATGCCCCCGAGCCCCTTTTTTTCCTCACGAGCTTTTGAGTGATAATATACACGGGTTTAATATTAGCGCCGGTTTACAGAATTTATCCCCGCAAATATATTAAGGGTTTGCCGTATACCATCTCAGGCTTTTGCCACGCACCACTGCGGGCATCTCCCAGGAGTTGTATTCGGTGATCATCTCGTCTAGTGCTCGCACTCGTATACCGCTTGCCCTGAAGTCTGATAAACTCACCACCCGTGCTTGCTTTTTTACCTATTTTTTTTAATTCAGCAATGCCTGCTGCCGCCACCGCTTCCTCACAAGAATGGCCGTCCATCCTGCGCATGAGCAAAAGTAAGCTCAAGGAAATGCAGAGCAAGCAGAACTCGCCCGTGCAGAACGTCGATTCGCAGTGTGGTGCTGCGTCTCAGCAGCTGCCGACTGCACAATTGGATGCCGTGGCCCAACCGCAGAATCAAGAGCAGCTGCTGCCCACGCCGGAAAGAAAAGAGGTAGTACAAAAGAAACCCAAGAAAATCCTAAGCGCGGCCGAGAAACAAGATGCGGACAGGTACTATGCCAGCATGCGACAGGTCCACCATGGCGTGATGCAGGGGAGCCCCAGAGTGGATCCAGGCAGGAGGCCAACTAGGTACATGAGCGTGGAGCGCGTGAACGAGATCGCCGCTGACTGCATTAAGACACTCGGGGAGACTGAGCAGCATGTGTTGCCAGAAAAGGTGAGTAGCTCTCCCACTTCTGTCGAAGAAATAAAAAAAACGATTTCCTTTTCAAATGAACATCGAGATATGGTGCTCATTTACTTTTTACCATCCTGAACCAGTCATGGAAATTCCACATTCCTATGATGTGGGGGAGGGGTTAAGTCTCTGCATTTATTCGTTAGTATATCATTTTATATTTTTTTGTGCTTTACTGGCCATCCAGCAAAATATTACTTAAACCGCATTTCACTCAACTTAAGTGTGCCATAAGTATTTAATGATTACAATCTATAATTCTTATAACACACATGCTGCCAAAAGTTCTAGAAACAATAACATGAATTTAATGTACCTCAAAATAACTGTTCTATTAATTACTCTCCGAAAAACGATATTGAAGCACTAATTTTATGCGCGACAGCTATTTATGTACAACCTTAATTCTTGCACTTTTGTTAATCATTAACATTTTGTTCGGAATGATATACAGTGAGGGAAAAAAGTATTTGATCCCCTGCTGATTTTGTACGTTTGCCCACTGACAAAGAAATGATCAGTCTATAATTTTAATGGTAAGTTTTTTTTAACAGTGAGAGACAGAAGATCAACAAAAAAATTCAGAAAAACGCATGTCAAAAATTATATTAATTGATTTGCATTTTAATGAGGGAAATAAGTATTTGACCCGCTCTCAATCAGAAAGATTTCTGGCTCCCAGGTGTCTTTTATACAGATAACGAGCTGAGATTAGGAGCACACTCTTACAGGGAGTGCTCCTAATATCAGCTTGTTACCTGTATAACAGGCACCTGTCCACAGAAGCAAATCAATCAATCAGATTCCAAACTCTCCACCATGGCCAAGACCAAAGAGCTCCCCAAGGATGTCAGGGACAAGATTGTAGACCTACACAAGGCTGGAATGGGCTACAAGACCATTGCCAAGCAGCTTGGTGAGAAGGTGACAACAGTTGGTGCGATTATTCGCAAATGGAAGAAACACAAAAGAACTGTCAATCTCCCTCGGCCTGGGGCTCCATGCAAGATCTCACCTCGTGGAGTTGCAATGATCATGAGAACGGTGAGGAATCAGCCCAGAACTACACGGGAGGATCTTGTCAATGATCTCAAGGCAGCTGGGACCATAGTCACCAAGAAAACAATTGGTAACACACTACGCCGTGAAGGACTGAAATCCTGCAGCGCCTGCAAGGTCCCCCTGCTCAAGAAAGCACATATACATGCCCGTCTGAAGTTTGCCAGTGAACATCTGAATGATTCGGAGGACAACTGGGTGAAAGTGTTGTGGTCAGATGAGACCAAAATGGAGCTCTTTGGCATCAACTCAACTCGCCGTGTTTGGAGGAGGAGGAATGCTGCCTATGACCCCAAGAACACCATCCCCACCGTCAAACATGGAGGTGGAAACATGCTTTGGGGGTGTTTTTCTGCTAAGGGGACAGGACAACTTCACCGCATCAAAGGGACGATGGACGGGGCCATGTACCGTCAAATCTTGGGTGAGAACCTCCTTCCCTCAGCCAGGGCATTGAAAATAGGTCGTGGATGGGTATTCCAGCATGACAATGACCCAAAACACAGCCAAGGCACCAAAGGAGTGGCTCAAGAAGAAGCACATGAAGGTCCTGGAGTGGCCTAGCCAGTCTCCAGACCTTAATCCCATAGAAAATCTGTGGAGGGAGTTGAAGGTTCGAGTTGCCAAACGTCAGCCTCGAAACCTTAATGACTTGGAGAAGATCTGCAAAGAGGAGTGGGACAAAATCCCTCCTGAGATGTGTGCAAACCTGGTGGCCAACTACAAGAAACGTCTGACCTCTGTGATTGCCAACAAGGGTTTTGCCACCAAGTATAAGTCATGTTTTGTAGAGGGCTCAAATACTTATTTCCCTCATTAAAATGCAAATTAATTTATAACATTTTTGACATGCGTTTTTCTGGATTTTTGTTGTAATTCTGTCTCTAACTGTTCAAATAAACCTACCATTAAAATTATAGACTGATCATTTCTTTGTCAGTGGGCAAATGTACAAAATCAGCAGGGGATCAAATACTTTTTTCCCTCGCTGTACTTAAGATCTTTGATCAAGCTACGATATTTTGCAAAACAGACGATGGAAAACTTGTGGATATTATATTGTGCGATATGTGGATATGTGCCACTTAAACCGCAAGAAGTCAATAACGATGACTTGTGTTGAGTGTTTAATATGCAAGCAATGAGCCCACCACAAGTTCGTTAATGTTATAATGGAAGCAATGAAATTAATGAAAATCTTTTGCTCTGCCATTTTATTTTAAATTACGACTCTTCAAAGGGCTGTGGTTGTAGTAAGCAATATTTGAATTTGTTTAAACGACCTGTATTCTCTTACAACATGTTTTATATTCCTAGGCATTAAATGTGTACTAAAGATTCAGACTAATTGTAAATCTAATGGAACCACTTGAATCGATGTCCGTTAATATATGTAGGCGTGGTAAGGTTTCGAGACGCACTCGGCGATGCGTGAAACGCATTCCGTGTCCTTCCTCGTCCATTTGTCTTCATTCCAACGTCAACTTTGTTCTGCCGGTCTCTCTCATTAAGGCCACATGGCCACACTGTGTCTCTTAGTTCTTGCAAGCTAAGCTGGAGTGAGTCTCTCTCATTAAGGCCACATGGCCACACTGTGTCTCTTAGTTCTTGCAAGCTAAGCTGGAGTCGGTCTCTTTTCGACATACGTCCCACCCAATTCTATAATCCAGTTTCTCTATATGTTTTTAATATATATTTAAATACATATTTCCTTCCACAAATCTGGCTGCCTCCTGATGATGCTGGTTGTAATTACTGGCGAAACGTCGTACTCAGATTGTAAATGTTGTGGCTTTGCTCTCTAACACACAACCGGTGTGCTGTACTAGTAACGAAATGGCATGTTCTGTTTAAGTGACAAACCTTACTAATTGGCTGTGTCGGGTGGTGGCGGGTTTAACGACACATTTATATATTTACGCAATCTAACCCAAAAAAACCTGTATTATGTAAAAATACATTTATTTTCCTCCTTTCTTTTTGGACAGTTTCAAATCTCTAACGTCTTTCAAATTGTTCTGATGTACAGTGCTACATTTCAAATTACTGTCATGTTTGCAACGGGTTGTTTAAAATATATTTAAATGGTGTAGATTCACGTTTAAACTCGCTTCGAATCTGCATTCATCATTTTCTTCTTAAGCAGTCCGTAACCACAATTGGTACATCGATGCATGACCCATTTGATTATTGTTTGTTGGTCTTAATTTATCAATTAAAATGTTATTGAGTGTGCCAAATCCTAAAGAGTGGCGTTTGAGTCGACCTTATTTATTTTATATTCACATCTGAAACGCCTGTGCACATGAATGTAATCCAGTTACACACTCTCCTACTTGTTCATCAACTCTCTTCGTGGTGTAGATTTGATGGCTTGTATAGCAACCATAAACAAACACAACAAGTCCGGGTGACTCATGATCCATGACTCACTATGCCAGTGGGCCAGGTTTCACTCTCAACTCTCTACCTGTGTGGCATGAATGAAACGCACCTGTAAATATATCCTAAGTAAATTTGACCTGAAATGATTGCACAACAATTGCCCCGCCTTCATGGGATGTTTTATACTCTTTATCTGGCTTTGACCTGAATTATATAAAAGTGCGGCTCTGCAACTGCTTGGTCACACCACCGCTGGTGAAAGGACCTTTATGAGAGCGAACTCTTTACGAGTATTTGGTCTACTTTTCCATGTTGACCAGATGTGTTGGAAGAGCTGGCCGAAACCCACACTTTGCCGCATCACACGCGACTTGCCGATCAGCTAACTGTGGTGTACCCATTTAGCGACCTCTGGTCTGTGAGTTCAGTATACTAACCATTAACAGCATGGCAGCTTCCTAATTTGCTTGTGTGACAATTAACCTATGTCATTATCTCGTGTGCAGTTCTGCCATGTCAACACAACCTGAAATAAGTATTGGCGGGAGGGAAGGAAATTATTACTCGCACACCTGCATCTGCCTTGTGCTCCAAAACACCTAAAGGCATTACTACCGCTGTGAGAAATTGACGGGCGTAGACTGCTGCATAGCGATGATGTATTCACGTCATCTCTGCTGTTTTCCTCTTTTGCTAGGTGATTCATTTGGTGTGCCAACACCTCCAGGTGCAGTTCCTCAAGGACGTGGGCATTCGAGACATGTTCGTTTTGCCTGTGATGAATGAGTTTGTCCGAACACACAGAGAAGTCAACCTATTCATCGAGGTGCGTTTCCCATGTTTATTTCACTCTATTGGTCGTCTGTTTGCTAGGGCATACTGCGCCCAGAGGTCACCCACTGAGTTTTTTGACCGTAACATTACCTTCACTTGGGTTTGGTGATCCATTCAACAGGGAAAACTATTTGTAAGAAACGTAAACGTGGCAACGTGATAATTGAATAACAATAGCATGAACATCAGTGGACTCCAAGCAAAGAAGTACAACACCAAGTGCAGCTTCAAACTTGTGTCGGAGTGATTCACATCGTCACCTCTGGTGATTCGATGAATTGTTGTAATTTGGAGTTGCGGCTCTAGTGGCTACAAGGGAATGTGAACCCATAACTTAATGTATACGAATGTAAAAACATTAACTGTATTGCAGAAGTGTTTGTTACGCTTCCTATCGGCCGCACAGCCTTCTGTAAGTGCATCTTAGCAGCATTGCTTCTCCCGCACCGTACGTGTGAAAGAAGTTCAACATTCTCTGAACCGGTGTTGAGGTTCATTGTCTCATGAGCAGGCCCAAGCGTGCTCCAACCAATGCTGGTGGACTGCCTGATGTTTAGAAGCAAGGATCTTTTTTGCTAGATATGGGTCGTCGGCTATAAGACGACTGAGCCATCAAATGTAAGTGTTAACATCAGCCTGAGTTTGTATTTTTTTTGGTGGGGTGGGGGGGGGGCTTTGCAGGCCTTCGAGAAAGTGCGATGCATCAGCACGCTGTACGAGCTGGGCCAGTGCTTGGCCGCCCTGAAGGAAAAGCAGTTCTTTCGCGAGATCGGCCTGGGACCGCTGTGCCGCCACCCTCTGGTGCAGCGCCTCTTTAAAGTGCCGCACTCACTCCGCGATGATGACATCTACGAGATCACCACCGTGGACATCCTCCAGGTCTTGCCCACTTAACCCTTTTCCATCGTTTTTTTTTCAAGCTTATTTTGTTAATGATTTGAGAACCAGCCGTGGTGTAACGGTTAGCAAACTGGAGTTGGCATTCCTGAGGTTGCCAAATTTAATTCCATCTTCCGGCGCAGTAGTTGAAATAATTGCCAAGTTTGTCAAATCCCCATGCCTCTGTCCACCCCACAGTGTAAATGGGTTGACGGAAGGTATGCATTCGATCGGCAAGTCGTGTGTGGTGGGGTAAAGCGTGGGTATGCCCACCTCTTCCAATAGGTAGGGAGAGTTTTCAGGCCTTAGAGAAACCCCCCACCCCACCACCACAAGTCCCACCCCCTGCCCCACCACTACCAGCCCCCCTCTCAGCAAGAACCACCACCAGCCCCTGTTGGCCCCGCCACCATCAGCCCCCCTCGCCATCAGCCCCCCCCCCCGCCCCACCACCACCATTCTGCCCCACCACCACCAGCCTCCCCCCCCAGCACGAACCACCACAAGCCCCCCCCCCCCCGCCCCACCACTACCAGCCCCCCCCCCCCCCGGCATGAACCACCACCATCCCCCGCTGGCCCCACCATCACCAGCCCCCCCCGACCCACTACTACCTCCCCCCCCCCGCGCCACCACCGGCCCCACCACCACCAGCCCTCCCCCTCGCGTGCAATTGCAGGGCTGCACAACCTACAACCTTTATGATTTGCGTTGGCAGCAGTGCACAAGCAGAATTAAAGTCCCAACACATTTGTCGATAACACTGTGGCCCAAAAATGGAACGTGCTATAAGACAATTTTTCGGACAATGGCCCTGTTTATTAGAACATAAGCCAAGGAAATCTATTGGGTAATAAACAGTTGGAGGCTACACTTTACATCATGGGGCAGAGTAGGATTTAAAAAAAAAATGTTTTTTATCAGTTTTTTTTTTATTTTGCATATAAATAGTTACCTGATATATTTTGAGAAATGGTAATCGCCGTGAAGTGCAGTCTCCAATTCTTATTGTCCACTCAATTTTTCTGGCCTTTCTATGCAATATGAAAAAGGGTCATTGCCCGAAACGTCGCTTATTGTATTTTTTTCCCTTTTAAGGCCGCATTGCTACTGACGCATGAATTTGTTTGGTCTTTCAAATTATATGAAAGCTCAGCAAGTCATTCCTTGCAGATGTAAGCAGAAGTGATACGCGCCCACCCCAACCACCCCTGTCGCGACTCAATCAATTGTCGCGATTGAGGGCTCGTGAATCAACTCAAGATTCAACGCCTTTTTTTAAAACGTGGTAAATGCAGCAGGCTGTAGTGGCTGGAGTGGGTGGGTGTTGGACAATGTGAAACAATGACACGCAACGTATACAAATCTAAAACATAAATTCTTACGCACGCGATCCGGTGTGCATATCGCGATCTTCAGGATGAATGATCACGTCCGAATCAATGCGTCGTCGTTGCTCCCCTAGCATGCGCTCTGCGTAACCCGCTCGTGTTGTTGTTGTTGTTTGCGGCAGAGTTTAGGACCTTCGTGGCCAAGAGCCGCAGCTCCCGAGGCAAAGGAGTGATGGCACGCTTCAAGGTGCCGGACTTGCTGAAGCATCTCATGGAACGATACGGGGCTCCGGATATTCACGATCTGGGCATCCGTATCACCAGCATACCTCTGGGCATTTCCGTACGTGCCGTGCCTGCGTGTACTGAGCGTGTGTGTGTACGTGTGTATGCATTGCGTCGCTTGTTGACTGCGAATTGTATTATTATTATTGGATGCCTCAAGTATACTCTTTGGTTCTTTCGGTAAGTCACGTAGGTATAAAATAAAATAAATCACGACGTTTCGGGCGCAACACAAGCGTCCGTCATCAGGTGGGAAAGCCTTGGTGTGCTGCTGAGGCAGACTGTTTTAAATGGTTTGAAATGTGTGTAGCCCATGGGTCATAAAGAAGTGGCCAGGGCTAGTGATGTTAACGTGAGAAATTAGCGTGTAACTGTAAGGTAGGAAAGCGGCCTCCTCCTCGATTTTACGTGACTTTACCGAAAGAACCAAAGAGTATGGATTCCTGCAGTCGCGAAAGCTTCAAATCAAGATTGCCTCAAGTATGTATTGTTGTTGCCCTTGAGGGGGTTTACTTTCTGAATTAAATGCGTTCTGGAATTGCTGACACACAGCCACAACGTACGTGTCGCTGTGTTCACACCTGAGAGTGACACTGCATCAGCCTTTTACCAATATTCCCCCGCCCCTGCGTTTGCCTTACACGGCCACAATGCTGAGCTATCCTCAGTTGCTCAGGCACACAAGTTTCACACCTGTCTCCCTGTCAAGTGAATGTGGTGTATCCTTTTGTCATGCAGTCTGAGACAGACTTCCAACACGACTTCAGTTTTGTGGGTGCAGTGCTGTGACAAGAGCACTGAAGTAACTGCTCGTGTAAGTACATCATGTTAATATATATCGTATTAGAAGGCTGAGGCCTATTTTACTGTACCGCTCCTTACAGAAATCTTCTTTCCCGAGTGGTTGTGCATTTGTCGCTTGTTTCAGAGGTTCGCGATTCGATCCCAGGAGTCGCCCTAGTTAATATTGCGGGTGTATTATCCAAAACTGCATTTCTATATGCTTCACAAATAATGTAAAAAAATAATCCCGTGTTGTTATTAATGAATGAGGAGGACATGTGTGCCGGCGTCAGAATCAAAATTTGCAAATCTAAACAAGTACTCAGAAATGACTGGATTGGGTAAAACCACAAGTATATATGTTGAACTTCTTTCGCACTGTACGTAGCCAACTGTGCTAATCGGAGGTGTGGAGGACAACAAACTGAACACAAAAAGCAGTTCTAAAGAAATTGTTTTCAATCTAGATTTAAAAGTGCATAGCTCCAATGGCTTCCTAATATCGGAAGGAAGAGCATTCCAGTTGGCCGCAGAAGCCCATCTGAAAGCGAGTGATGCGGTGACTGTCTTTGTTCGATGGCTTGCCAAAAGCCACTGCTGCTAGGATGATCCACCAATCCCATCTCTCGATTGCAATCGTGCATTAGCAGCACACCTTGCATTCGCTGTTGAACCACTCGTCCATCACGTGTTCCATCATCGCAACTACAGCACTGCCCTGCACCTGTGGCCGCCACAGTTGCTAACATTGTGTTGTTTGTTTAGGTGATCGGCAAGGCCCAGAAAGGCGAGCGGGAGGCGATGGACCGTGGGCTGGCTCGCATCGAGTGTGACATCAAGCAGGAGGTGGAGGGCCGGCCACACAAGATCAAGAAATACCTGTTGGAGTCGTTCCCCTTGCCAGGGACGAGCGCCGATCTTCGCCGACAGTTCACGACACAGCCGGCGGCCGAGATGGTGCTGCAGGTCTTCCAGAACGCCGAGGACATCTTTGTGAATAAGCTGAAGAAGGTGGGGCCATGGCGTCTGGACTTAATGCAACAAAATTACCGTGCGAGAAAGTTCATGCATTTGCTTAGATTTGTCAAAGATTTTCCAAAATACATTTGTCCTCGGAATTATTTAATGAGTGATAATCGCCATACGTTTCAAGTCTGTGGATACTTCCACCAGTATCAAATGACTTGTCTCTACCACTGAATTAACTCTCCTCTATAATATTTAGGGCCATCGCTTTCACAAAATTCAGTCACACGTTGAGACAAAAGTAAGGGGGGGCATTGAAATCGGTAGGACATCTATGCATGTGTCACCCTCTATTTGTCCCAACAGAGTGATATGGCTGCACGTGGTTTGGGTCCTTTGTTGTTTCCACCAACAGTGTGTGCAGGACTTCCTGGGGCAGGTGAAAGGGGACACGCTGGCCCAGGAAGCTGTTTCAGTTGGCCCTGTGCTGTGGCTCCCTCGAGACTCCTCGCGACCTCGTGGTCAAGGAGAAACCGGCCGCGTTTCTCGGCAACATCAGCACTCCCGACACCAGACCGCCGCCTCCTCCGGGGAGTAAGGAGACAAATTTGCATATACAGTAGACTCTCGATTGTCCGCGCTAATTACGGGGAAGATGGCTGCGGATGATAAAAAATCTCGGATGATCCAAAGATATCTATTTTCTGCGGATCTCTATGCCACAAACTAACGATCGAACCGATCGATGCACGTGGTCGGTGATAAAACTTTCCTGCTCCCGAGCAGAAGACTCGGCCCTCTAAGTGGATAGCAGAGCCACGCCAATCACCATCAATCAAACTCCACCCACTGTTGTAAAGATATGCAACTACTGTACTGTCGAGGTGATCACGTAGATTTCGGATTCATGGGCGCACATATTTGCTCGATATAAGCACGTGACTTGTAACAAACATTTCCAAGAATTACAATGTATAACTATTTTTAGATTATTAATTTGGGCCTAAGGGAAAATCCATGAGTTATTAATAAGTTAAAATCTCATGTGCGTGGTTAATCCGCAAATCAGATAAACCGCACACGGATAATCAAGAGTCTACTGGATTGCACGTGCGCTGAATTGTCGTAGCTTCTCTAAACACCTTATTTCACATCTCGTCTCGATTATTACTAATGCATTAGTAAGAGTTTGGCATATCACGACGCATCAGTTTGTCAAATTTACATCGAGATGACCCGGGTGGCTGAGAGAGATTATTAGCATTGAGCTGGAAACGCTGAGATCCTGGGTTCGAATCTGGGTAACCACCTGTGATTAAACTTGCTTTTGTCAAGTGCAGCCAGTTGATGGTCTCAGCTCGGTCATTAATGACTGTCAAAAAAACCCAAAACATACTCAATAAATGGCTATGCACTTAATTTGACCAAGTCCAATCAGAGTGGGTGGGAATGTGCTTCCCTTTACTCTGTGGACCAGAGGTCACTAGAAGCAATGTCAGAGGTAGCTTTGTGATGTTCTCTTCTGCGGGCCATTCTCCAATAGGACGGGTTCCGCTGCTCCGTGAGAGATCCGAGTGGATACTCCGTCTCATGACACGATATCGAAAGCACAATCTGAATAAAATGTAGTTTCTTATATTGTACATAAGGGGTCAGACCACGGAGGACCTTCAGAATGCTGAGTGTGAACTTGAAATTGATTCTGGACTGGTTCAGGGGATAGTTGAACAATTCGAATATTGGGGCGATATCGTCTTGCATACGGGTGTGAGTGAGAAGTCTGCCAGTGGTTTTTTTAGGCCATCATCTAGATTTTTGGGTTAGATCACGTAAACATGCACTCAATAATACGCGTTAATATGCACTTTTTACGTGACCTAACCCAAAAATCTCAATTATGGATAATATTGGTCGCGAAGGCCTTCGTGTTAAACTTGTTTTTTGAGTCATCTGGAGAGTGATGATGAAACTTATCGGGAGGCCGTAGATGAGACGTGGGGGGTGGGGGGGCAGAGAGAGAGTTGCAGTTGTTGAGCCTATTGGAGCGAGTTACAGCATCGTTGTCCTCTCCTACAATGGCATTGCTTGTCTCCTTCGCAGAGGCGGTAGCCGAGCATCTGGTCCGTCTGCTGAGCCACGCAAGTAAGATGGCAGAGCCCCTGGGCCTACCCGCGCTGTCACGCGTGGAGAAGCAGCTTGCCGAGCACTTTGACTCGCGCGACCTCCCCAGCCTGGGCCTCGGCTCCTTCTTGGACATCCTCCATCGCAACGCCCAGGTGCGTACGTGGCGTGCGTGAGCCCACCCGCCTCCAGCTGGTAAGAGGCAGTACAGCAAGTAGGTGTACGACACTGCCCGTGCAAAGTTTGAGTGTACTTACCGCCTCCGAGTGGCGCTCAATGTTAAGTTTGTTTCCAAAATTGTGCGCGGTAATATTAGTTTATTATTACGAACTTAAAACTCATTTGTCGATAACTCAAATACGTTTAAGCGTTATGTAATCACTGCCAATGCAGAGCACAACAAAGTGTCACGTAAGATGCATGGGTTTTCTCTTGTCACTCTTAAAAAATATCTGTGAATTTGGCAAACATCCCAAAGGTAGATATTGAAAATCACCGTTAAAATTGAGTGTACAGCGGTGACATTCAGATAAAATATATGATAACACTATATATGCAAAGTGGCCAGGGTGGCTCAGAGATCAAAGCGGTGCATTGGCAATAATGAGATTCTGGGCTTGAATCTGGATTTTGACCGCTTGGGTTGAAACCGAGGTCTCAAGTCTTATCAAGTCGATCGTCCGAGCCCCGTCACCAGCGACTGCACAAAATTACAGTCTCATTAAACTTGGGTTTTGCACTTCATTTTCCTAATTCCATCTCTGAGAATAACAATTTCAGCTTGACTCTCGTGCGCCGCACAATCTCATAACACAGCTAATGTGAAAGTGTTGGCTCCTATTGTGTACAAGATAAAAGGCCACCCACCGCATTTTATGACACAGGGCCTGCACGGCTATGCGAGATTTACGAATGGATGATTTATTTGTCTCTTGACATTACGCCGATAGCGCATTTGGAAAACTAAAATTGAGAACGAATTTTGTGTTAATTTGCAAACTTAAATCTGTAATATTTAATCAGTTTTCGTGCACTGCATTGTGAGATGCAGCTCCATGCGTATCGTTTAGCTTTAAGCCGGTGTTTGCCTTGCGGTCGCCTCGGTGTCAACCAACTGATGTTGACGGATTTGTTGTGTCTGTGGTAGCTGTTGGAGGAGACTGGGGTTGTGATCTCTGCCCTGGGTGGATCTGGAGCCACAGCGGGAAGCTTCTGTCCCAAAGCGCGACGAGCTGCATGGAGTTCATCCACCAGTGCGGCAGCCTCGACACCGCAGCGGTGAGACACGGGCCCCAGTAGGGGCCACAGGGGCGGCTCAGAGATGGGGATAAGGATTTGGAGATTTAGGGCGCTCGCGGAAATAAACTCTTCAACTCAAAGCGCCTTACAGCAACGTCTCATCTCAACCATTCCATTGCTCTGCGGCAGTCTACCCGAGGAGACCCCCCCCCAATGGCAGCTGTTCCTATTTGGCACGTGGTGCACGCACTACCGGCCTGTGAATGGACATGTCTGCCAATTGGGAGCGATGTTTGAGTTTCCTACATGGTTTTTTCCCCGATAAAGTAATTTGCAAGTATTTGATCTGATTTGGCAAATTTGGAACATGATGCGGTTACACGTGGCCAATTCTATTTTTTTAATACAGTGTCACAGGATTATTATCATACATTGTGAAACAGATCTCTTTGTTTATGGTGAATAAACCTGGCAACATTAACCAGGGCGGATGCTGGGCTTGAACCGAGAACCACCACTCGACCATGTTTCCATAAATTTGTGCAGTCACATTAACGCTGTTCACGTCGTACGCAATGACACTTTATTATTAGCACCACCTCTGGACCTGTTTGGCCCCTGGTCCATTTTGAGAGGTCTTGTAAGGGCGGCGTATTACAGTTTGATTTTATATCGGCACAGCAAATAGCCAATGGAAAACCACCCGTTCCGTGGGGGTGCTACGCGCTGGCACGGATCGGATGCGCCAGTGGAAAAGGGCTGCTAGCAACTCGGCCGCCTCCAAACGAAAGAGAGAGGGTTCCAGGTCTCTGTTGTTGGCTGTGTGCTCTGCAGCTGCCGGCCGTGGACTGCGCTGTGGGGCAGCACTACGGCGTGCATTCCTGCCGCAACCTTGGGCACGGCCCCGTGGCCAACCTGGTAAAACTGGCGCAGAAGGCCAAGCCCGGTGGCAGCAGCGGCGGTGCCCATCGGTGCGCCGTCTTGTACGAGGAGACGGCGCTGTGTGCTCGCGACTCGAGGTTTGGCAGCCCCCTCCAAAGTGCCCTCCTCCTCACCCCTCTGCTCACCTCGTGATCTGCCTGACCGCCACGGGTCGCTCCTCAAAATTGTTGAGTCGGCGACAGACACTTGGGGTTCTTTAATCTTTCACATCAAAGGGTCAGTGAGCCACACCAATATGCCATTGGTAATGTAACTTAAGGATTCAATGTTCAAGGCAAGTGATTGTCGAGACAAACTGATGATTGTGTGTGTTACACCCCTCTGGCAGTCCACTGCCTGATGAAGGCCTCGCCACGTTGCTTTGGTCATGGGGGTTGTTGCACCAAACTTTACCACGCTTGGTGAAGGGGGCGCGGATTAGGTTCAGGACTTGTTCAGATATCAGTCACCACTGACGTTAGCCATGGCTAGGAATCCAACTCGGATCGCCGCGTTAGTATCGCAGTGCACCAAACATTGCAGCAGTGCTTCAGAAATCATTCCGAAGTTGCTTGATATTGCACACAGTTTGAATAAACCATCATTACTTCAGGAATATATATTTGTAGTTAAAAGTTTACTTTATACATGCTGTGATCGTAATAAAGAGTTGTGCTAGTTAGTAGCAACAGCGTGATACATCGGTTAAATCGATTAATATTTATTAAGCTGCATTGATATGCACGTGTAAGAATCAACATTTTTTCATGTTTATCCCTTTTTATTTTCATAGTTCCACGTTGTCACTGCAGACACTAGACTTTCTCAGTGTAATTTCAAAAGAACTGACACACCTTGTGAAAGACCCAACGCAGAAGATCCCTGGGTTTGATCTTCCACGAAGCTCATGGTCCACCATAAACCGCATTCGCACAAACCATGGCAGATGCGGATACCTGATGCACAAATAGAAAGTAAAAAACTCGCCAGTGTGTGACTGGTCATCCAGAACAGATCGTACAACGTGAAACGACATAATGCCCCGATCCACAAATTCGAAGGAGACATCACAGCGATACACTCCGCTCGCTACTCCTGGCTTGACCACCTAAATATTAAATTGTAGTTTTTGCTCTGCATCTACATCAATCATACGAAAGAAGAAAAGTAAAAAAATACATTCACAACAATAATGTATTGTCCATGACGGTGTGGTGCATTGATTCCTTTTGACCAGGCAGATGCTGATCTGTGTGTGACAGAAAAATAAAGTTTCCCTTCTTCAGTCACTCTCAACTGCACTCGTATTATTTAGAGATCTCAACAATGTACCTTGCTACCAACATAAGTCCCGATCCCCCTTTTGGGATGACGGTTGTCACCATCTTATAACCTCACTAAAATCCGGAAAACGCTTGCAAGCTGAGTGGAACAACATGGACGTCCAGAATAAACACCTCATTAGAGAACCATACATTGCACCTCCTGGCTTTGCATTCCTCCATCAACCGTGTCAGAACAGCGACAAGCCAATGCTCACATCTCTTTCATAAATAGAAAATTAGGTCAAGCCACAGTGCAATTTAAGACTATGCAACCCAAGCTATGCACGAATATAGTAACCCACTGTAGTCTGTCTTCCTTCAACGGAGTGGTAATTAGTAAAGCTACACAAAGTTTCTCCTGAAGCCCTCTCGTTGTGACCAGCAGACCTCGGACATTGGCTTATGGCTCCTGAACATGTTGCCCTCATGTGCAAGAATCAAATAGTTCAGGGGTTGGCAACCTGCGGCTCCCGGTGCCGCATGCGGCTCTTTAAAGACTATTCTTTGGGTCTTTCGGTAAAGCCACGTAGATAGAAAAATAATAATAAAAATATCACTACGTTTCGATCGCAACACAAGCAATCGTCATTGTATGAAAAAATATATATAGCAGGAGAGCTGCTGAGGCAGGATGTTTTATAGGTTTGAGATAGGCGTAGCCCAATGGTAAGTGGGCGGGGCTAGAGATGGGTGTAGCCCAAGGGTAAGTGGGCGGGGATAGAGATGGTGTAGCCCAAGAGTAAGTGGGCGGGGCTAGAGGTGGGTGTAGCCCAAGGGTAAGTGGGCAGGGGTAGAGATGGAATTTGCATGTCAATGTAAGATCGGAGAGCTGATATACCTCCACGACGACGCAGCTGTGGAGGTGGCCATTGTAGCCCCGCCCACTTACCCTTGGGCTCAACCCATCTCAAACCTATATAACATCCTGTTTCAGCAGCTGTCCCGCTATATATATTTTTTGTGTTGCGATCAAATCGTCGTGGTATTTTTATTATTTTTCTATCTACGTGGCTTTCCCGAAAGACCCAAAGAATATGAATTCCTGCAGTCATGAAAGCTTTAAGTCTTTAAAGACTGTTTGGTGATGATATTTATTAAGAACCACTGCCTCATATTCACCACAGTGCATTGCGCCTCTTGAAATCTTGAGTTTTTTTTCCAAATTCGATAAAAATTTATCTTGTTGGTTGCCGACCCCTGGAATAGCTGCACCCCCTTAACCATTGCTCTTGTAGGTACTGCTTCTGATTTTGTTATCAATGGGTGTCCATCCCTTCAGACAGGACTTCCTGTTGGAACGTGTCACTGTGGGCCTGCAAGGCGACGTAGGGGAGGAGCAGGCCCTGCGCTGCCTGCTCGGCGCGCCTCTGCTGGAGGACTTGGCCACGTGGTCACACTGGGAGCTGCTCTTTGAGCCTCAGCTTGGAGCGCTCAAGAAGTTCATCGAGAGGGGCTGCTCGGGAAAGGTGGCCCAGCTGCTGGCCAAGAGTGGTATGTGTTTTGCCCAGGGCTTCGTTTCAGGCCGTGGTCTGTCTGAGCCGGGCGATATGGTTGCCATCGATTGAGGCTCACACAAAGTTGGACATCTGTAATCTTCTCAGTGGCCTCGTGACTAGTCTTGTTTAGCCATTAGTGTCCACTACGATGTGACCCAAGTGTTCACTGGTGCTGGCTCATTTATCTAACATTGGCATTACAGACCATGATACAGCACATGGCCTCTTTAGTGGTTTATTTAACACCTCTTTTCAACTGACCAACTGAGCTGCATCAATGCTGTGTCGAGCCAGCCCAGTTTGTATTTACACTGCAGAAGCCATATTACGCTGATGAGATGGCAGGAAATGAATGACAAGTCAAGGCATGGGTAGATGACCCGACACACTGTGTTCTTATATTTTACTGACTAATTTCATGCACAATGAATGTCTCTCGCCCCCGTCGGTGGTTTGGCCCCAAACCAGATTCAGATGTCTTGTGAGGCCAGCATAGCACGGTTTGGTTTTAGCTCAGCTCAGCAATGAGCCAGCGGAAAACCACCCCCATACCATGAGCACCTCCACCCTGGCACGGCTCGGATATTTTGCCAGTGGAAAATGGGATCCGATGTCCTCTTGCGTGCACTGCACTGTCCACAAAGGTTTCTCCGAGCTCCTCGCCCTGGAGGTGAAACCAGGGCTCCTGCTCCGCCTCGACCCCGACCCCTCCCCCGACAAGTTCGACGAGGCCGCCCTCCGCCACGACCCCGTGATCGTCGCCGGGCAGCTGGTCTCCATGGTGACAGCCGATGGACTGGGACATGCCCCCCTGGCCCTGCTAGCCAATCGGATGGAATCTGTCCTTGCGTCTATGGCGGTGGGCAGAGGTGAGCTTTAAACAATAGGTTTTTTTAAGTATGCAGAATAATAGCTTTCATGTTGGTTGCATACCTATGGGGCCCACTACATTGTTTAAGACTGTGTCCTGGACCTGCGTTACATACTAGAGTGAACAAGTCCGACTGCTGATGAGGCCCTGATAGTCAAAACTGGTCCATAGTTTCCCTGCTGAAACAAATTCTGCTGGTTAATATCAATCTGAAATGCCAGCAGGCTGATGGACTGCAACATGTGTTTCCTTATGTGCAAATACATAACAGAGTTCTGCTTGTATATGATAAATATACCAATGTGCCTAATCGAGAGTTTTCAATTGCTGCGTATGACCTCTTCCATGGCATATGGATCAGGATCAAACGTTGAATGAAACAAACGTTTTCAAGTTCATAGCGGAGTATGGAGAGGTGCATGCTGGAAATTACATTTATGAACAGTGGGGGACATATGGATCGGAGAACAATCGCAAGTTAAGAGACATCACATTCATTATTATTAAAAGTAAGTGGGGTTGGCTAGGACACGGCGCCAAAATAGATGCTGGCCGGTTGAGATTGACAAAGGATTGGCAGCCGAAGGAGGGATCACTCCCGAGAGGTCGTGTGCCAAGGAGATGGAGCGCAGAGATCAGCTCGTGGGCAGGAGTCACGTGGATTGTTGCATCGTGTGGCTGTGATGTACAGTGACGACTCGGGGAGGCCTTCATCCAGCAGTGAATTGATCGCGGCTGATGATGACAGATTTTATGCGGCCATCTGGAATGTTCTTCCAATATTAGGAAGCCACTGCAGCTATGCACTTTTAAATCTAGATTGAAAACTAATTTCTTTTGAAGTGCTTTTTGTGTTTAGTTTGTTGTCCTTTCCCCGCACCTCCGATTAGCACGGTTGGCTGCGTAATATGGGCAAGAAGTTCAACATACACACATGTGATTAGATCTCTATGAACGTGATTAGAGATCAGGTTATAATCCAACACAGTGTTGCCGTTTTTCTGCTCTGTGCCTCACGATAATTATCTGGAGGCTGCAGGAATTAATATTCTTGGGTCTTTCGGTAAAGTCACATAGGTTAAAAAAAAAAATAACAAAAAACTACGACGTTTCCATCGCAACACAAGCGGTTGTCTTCAGGAAAAGGGGGGTTAGCTTCCAAGGCAAACTGTTTATAAGGGTTTGAAATGAGCGCAGTTCAAATGTCAGAAGCCAATGATAATGTAAGTGGTGGGCAGACAACCAGACGGTTGGTTTTCCACCAATCAAGAGGCTGCCAGGTGAAAATTAGCATGTTAATGGGAGATTAGGATGTTAATGGGAGATCGCAGAGCTGCAACCAAGGGGTCGGCACGCGAAGTGACTGCGAGTGTGAATCCTGTGAAAGCGCAAGTTTGAAATGGAAGTAAAAGCACAACTAGCATCGGAAGGTGGTAGGACGAGAACATCATGGCCAATTATGACTTAAACTGGTTGATAACGTCCTTCCAATGATTTCTCAGTTTATACCCATCTTCTTGGTTGAAATTGTGTCTGTGTCTATAAATATGGATGGCTTCATGAACGAATCTTTGTTGATAGCCAGTGGACTTGCAAAATACCTTCGTCTTAGAGAAATCAATTTTGTGTGAGCCCACCGCATTAAAACAATGATCAGCCACGGCCGAGGTATTGGTCCCACCGTGTTTCAGATCTGCCTTATGTTCACAAACACGGTCTGAGACATGTCGCTTAGGTTCCCCAATGTAACTTCTGCCGCAGACACAGCTTAGTTTGTAGACCCCGGGGTATTACATATCAGGGATCACATCCTTCACAGATGGGATCAGATCACTAATTTTGTGTATTGTGTTAAATTGAACCTGGATCTTGTGTTTGCTCATGATTTTGGACATCTTTTTAGTGACGCCTGCTATGTATGGCAAGGTGATGGTTTTGATTGGGTCCTCAGATGGTTCTTTCCCAATGGTTGGGGTGATAGCTTTACGGATTGTGTAGTCTGAATATCCATTCATCTTGAGAGCTTGGTGTACGTGTTCCAGTTCACTGGCTGGGTGATGATGGTCGTAAATACATCGAGCTCTATCGTGTCATGTTTTGATGAGGGAATTCTTCTGGGCAGGATGGTGGTGGGAGTCAGATTTTAGGTAGGCATCCGTATGGGTGGCTTTCCTGTAGACAGTGTCCCATTGAGCCACCTAGTCTCTTTTCGATTAAAACATCCAAGAATGGTAACTTGCATCCTTTTCCACCTCCATGGTGAATTTGATGGCTGGGTGTATGGCGTTAGTAGATGTCTGGATGGCATCTATCGCAAATTTTTCCATGAAAACATTGGCTCCAACTGGAGATAAGGGAGAACCTTCAACTTGTTTGCAGAATGTTCCATTCCAGGTGAAGTGAGTGTTGGTGAGGCAGTGTCTCACCAGGGCCAGTTACATCAGCATTCAGTCGTTGTTTGACCAAATCTTCAATGATTGCAATGGTGTCAGGCACAGGAATTTTGGTAAACAAAGAGACCACATCGAAACTAAAGAGCAATTCACCTGGAGATGGTTAGATTTCCTTAATTAACGATATCAAGTGAGCTGAGTTGAGTACAGCTGAAGCCATCCATATATATAGACAAAGACACACTTTCAACTGAGAAGATGGGTACAAACTGAGCAATCATTGGAAGGACGTTATCAACCAGTGTAAGTCATAACTGGCTATGATGTTCCCATCGTACCACCTTCCGATGCTAGTTGTGCTTTACGCCCATTTCAAACTTGCGCTTTCACAGGGTTCACACGAGCACAGTCACTTCACGTGCCGATCCGTGCCTTGCGGCTCTGCGACCCTCCATTAACATTCTAATCTGCCATTAACATTCTAATCTTCCATTAACATGCTCATTTTCACCTGGCCGCCCTTTGATTGGTGGAAAACCAACCACTGTGGGGTTGGCTGCCCACCACTTACATTATCATTGGCTGCTGACATTTGGGCTACGCCCATTTCAAACCCCTTATAAACAGTTTGCCTTGGAAGCTAACCCCCCTTTTCCTGAAGACGACCGCTTGTGTTGCGATGGAAACGTCGTAGTTTTTTGTTATTTTTTTTAACCTATCTACGTGACTTTACCAAAAGACCCAAGAATATTCATTCCTGCAGCCTCCAGATAATTATCGTGAGGCACAGAGCAGAAAAACGGCAACACTGTGTTGGATTATAACCTGATCTCTAATCGCATTCATAGAGATCGAATCACATGTGTGTATGTTGAACTTCTTGCCCATATTACGCAGCCAACTGCTAATCGGAGGTGCGGGGGAGGACAACAAACTAAACATAAAAAGCACTTCAAAAGAAATTAGTTTTCAATCTAGATTTAAAAGTGTATAGCTGCAGTGGCTTCCCAATATTGGAAGGAAGAACGTTCCAGATGGCCGCATAAAATCTGTCATCAGCCGCGATCAATTCACTGCTGGATGAAGTCCTCCCCGAGTCGTCACCGTACATCACAGCGACACGATGCAACAATCCAAGCAACTCCTGCCCACGAGCTGATCTCTGCGCTCCATCTCCTTGGCACACGACCTCTCGAGAGTGATCCTTCCTTCGGCTGCCAATCCTTTGTCAATCTCAACCGGCCAGCATCTATTTTGGCGCCGTGTCCTAGCCAAGCGCACTTATTTTTAATAATAATGAATGTGAGGTCTCTTAACTTGCGATTGTTCTCCGATCAATATGTTCCCCACTGTTCATAAATGTAATTTCCAGCATGCACCTCTCTATACTCCGCTATGAACTTTAAAACGTTTGTTTCATTCAACGTTTGTTCCTGATCCATATGCCATGGAAGAGGTCATACGCAGCAATTGAAAACTCTCGATTAGGCACATTGGTATATTTATCATATACAAGCAGAACTCTGTTATGCATTTCCTGCTGTCACGAAAGCTATAAGTCAAGATTTAGGCTGCGGCAACCTTGAGCACAGGGGATAATTTTGGTAAAATTTGGGCATCGTGTCAATGCCAGGTGCATGTGCAGAGTCCAGCACGGAGGATGAGGAGTCGTCGGGCAAGCTGGCCGCGAGGTTCGTCTTGGACTGCCTGTGCCGGATTCCTCTCCGCTTGTGCAAGGCTCTGGCTCCACAGGTGAGGATGAACTTCACCATCATCCCCATTCTCATCACTTCCCCATTGGCCTCCAAAATCTTCACGTCGTATATTTTCTGTATTTGTTCTTGAGTTATCGATTCACCTACATGGCGGCACTTTGCCATGCGCTGTTACAAGAGATGTGGTTTTTTTTTCTTCGTGTGGAGGTCAAACCGAGATTGTAATTTTTCTGTGAATTCTTAGAGCCAGAATTTTTACCAAAACCAACGATTTAAGAATATATTTTATTTATTTTGGTCACCGGGCAAAAACCATGAACTCACGACACTTTAAAGTCTGTAATCTTAGTTTTTTTCGGTAAAGTCACGTTGAAAAAACTAAGAATATGAATTACTGCAGTCACGAAAGCTTTAAATCAAAACTTTAAAGTCTGGTTTAACGATGATGCTTTCCTAGATTCAAACCCCAGGATCTTAGCATAGGTGACCTCCACTGATACAGATTTAATAATTATAATTATGCAATTTATCACGCACAATATGTCAGGACATCCGAGGTGCGGAGCCAAACTCGGTGTTTCGCTTGAAAGCCAGGCAATAGAGATGAGGCCTTAAAGTGTCTCTTAGAAGTTGGTGTAGATTGAACTCTGGTGCTGCTGCTGCTACTTCTGCTCCTTTTGATACTGCACATATGCAGCGGGATGGCATCCAGATGCATAGGTGACCTCCACTGATACAGATTTAATAATTATAATTATGCAATTTATCACGCACAATATGTCAGGACATCCGAGGTGCGGAGCCAAACTCGGTGTTTCGCTCGAAAGCCAGGCAATAGACATGAGGCCTTAAAGTGTCTCTTAGAAGTTGGTGTAGATTGAACTCTGGTGCTGCTGCTACTTCTGCTCCTTTTGATACTGCACATATGCAGCGGGATGGCATCCAGATGGCGGGGACTGCCACGGAGAAACGAAGGTCGGTCCTGGTCCTTGGTGTAGATAGGAGAAGGACGAGGAGGTTGTGAGTCGCTTCTACTGCTGCTGCCGCTGCAGAGAGTTCTACCGTGAGCTGCAATGCAGGCCGACAGTAGAGCGACGAGATGCCGTGGACGATCGGAAGTAGAAGTGCGGTGGCAAAGGCAGGCGATCTAAGTAGCTGACCCTGCTGCTGGTGGTGGGAAACCAGTAGAGGGAGTGGAGAGATAGGGGTTGTTGTAAGTTACACATTTCACTGGCAAACATTGTACAGAAGAGATGGGAACATTAAAATAACTTAGGATTTGTTCTGTAAAGTTTCATACAAACTGTTCAGTACGTAGAGAAGGACTATAGGAATGTGTAAGCTTTTGATTTAAAGCTTTCGTGACTGCAGTAATTTATATTCTTAGCTCTCTGTAAAGTCACGTTGAAGGGAAACAATAAAATAATAAAATATATATTAATTTAAATTCTCACGACGTTTCGACCATAACACAAACGGTCGTCATCAGGTGTGTCGGTTTGCATACATTTATTTATTTTTAAACGGTGTATTTATTTATAAAAAACGTCAGCGCCACGCGCAGCGATTTGGCAGTTTATTTAGAAGGACTAGTCCATCTATGTTCTGAAAAGAGGAGGGGGGAGACGAAAAATTAATGTATGCTGTCTGAAAGCCACTGTAAGCGTGAACAATCAATTAAGACCTGAAATGGTTTATCAAATTTTTCCAATGATTGCTAAGCCAGAATCCATCTTCTCGGTTGAAATTGTCTCTGTGCTTGTATATGTGGATAGCGTCATGAACGAATCTCTCATGGTAGCCAGATGGCTTACAAAGAACCTCTGTCTTGGAAAAGTCAATATCACATCGCTGCAGACGTAGCAAGATCTGAAATCGCTGCAACCCTCAAAAACGCTAAGATGCCAGCTAGCAACCTCAGCAAAGATGAGCGTTTTGAATTATATAAATTAAAAAAGAGGGATGATATTGTAGTCCTCTCAGCTGACAAGGACAATGCTACTGTCATCATGGATAAAATAGAATACAACAACAAAATTAAAGAATTACTCGACGATGGTAGTTATACAAAAATAAAAAGAGATCCCACCAACAGCCTCGTCACACTAACCAACAAAATAATTTCTGATTCAACCGCATTAATTGATCAATCTAAACAGTTTTCGTTGAAACCTTCTGCTGCAAGGCCACCAAGATTATACGGCTTACCAAAAATACATAAAGTAGATACACCCCATACTCTTTGGTTCTATTGGGTAAAGTCACGTAGGTGAAAATAAAATAACAAAAAATCACGACGTTTCGGCCACAACACAAGCGGCCTTCATCAGGTGAAGGGACGAGACTGTCTGGAGGACAGCGCTGGAGTGGAAGAAGCCACGCTTAGATCACGACCTTTAAGCTGTGTGAGAAGAAAAAGACCAAGCGCCTTGACAAAGGAATTAGCATATAATTTAGCATTGAAATGGCTCATTGAAATAGCTAAGTTTAAGTATACACATCCGTAGAGGTACCCCTTGACAAAGGAATTAGCGCTGGAGTGGAAGAAGCCACGCTTAGATCACGACCTTTAAGCTGTGAGAAGAAAAAGACCAAGCGCCTTGACAAAGGAATTAGCATATAATTTAGCATTGAAATGGCTCATTGAAATAGCTAAGTTAAAGTATACACATCCGCAGAGGTACCCCTTGACAAAGGAATTAGCGCTGGAGTGGAAGAAGCCTCGCTTAGATCACGACCTTTAAGCTGTGAGAAGAAAAAGACCAAGCGCCTTGACAAAGGAATTAGCATATAATTTAGCATTGAAATGGCTCATTGAAATAGCTAAGTTAAAGTATACACATCCGCAGAGGTACCCCTTGACAAAGGAATTAGCATCGAATTTAGCATTGAAATAGCTGAGTGATTAGCTTGTAACTGGTCACAGAAATAGCTATGTTAAAGTTAGAGCATATACATTCACCGAGGCACCTAGTACTCATCAAACAGAAGAATTTAGCGAAACACAACCACGCTCAGACATCGGACCTGTGTGCGAGCTAACAAGGTGTTCTGACAAAGAAATTAGCATCGAGACGCTGACCTTCCTCAAAAGATGCCGCGATCACAAGGTAATACCCATCGCTTTCACACTCACTTCTGCTGCTGTATCTTCTCTGAATTCTAAACAGATTCTGCTTAAGGCCAGCCTATCTTTAATCTCAGAGAGGATAAGGCTACTCCGATTTGAACTCGATACTTTAGACAGGACTCTCCTACAAGCTCATTTAATGTTAACACAAAAAATGTCACCTTCTGATTGGAATCACGTAGACAACATGACTGCTTATTCTGCTGAGTCACTGTCAGCCAAATGTAAAGCTAACCTGATTTCTAAATTCAACCACCTATCAAAGAAGAACCCAGTTCCACATATAACAAAACTAGATGTTAACAAAATCGTCATTAATCAGAGTAGCACCCCGATTTCGGACAATCTGAAAACAGTACTGGCTAGGGGACTAAATTTTGCTGTCACCCCAAAACACATACTAATAGATGATATCATCTCTCAGGTCGATGTAGCCCTCAAAGGCGTAGGACACATCCAAGCAGACGTTGTGAGAGCTGAAATAGCCACTATTCTTAAGAATGCTAAGAAACCCATTAGTAACATCAGCAAAAATGAATGCTCTGAACTCGCGAATTTAAAAAAACAGAAGTGATATAGTCATCCTCTCAGCCGATAAAGGCAACGCTACTGTTATTATGGATAAAGATTCATACAACAATAAAATCCAGAATCTGCTCAACGATGGAAGTTACTCAAAAATAAAAAATGACCCTACTAATAGCCTAGCGATAAAAACCAACAAGATCATCACAAGTTTGACCTCCCTAATCGACCCAACTAAACGTCCCTCCCTAAAACCTTCTGCTGCAAGACCCCCTAGATTCTATGGTCTTCCCAAGAGTCATAAAGAAGGCACCCCACTTCGATCCATCGTATCCACGATCAACTCCCCTACCTATAGACTAGCCCGTTTTCTGTCAGATACCTTGCTGCCTTTCACTGGCAAGACCGCCTCAGCAGTACTCAACTCAGCCCAATTGGTCTCTATGGTCAGAGACATTGTACTGTCCCCTGACGATATCCTTGTCAGCTTCGATGTGATCTCTTTGTTCACCAAGGTCCCAGTACCTGATACCATTGAAATAATTGAAAATTTGGTCCAACATGGACTAGACCCTGACACACCTGCACTGGTTAGGCACTACCTCAACAATACCTACTTTACTTGGAATGGCTCCTTCTACAAACAAAATGAGGGTACCCCCATGGGATCCCCCTTATCACCAGTGATAGCCAATATTTTCATGGAGAAATTTGAATCAGACGCCATCCAGACTTCCACCCTCAGACCTTCCCTGTGGAAGAGATATGTGGATGACACTTTCGTCATTTGGCCACATGGCCTCCCAGCTCTGAACCTTTTCCTACACCACATCAATTCCAGACATCCCGCCATCAAATTCACCATGGAAGTGGAGAAAGATGGCAAGCTACCATTCTTAGATGTTCTGTTTGAGAGGAGACCTGATGGCTCATTGGGGCATTCTGTCTACAGGAAACCCACCCACACAGATTCCTACTTGAAACCTCATTCCCACCACCACCCAGCCCAAAAGAATTCTCTCATTAAAACTTAATACCATAGGGCTCATTGCATTTTGGACCAACACCACCTGACCAGTGAATTAAAACATGTACACCTGGCCCTCAAAAGGAATGGTTACTCTGACCGTACCATCCGTCAAGCTGTCTCTCCCTCCATACAGAAACAACCACTTGATACTCCGGTCAAAACCATCACACTTCCATATATAGCAGGCGTTACTAAAAAGATTTCCAAAATTCTAAACAAACACAAGATCCAGGTCCGGTTCAATACAGTACACAAAATTCGTGATCTGATCCCATCCGTGAAGGATGTCATTCCTGATTTACAGTACCCCGGGGTTTACAAATTGAGTTGTACCTGCGGTGATTGCTACATCGGTGAGACAAAGCGACATGTCTCTGACCGAATTCGCGAGCACAAATCAGATTTGAAACACGGCAAAACGAATTCTTCTGCCGTGGCTGATCACTGTTACAACGCTGTGGGGGATCACGATATAATTTTCTCCGATACCAAGGTTCTTTGCAAACCCACGGGCTTTTATCAGAGATTTGTTCATGAAGCAATTCATATCTACAAACACAGACACAATTTCAACCGAGAGGATGGTTTCAAATTAAGCAACCATTGGAAAGATGTTCTAAATCGAACTAAACATTAAACTAATTTCAATGGTACAGTATATTTTTCAAGTAGTGGTACCCCAAACTTTCGCAGCTCTTATAAATTCCCCCTTTTCACACCATCAATAGGTAAACTCCCCCTCCCCCCCCCCCCCCCCCCCCCCCCCCCCCCCCCGCGCAAAACTGCAAGTCCACCGGCACGTACACCACCTCTTTCCTAAAATCCGCCAATCAAATGCTAATTTTTATGCTAATTTCTTTGTCAGAACACCTTGTTTGCTCGCACACAGGTCCGATGTCTGAGCGTGGTTGTGTTTCGCTAAATTCTCCTGTTTGATGAGTACTAGGTGCCTCGGTGAATGTATATGCTCTAACTTTAACATAGCTATTTCTGTGACCAGTTACAAGCTAATCACTCAGCTATTTCAATGCTAAATTCGATGCTAATTCCTTTGTCAAGGGGTACCTCTGCGGATGTGTATACTTTAACTTAGCTATTTCAATGAGCCATTTCAATGCTAAATTATATGCTAATTCCTTTGTCAAGGCGCTTGGTCTTTTTCTTCTCACACAGCTTAAAGGTCGTGATCTAAGCGTGGCTTCTTCCACTCCAGCGCTAATTCCTTTGTCAAGGGGTACCTCTGCGGATGTGTATACTTTAACTTAGCTATTTCAATGAGCCATTTCAATGCTAAATTATATGCTAATTCCTTTGTCAAGGCGCTTGGTCGTTTTCTTCTCACACAGCTTAAAGGTCGTGATCTAAGCGTGGCTTCTTCCACTCCAGCGCTGTCCTCCAGACAGTCTCGTCCCTTCACCTGATGAAGGCCGCTTGTGTTGTGGCCGAAACGTCGTGATTTTTTGTTATTTTATTTTCACCTACATGACTTTACCCAATAGAACCAAGGAGTATGGATCCTAGCAGTCACGAAAGCTTTAAACCTAGAATAGATACACCCCTTCGTCCCATCGTCTCTACTATCAACTCCCTCACCTACAAACTGGCTCGTTTTTTGTCTGAAATCCTGCGTCCTTTCACTGGAAAAACCACCTCTGTGGTACAAAATTCTACTCACCTGGTATCGACAATCAAGGGTATTTCCCTGTCCCCAGACGACCTGCTTGTCAGTTTTGATGTAGTTTCCTTATTCACCAAGGTTCCTGTACCTGACACCATCGCAATCATTGAAGACTTGGTTCATCAAGGACTAAACACTGAGGTACCCCCCCTGGTGAGACACTGTTTAACCAATACCTACTTCACTTGGAATGGAACTTTCTACAAACAAACTGAGGGCACCCCAATGGGCTCCCCCCTATCTCCGGTTATAGCTGACATTTTCATGGAGAAATTTGAGATTGACGCCATCCAGACTGCCACTCTGCGCCCAAACTTATGGAAGAGGTACGTGGATGACACTTTTGTCATCTGGCCACATGGCCGGCCTGCTCTAGACCAATTCTTCGACCACATCAATTCCATACACCCAGCCATCAGATTTACCATGGAAGTTGAAAAAGATGGCAAGCTACCTTTTTTGGATGTCCTAATTAAAAAGAGACCTGATGGTTCAATGAGCCACTCTGTCTACAGGAAAGCTACCCATACGGATGCTTATCTGAAACCGGATTCCCACCACCATCCATCACAGAAGAATTATCTCATCAAGACTCTGTATCATAGAGCCCAATGCATATCCGACCAGGAACACATAGGCAGTGAACTCAAGCACGTACACCAAGCTCTTAAGGCTAATGGTTACTCCGACTATACAATCCGCAAAGCTATCACTCAAACCATGAAGAAGGACCCTCTTGAAGAGCCTTTCAAAACCATCACTTTACCCTACATTGCGGGGATCACAAAAAAGATCTCCAAAATCTTGAATAAACACAAGATCCAGGTCCGTTTCAACACATTGCATAAAATCCGTGATCTGGTACCATCTGTAAAAGATGTGATTCCGGACATACAGTACCCTGGTGTCTACAAACTAAGTTGCCTCTGTGGTAGTAGTTACATTGGAGAAACCAAACGCCATGTCTAGGATCGCATTCGTGAACACAAAGCAGACCTTAAACACGGTAGGACCAACACCTCGGCCGTGGCAGATCATTGTTATAATTCAGTAGGCTCACATGACATTGACTTTTCCAAGACAGAGGTTCTTTGTAAGCCATCTGGCTACCATGAGAGATTCGTTCATGAGGCTATCCACATATACAAGCACAGAGACAATTTCAACCGAGAAGATGGATTCTGGCTTAGCAATCATTGGAAAGATTTGATAAACCATTTCAGGTCTTAATTGATTGTTCACGCTTACAGTGGCTTTCAGACAGCATACATTAATTTTTCGTCTCCCCCCTCCTCTTTTCAGAACATAGATGGACTAGTCCTTCTAAATAAACTGCCAAATCGCTGCGCGTGGCGCTGACGTTTTTTATAAATAAATACACCGTTTAAAAATAAATAAATGTATGCAAATTGACACACCTGATGACGACCGTTTGTGTTATGGTCGAAACGTCGTGAGAATTTTAATTTTTTATATATATTTTATTATTTTATTGTTTCCCTTCAACGTGACTTTACCAAAAGAGCTAAGAACATAATGTGTAAGCTGTTACGGCATTACAGGTAAGATTGTCTGAATACTTAAGAACTTGTCTAATACAACACGGGCTTGTGTGCGGTTTGAAGCAATGATACCAGAGTGGTTTTGGGTAAGGAACCTGTTAAACAGTCACCTACATAAGTTATTTGTCAAGCTGGACCGTGCTTTCACTCAAACCGTCGATATTGTAACTACAGCCAAGTACCCAGTGTTTACACCACTGCACAGTGACAGCTTCTGCCCCTGCTGGTCATCATCAACTCCAACCACCAGTACACTGTCACCGGATTGTCTCCTATGACATGCTCCCCGCAGTTTAGTGTTGTCTGGAACACCCAGCCACACACCCACCTTCCCAACCACGCACCCACGTTCAACTGGTTGTCAACCAGTTCTGCAGGAAGAGATTTAATTCAGCTGGTAAGGCCCAATTGAGCTAAGTAGCCCTGTTACAAAGATTAACCACACCCGAAGACCATAGGCAGTGGTGGCAATTACAGGACTTTGCAGGGTAGAGTAAATGTTTTTTGTTACATGAAACCCACACGATAATTTGAAAACATGGTAAATAAATAGTGACTGTAACAAATCAATGCCAGACTCAAGATGGAAATGTTCTGGTGACAATAGCCGTTGTGCGATAAGAATGGCACACGTACCACACGTCCTAATTGACGTGTTACTTGCTCCGAGCGTCCACCAGGCTTAACGAGCTGGGGTCGTCGTTCCATTTGCGCGTTTGCGCACGCAGGTGCTGCTGGAGCCTTGCGGCCGCGCCCTGGGCCAGACGCGCTCCCGTGAGCTCCTGGGGCGCGTCGCCACGGACCCGCGTGACCGCCTCCGCCTGCAGCAGCTGGGTCTGCTGCTCGGCATCACCGAGTGGAGCCGCGAGCTGCAGCGCCGAATGCAGGCGGAGCCCCAGGCAGCGCCACGCGCGCCGCTCCGTCCCGTCGCGGTGCGTGCTCCGAACGAGGTGGGGGGCGCGTCCGGCGTGCGAGATGACACGCCGCGCGTGTGTGTGCGCGTGTATGTGTGTGCGTGTGTGTGCATGTCGACGCGTGTATGTGTGTGTGTGCATGTCGACGTGTGTGTGTGCGTGTGTGTGCGTATGTGCGTGTGTGTGCATGTCGACGCCCGCGCGTGTGTGTGCGCGCTCATGGGGAGCGGTAGTGTAGCGGTTAGCGCTATGCTGCGCTATGAACCTGGCGACCCGGGTTCGATTCCCGCTCACGGCCAACACCAGTGACGATTATCTGAACCGGTCCTGGGCCTCCCCTAGGTCGACTCAACATCAAATGAGTACCTAATGCGGTGGATAAAAACATTGCTACTGGGGAGACAAAGGCGGTCGGGCGTGGCGCTGGCCACCCACCCCCTCGTGTACCGTTCCGGCCTTCATAGGTGCTCGCTAACAGCACTTGCCCCTACAGTCCGTTAAGGCTATACGGGGAATCTTTGTGTGTGCATGTGTGTATGTGTGTGCATGTCGACGCGCGCGCGTGTGTGCGCGTGTGTGCGTGTGTGTGTGTTTGCATGTCAACGCGCGCGCGCGTGTGTGTGTGCGCGTGTGTGTGTGTGCGCGTGCGTGCGTGTGTGTGTGCGCATGCGTGCGTACGTGTGTGCGTGTGTGCGCGTCGCGGCCCTTCTCTCGCTCCTGGCTGCTGGACGACGAGCACCGCCTCCCACGCCATTGCGGGTCGCCGGGGGGGTATCTCGCCACGCTCGTGTATGAGCAAATATAATGTTGCACACACTTGGAAAACAATCTTCTCTAAAATGTTGAAAACAATCTAGCTTTATATATATTTTTTTGTCTTCCATTTGTCAGGCATTCGAACCTGCTGCTGCTGCTACTGCTGCTTCAGACTCTGACCCGACCAATGGCAGTGAAGAGGAGGAGAGCGGATCGGTGAAGTCCGAGTCCAAGTCAGATTCTGAGTCCGAGGATGAAGAGACCTCCGACTCGTCCGGTAGCTATGACACTGATACTGCCGCACTCGGGGGGCAGCAATGATGCTCACAGAACTCCTGCATCGCTTGCATCAGTGCACCGCGTCACAGAGGTGTTACTGGGTTCAAGAGTCGTGGTGCTTTCACAGGAGGTGAAATCAGGTCCCCGAGTGTAGAGAAGTTCAATGTCTGAACCCCCCAAACCAATGACTCCACGTGACCGTGGAGTGATTTTATGGATTGGCGTGATTTGATTCAGGAGTCAATTTTTATTTTTGTCTCGTTTGTATTGTTGCTCATTGTTTCCCAATCTCATTGCACCGTTATGTTTGTCACCATTACCGTAAGTGTAACATATCATTTGAACATGATTTGCATAAACCTTAACCTATGTATTCTCAAAAGGACTCCTCAATGGATGTATAATAAGCATAAAGAGTCGATTTAAATGCATGGATTGATGCGTGATTGCATGCCTGCTGCTCAGACAGTGGTTGGTGATGATTGATGATGATGATGGCATTGTAACCGAATGAAACTGAAATCCAGGGGATGAAGAGGAGGCTTGTCAGAAGTTCGCCCTTGCGCCTTCAACCTACGAGGTGGAGGGGAACAATGACGAGGCAAAGGAGAAGAAAGACGAGGTGGTGGAGGAGGTCGCCTCGGACGTAGTGGCCGACGCGGACGGAGCAGCCGCGTCCGAGGGTGAGAGGACAGCCGAGACGACAAACGCCGACGGAGACGTGGGGGAGGGGGAGGAGGCGCCACTCGCGGAGGAGATCCCTCCAACTGTGGAGGATCCGTGCAGAGCCATCGTGGAGGACATCCGGTGAGGAGCTGCCTCCACGCCAGCGCGCATCGCAACCGAGCAAGCCGTACGCTCGGCAGCAGGATCGGTCAAACAATTCAGTGCAGGACTCTCCTTGTGAAAAAGGTTACTTGAGGCTCACTGGTTTTTCCTGGGTCATTAATCGGCGGTATTACTACAGTCCACATGATGATGATGATGAAATGCGTCATGTGTACTGTGGCTTAGTTAACGTAGCTGGACAGTGCATTGTGCTTTTGCAGAGGATCAAGTACGTCGCCAACCGTGCTAATCGGAGGTGCGGGGGAAAGGACAACAAATTAAACACAAAAATCAGTTCATGAGGAATGTCAATAAACAGACAAACATCTCTTCATTTCTGCTTCTGAATGGGGTCCATTTCTTAAGTGTGGTTTTTGCGATCACATTTCAGGCAAAAAATCCCAAAGACACGATCTCTGCTAATGATCAGATGTATCCGGATGATCCAAAAGCACCTTTGAAAATAACGTGGCTAATATGATGTCGCTTCTGTGCTTCTTCCAATAGTGGGCTCCCGTGACATTGGGTGACGTCTCTTGTTAGCAGACGCGGTCAATGGTCCCACAGTTAAAATAATCCGAAATTGTTCTGCAGTTGTCCTTAAAAATCTTAACATCTGAAAAGGTGGAATGAGAAACATCCCCTAGTATGAGTTTCTGATATAAAAACTAGGGTCTTAAAGTCTTTATCGAACATTTTGGATCCTATTCTTGGTTCTTTCGGTAAAGTCACGTAAATTTAAAAAAAAATATTGCTGTGGCTTTCACACCTGATGATGATTGCTTGTGTTGCAGTAGAAATGTCGTGAGAATTTAATTGTTTTATATTATTTAATTGTTTCCCTTCTACCTGACTTTACCGAAAGAACCAAGAATATGAATCCCTGCAGTCACGAAAGCTTTAAATCAAAATTTTGGATCCTTTTTAGATTTTCGGATAATTCCAAATTTCTGTTGTGTTTTTGGCAGGAAAAGCGAGGGAAACGACGTCGCACATTATTATTAATGTAGTGACGGCATTAATAATGTCACTTTCAGTTATTTGATTGATCCAAAACATTATTTAAAAAATTAATGTATTTCACCAAAATGTTGTATCTGGGCCATATTTTTTCCCACAGCCCGGCAGCTCCCGCAGCCATTAATAGCAGGTATATCCACCGTATATTGTAGGCCATGCAGTTAGGATGTTTTTGATAATGGGGGAGCGCATCCCTGGGCACTTACGTTCGCCTGTCTTTTACCGGCGGGAGTGCAGGAGGCGCGAGTTTGGGATCGGCGTCGAGTTGAGCGAGGACGCAACGCAGCTCATGGAGGTGCAGCAGAGCCGCATCGGGCGCAGCCTCGAGCGCCTGTCCTCGGAGCTCTACAGCAAAGACACGCACTTCGTCCTAGAGCTCGTGCAGGCGAGACGCTCTGCCTGCACTCTTGCAAACCAGCGCACCCACGCACGCCTACACACACACCAACAACAACGACCGTCATTCTCCACTAAGTGGCTGTGATGTCACTACGGTGCCTGTGCCAGGCTATGTGCACGTTAAGGCCATGTGAGGTCACGGGACAGACCCAGGTGCCACGGGTGGACTGACTGAGATGACTGGCCGATGCACCACCTGTGCCCCCCTACTGTGCCAACTTGCTGTGTTTTAGCCGCCCGGCCCTCCGCTCATTGTTGTGAGCATTGCTCCTCTGCCCTTTGTTGTTACTGGAGGGTGACTGCCTCCAACTGCCCAAAAGCGTCCTTCACGAGCCTTTTCCAAAGAGGCCGATCTTGACACCGCTGGTACCAGTCATCCGCAAGTCCACTAGGTCCACATTCTCTCTTGTACCACATCACTCCATCTCTTCTCTAGCCTGTGCCGAGCCCATTTAGCCCCCTCTATCCAGCTGAACAAAATCTGTTTAGGCATCCGGTGGCTGAGCATGCTGGCTACATAACCCAGCCAATGGAACCTTGCCTGTCTGAGGAGCTCACCGATGGGACTTTGTCCAGATCTTCCAAAGATTTGTGAGCTCCTCACACAATCCAGGCTGGTTAAACCCTGAATTGATCATAGGCAGGCCAGCCTACATTTTTTTAACCGGCAAAGATGATCCATTAGTGGGGTCCACGTTTCGCAAGCATAGAGAAGGGAGGGCATGATTAGGCCGAGAAGACCCAAATCTTCGTGTGGAGTGACAGACCAGATTACTTCCACACAGTGTTACGCAGCCGATGAAAAGATAATGCCGCTCGACTGATTTGGAGTGAGACCTCTGCTGTCAAACCGGAGCCGGTCATGAGCACACTGCCCATGTATGGAAAACTCTTCACTCTCTCCACAACTGCCCTATCACCAATTGGAAGTTGTGGGGGTTAAGTGTCTGATGGCACAAAATACCCAGGCAGGTGCTTAGTTTTGGTAGGGCTGATGATAAGGCCCCACCTCTTAGTGGTATGCTCCAGGTTCAGCAGCAGCGCTTCCAACTCCTCCTCTGAGTGAGCAGCAACAACAACAACCGCCATTCGCCACTAAGTGGCGGTGACGTCACCACGATGCTTGTGCCAGGCTATGTGCACCTTGAGGCCATGTGAAGTGTCGAACGCCCACTGGCAGGAGGTCACGGGGCAAACCCAGGTGGCACGGGTCAACTGACAGACAACTGGCCGATGCACCACCTGTGCCCCCTACTGTGCCAACTTGCTGTGCTTTAGCCACCCGGCGCTCCGCTCGTTGTTGTGAGCATCGCTCTTCCGCCCTTTGTTGTTGTTGGAGGGCGACTGCCTCCAACTGCCCAGTAGCATCCTTCACGAGCCTCCTCCACAGAGGCCGATCTTGACACCGCTGGTACCAGTCATCGGCAAGTCCACTCAGCTCCACATCCTCCTGTACCACATCACTCCATCTCTTCTCTAGCCCGTGCCGCGCCTGTTTAGCCCCCTCGATCCGGCCGAACAAAAGCTGTTTGGGCATGCAGTGATTGGGCATGCGGGCTACATGGCCCAGCCAACGCAGCCTTGCCTGCCGAAGATGCTCACCGATGGGACTTTGTCCAGATATTTCAAGGATTTGTGAGCTCCTCACACAATCCAGCCTGGTTAAACCCAGGATTGATTGTAGGCAGGCCAGCCTAAATGTTTCTAACCGGCGAAGATGTTCCATTAGGGAGGTCCACGTTTCGAGAAGATCCGAAGCTTCGTGCGGAGCGACAGACCAGGTAGCTTCCACACAGCGTTACGCAACCGATGAAAAGATAATGTCGCTCGACTGATTCGGAGTGAGACCTCTGCTGTTAAACTGGAGCCGGTCATGAGCACACTGCCCAGGTATGGGAAACTCTCCACTCTCTCCCCAACTGCCCCATCACCGATTGGGAGTTGTGGGGGTGGACTGCCCGATGGCACAAAATACACAGGCAGGTGCTTCATTTTGGTGGGGCTGATGTACGGTAAGGCCCCACCTCTTAGTGGCACACTCCAGTTTCAGCAGCAGCGCCTCCAACTCCTCCTCTGAATGAGCAGCAATTACCAGGTCGTCGGCATACATAATGTGGTTGACCAATAGGGAGCCATCCCTTGACCGCACCCGGACATCGATCAGCCTCCCATTGTATCTGTACCAGACAGAAATTCCTCCGGTACAGCTACTGAAGGCTTCACGAACTATGTGGTTGAAATAGATGTTAAATAATGTTGGAGCCAGAGGACATCCCAGTCGCACCCCAAGGTGTACAGGGAATGGCTCTGACTCCCGGCTACGTAGTTTTACCCGGGCCTGCTCACCATCATGAAGGTCCTTAATGAGCGTGAGCAGAGGGTCAGGGACTCCGAAAGCACGAACAACCCAGAGCCCAGGCGTATTGATGGTATCATAGGCCTTGACCAGGTCAATGAAGCAGAGATGTAGGTCTTGTTGGAATTCCCTACATCTCTGCTGTAGCAGGCGGACAGAAAATATGGCATCTGTGCAGGACCACCCTTTCCTGAAACCACATTGGGGCTCCGCAAGCCTCTCCTCAACGTGCCTGGCAAGGCGATGTTGAATAATCCTTGCCAGGACCTTTCCCGGCACACTGAGGAGTGAGATGCCCCTGTAGTTGTTACAGTCTGTGTGGTCCCCCTTCTTAAAGAGGGGGACCACCAGGGCATCCTTCCAATCCTGCGGAACCCGTCCAGTGGCCCAGACTGTTGTTATGATGTCATGTAGGGCAGTCTGCGCACAAACGCCACCCTCCCTCAGCATTTCGCTTGGGAGATCTTCTCTGCCTGGTGCCTTTCCTGGTCTCAGACTCTGGGTCGCCTTCAGTACTTCCTCAACGGATGGTACCTCAGCCAGCCATTCACAGGGGGTGACTTCCTCCAATATTTGGGGCATCGCAGCCTCAGCAGGGTCATCCCTACTTTGTCCCATGATGTTTTCCAGGCTGAGGGATGTGTACTTTGGCTTTTGCCAAGTGGTTTCTGTCATGGACTTCCATCTCCAGATCCTCTCATTTTAATGTTATATAAAACAAAGTATCGCACTTACCGAGCACAGGCCCAAAGGTCCAAAATGCCAAGCGGCGAGTAACACGTGGCACTGTCCATGGTGTTTAATGAAGGGAGTCGCTATGTTTCTTGAATTGAGCAAGGTCATTCTTGTAAAAACTTGTGGAAAAGAGACAATGGGAGGGAATTGCACAGCAGAGCTGTGCGAGGGAAGAAGCAGAAAGGGAAGCAATGTGGTGGTTAAATAAGCACAGAGGAGATGAAACTGTAAGTCTTCAACATTGTTGGAGGAATTCATGAATGAAGTTCACGGGAACCATAACCATGGTAGGAGCAATAGAATAGTGAGCAGGAGGTGACTGACCGCCCGTGAGCGAGTAACTGAAGAGTGAATCGGTGATAGATGGATCATCGATCAACCCGACAGCTTTATGTATTCACCTTGGAAATGTTAGATGACTTTTTTCCTGCTTTGAGATGTTCGTCGAATTTCTGTTGTCGTTATCGTGGCCTCGCATGCGCATTTCATTTGGGCGCCGTTGTGGCGAGATGTTAACTCCCTCACCTCGTATGCAGGAGGTCATGGGGTTCAATCCCGACCCTAATGCCCGCTGCTTCTTTGCATGTTCTCCCCATGGTCGTGTGGAATTTTCTTTGGATCCTCCGATTTTTTTCCCCCCCCACATTTATAAACATGCGTCTTAGAGTATTTGCCTGCTTTAAATTTCCACGTGACAATCCACTTTGTAGAGTTGTAATTTATGGTCAGGCTGCTTTTGACAAAGAGCAATGGGGCTTGGTGGGCCTTGACCTGGTGACATTGTTCTTAAATTTCAGAACGCAGACGACAACAGCTACCCGAGCGGGCCAGACGCGCAGCCGCCGAGCCTCCTCTTCGTGGTGGAGAACGACCGCGTGACGCTGCTTAACAACGAGGTGGGCTTCAGCGAGCGCAACGTGCGCTACATCTGCGACATTGGCAAGAGCACCAAGGGCAAGCACAAGTACGGCTATATTGGTGAGTCCCCCCCCTCTCCCTCCGGTGCCAGTGGCGTCCAGGTCGTGCCGACGTTAACGGTGCCATCCCATAGGTTGGCTCGGCCTTAAATGCGTACCTGGTCCAGTGTGTAAATATCAGCGCTAGGGAAATGAAGGCAGCCTGACGTGCTGTTGGCTACCCGCCTCTTCGCGTGCCATGCCGACCTTAATATGAGCTTGCTAACAAACACTTGCTCCAAAAGTCAACAAAGACTGTATGGAGTATCTTTGTTTTTTTTTCTACAAATGATATGCATACATCTTCTTTGATTCTTTCGGTAAAGTCACGTAGAATGAGAATAAAATAATAAATTGATAAAATAAAATAACACAATAATATTCTCACGACGTTTCGGCCACAACACAAGCGGCCTTCATCAGGTGAAGGGACGAGACTATTTCTGTGACCAGTTACAAGCTAATCACTCAGCTATTTCAATGCTAAATTTTATGCTAATTCCTTTGTCAAGGGGTGCCTCTGCGGATGTGTATGCTTTAACTTAGCTATTTCAATGCTAAATTCTATGCTAATTCCTTTGTCAAGGGGTGCCTCTGCGGATGTGTATGCTTTAACTTTTAACATAGCCATTTCTGTGACCAGTCACAAGCTAATCACTCAGCCATTTCAATGCTAAATTATATGCTAATTCCTTTGTCAAGGCGCTTTGTTTCCTCTCACACAGCCTAAAGGTCGTGATCTGGACGTGGCTTTTTCACTCCAGCGCTGTCCTACCAGCCAGTCTCGTCCCTTCACCTGATGAAGGCCGCTTGTGTTGTGGCCGAAATGTCGTGAGAATATTATTGTGTTATTTTATTTTATCAATTTATTATTTTATTCTCATTCTACGTGACTTTACCGAAAGAACCAAAGAAGATGAATCATTGCAGTCACGAAAGCTTTAAATCGAAAGATATGCATACAATGAGGTGGTACAGTGGTACATTGGTGAGCATGCTTGCTGCTTTCTGAACCTAGCAACCTGCTTTTGATTCCAAACTGGGGATAACTAATGTCAGTGGTGAGCGATGTCAGAGTCCGTCCTGACACGTACACAGCCGTCACGCGTGCGAATACGATCACCGTTGACCGTCTCGACCGTTCCCCCCCCAGCCGCCTGCCCCTGACCCATTCAGCTGTCGTGTGCACTCTTCTTCCGCACCGCTGCGAGTGCAGGGCAGAAGGGCATAGGGTTCAAGTCGGTGTTCAAGGTCACGGACAGGCCCGAGATCCACTCCAACGGCTTCCACCTTCGCTTCGACCGGCGCAGCGGCCCCATGGGCCTCATCCTGCCGCACTGGGTGGACGAAGGGCGGGTCGAGGTGGGAGAGGGTGAGGAGGAGGAAGGCGGCCGGCGGCCTCTGGACCTCACTGGGGTGCCTGGCGAGGAGGACAGGTGGGTGGCTGCTGGCGCTGTGGGCACAGGGAAAAAAGGGTGACATGACATGCTTCCCTAACGTTTGCAAAGTACCCTGGGGAAGTTTTATAGCGACCGTCCCTGGCGACAAGGTTTGTTGACCTCTGTACGCCTTGCGGATTGTGGGGGTCATTTTACCATACTTCACCATGCTAGTCAGTGCAGGTTTGTGAAGGCAGGGAGCATGCACGGGGGGGGGGGGGGGAGCATAGAGGTACAGTACAACTATGGATTTTTCTGCACTGCCCTCTACTGTCCATAACCTCCGCAGCCATAGCCACCTGTTTTATGGACGGGCGGGTTACCCATCCAAGTATTGTCCAGGCTCAACCCTGCTTTAGCATCCGAGATTGGGCACATCCCGGGTGCGTTGGTCATAGGCGACAGCTGATTTGCTGGGAGCCACGCGTGACCATGAGCATTGCGTCTCCGCAGTTGGATGACCTGAATCGTTCTGCCTCTCAAGTCGGAAAGCCACCAGAAACAGAACCTGTTCCCTGACGTGCACCCGTCCCTGCTGCTCTTCCTGCACCGGCTGCGGGTCATCACCATAGTCAACAAGGTGACGCCACGCTATTCCCACGATGCAGCGGGTTCCGTAGCACGGGGACCGTGCCACTTGATGCTTTGTTATCCTCTCGCTCAACCACCCAGATCCGATTCACCCACGCCAACCACTGCTGGCCAGGTTAACTATTACCTGCCACTCGCGACTCGCTTCTGGGTGTCTCTCACGCATTGTTAGAGGACGCGTCTTGTCTCGCACACACACACACAAACTGAATGCACACCATCCCATTCCTCCGCACCTCACGAAACACAAGCCATCTCTCCATATAAACTAAATTTAATTTTTTATTTATTTTACCAGGTAAGGCCTAATGAGCTATGTAGCTCTTTTTCAGAAGCGACCTGGCCACAAATGATAGCTCAACAAAGTGGCTCATCACGTGGACATTTATAGAAGCAAAATACTACGAACGCTTGTTTATACATTGTGGAGGGAAAAACTGGAAAACCCGGAGAAAAATCCACGCCACCACGCTGTGAACATGCAAACTCCAAACATAAACCACATTCCCACACCACCATGCCAGAACAGATAGACCACTCGCCCAGTCAAACGGCGTCAACAATCAAGAGCCTACAATGCACAGTTGAGTTGATGGATCGCTTGTCTGTTGCGTTTAAATTGTGCCAAGTATTCGCTTGTTTGCTGGGTCATGAATCTTTCCTTTTGGGTCAGGCGTCATGTTGGTATAATGACAACATTTTAAACTATTTCCCTCGACGGAGCCGCCTATCAAATGAAGTTGTCATGTAGGCAAGCGTTTGCCAATTCACTTCGTTTTTGAGCAAACCGGGGGAATGTTAAAAAGTGAGTACAATTTGACTATTCACATTTCTGCCTTGTAGCCCTATTATACAGGCTGTTTTCAAAGTAAAATGACATGCGTTTAAAAATAATATAACACGCAATTCCTCTCGATGAAGGGTGTGCTGTCGCTGTAGTGTATTAGTTTACACAATGGTGCAAGGTTCTCAACTCCCGTGCCCCTCTTTGCACCCAGCAGCGTAAATGGGTCCACCTCAGATAGTTAACCGGCAGGTTGCGTGCGGTGAGATAAAAAGCGCTCCTACTCTTTCAAAATATCTGGCCAGCGTGGACGAGTCGGCCAAATACCCGCTAGAGGGGCTCTCTAGAGAAGTGGTTCTCAACCGGGGGTACGCGGATCCCTAGGGGTTCGTGGCAATTGTCTCGGGGGGTACGTGAGGTCATTTATAATTGTGTGAAATTATATCATATATTAGAGTTATTGGTGAATAATCACGTATGAATCTGCCAATATAAAATAACTACGATAATATTGAAATCCATATAGTAACCTTAATCGATATAAAAATCCTTTCTAAACTCGTTGATCGTAAACGATGCGGGTTTCCAAGAATAACCAGCGAGCGCGAACAAAAGACGTCACGCGTGCAGAGCGTCCGTTGATTCGATTTTTTTTAAATTCTCTTGCAGCTACTAGCTAGTTAGGATACCTCCCAAAATGGACAATTGGTTTCTCAGAGCCATGTTGGGTCAGGCAAGGGCACATACGGTTGGAACAAAAAGTTTGGAAAACCACCGCTCTAGAGTATCCTGAAACCGCCAATAGCGGAGCAACCAGGCGATTGCGTGGCCGCACCGTCTCCCTGCGTATTTATTGGGGTAAAGTACACGTGGCCCGTCGGGCTTCGCCGTCGCGTGTTCGTGCGCTGCAGGTCGATGGCAGCGTGCAATTCATGCAGCAGAGGGAGCTCGGGGACGGCGTGGTGGAGATCGAGCACTCGACGAGTTGCGGCAGATGGCTGCTCATCAAATAAACGCTCAACGCCGCCAAGGTGCCGTCTACGCTCCCCACTCGCGTCCCGTTCGCGTACTCCGCGCCAATGTATATGTGTATATGTTGAACTTCTTTCGTGCTGCTTTTTGGTTCTTTCGGTAAAGTCACGTAGAAAGAAAATAAATGTAATATTAGAATGCGACGATTCGATTGCAACACAAGCAAATCATCATCAGGTACGAAAGAAAGAGAAAATAAACCTAGTATACTTAGAAATATAATGCAATACAACACAGAGAGTCGGCTAGCATAACAGTCAACACCCTACCTGGTTGATTACGTTCTTCCCAAGATTGCTAAATTTGAGAGAGACAAAACACAGAACCGGAGACACATAGACAGACACATAAGCAGAGATAGACAACACAGAGACGCACAGAGAGAGACACACACATCGGAAACACAGAGAAACAACGCCTCTGTGTCGAGGCCTTAAATAGAGAGAGAGGGGGGCAGAGAGAGAGGGGGGGGTGGAGAAATTAGCATGTCAATGAGAGATTTGGAGCTTTCATGACTGCAGGAATTAATAGAGAGACACACACAGAGAGAAAACAAACTTAAAGCAATATATTGTTGGTTCTTTCGGTAAAGTCACGTAGAAGGGAAAACAATAAAATTATAAAAATATAAAACAATAAAATTCTCACGACGTTTCGACTGCAACACAAGTAATCATCATCAGGTGTGAAAACCACAACAAGAAAATTTTGAAAAAAGTGGATTTTTTTAACGTTAGCACCACGGAGAGCGATTTGGCAGTAATTCAGATGGACGAGTCCATCTATGTTCGGAAAAGAGGAGGGGGGAGACGAAAATAATGGATGCGGTCTGAATTCCTGCAGTCACGAAAGCTTTAAATCAAAATTAAAAAAAGCAAATTAGTAAAACTTGGAAATCTAATGTAATGTTCTTTCGCACTGTACGTCGCCAACCGTGCTAATCGGAGGTGTGGGGGAAGGACAAAAACAAGCTCTGGAAGCGGCGCAAGACCTACGGTTACACTGACACCCTGTTGCCTTGGCGCTTTCTGACGAAACGCTTTTGTCCGCGCGGGCGTGTGTCAGTCATTGCGCCGTGCTGGCCTTAGGTGCTCGCTAACAGCACTTGTGTGAAATATCAGCGTGGAGGAGACAAAGGTGACCATGCGTGGTGCCGGCATCCCACCACCTCGTGTGCCATGGCGGCTTTTAATGAGTGCTCGCGAACAGCACTTGCCCCAACAGTCGGTTATAGGCTATACGGGTAATCTTTTGCTTTAGTTGCACGCGTGCTCCGTCAGATGAAGGAGAACGTGGAAGCCACGGAGCTGGCGTTGGCGTTCCCTCTGGAGCAGGCGGAACCGGGCGAGCGCTCGGGGGGATTGCCTTCACTCCTGGACAAGCAGCCCGTGTTCGCCTTCCTGCCGCTCCGCAGCTACGGTTTCCGCTTCATCATTCAGGGTGCGTTGCCCGGCTACGCTCTCCCTGCATCCACCTCGCCAAAAAGAAGATGGACAAACACATTCGTAGCACCTCCTCCTATCATCCGAACCATTTCATCATTCGTCTCCTCTCAACTCTTGTTCATTTGCTCCTCCATTTACCTGCTGATGCTTGAAGCCAATGCTTAAAAACCCCCTGGAATCGAATTCCAGGGCTCTGGGTTTGTAGAGCAGTGCACTTCCCACTGCACCATCACTCCGGCATTATGCACACGTACGCTGCAGCACACAAACAAGATCAGCCCACACGGGACGTCGGTGGTTGTGAGCGTTCTTGCTTCTTCAAATGTTTCAATCTCAGCTGGCCCCTATGTGATTCTGCCATTTTGTTTTTATTCAAATGTAGAGACGAGACGTGGCTTAAATCGGTCGCTTCGAATGCATTGGTCTCTGGGAAGCCAGCCTACTTGTGCCTCCTTACGTAAAAGTGGTGAGGCTTAAAATCCCAGCAATTGTTGACCCAATTTTTGGATTAAAGCTATACAAGCTTTTAACGATGAATTTTTTAAAAAAAGTAGGTAAAAAAACAAGCATTTAAATGCACACGCTTTTATTTGCACTTAGAATTTGAAAATACATTATTTTGATCCCAGAATTAATCAGATTTGATGTATTTAATAATAAAATGAGTGGCTTCCTTTCGATATGTTTCATTTTCTTTATGCAAGCCAACCCACTTTTATTTTACACATCAAATTTTATTTTTTCTGGGGTTGAAATCATTTATTTTCTACTTTTGATTGCAAATAAAAGTGTGTGCATTGAAAATCTTGTCTTTTACCTCATGTTTTGTTTGTACTTGTTGCTCTCACGCTAAGGAAGAGGGAAGCACAACGGCCTCTCCGGCGCCATGACGAGCGGCGATATTAGCGTTCCTTTCATTGGTCATAGGCTGGCCAGCAAAAGCTGCTACGATTGGACAAGACGTTTGCCTTCGTAGGTGGGCACCACCGTTAGTGATTTCAAAAAGGGTTGGTAGAATTTGGTAGTATCAATTATTTAAATTTCGTTAAAAACGCGAATCTGACCATGATGGGTGGCACCTGGACCGGTCTTTGAAATGAAATTTTGAATTATCACGCAAGACAAGTCTGTGTAGAAAATTTCAGCTCGTTCAGCTTCATACATCCGAAGAGATTAAGTTCAATAAAAGTGTGTAAAAAAAGTATCTGTTAATTCTGTAACCCTTTTCAACCTGCGCTTGAAATATTTAATTAGCAAGAGGGAACAATACGTTCCGAGCCATCGTTCGACATGTGATGCAGTGGGTTGACATCGCGCATACACGGCGTCATCCTTGGAGCGCTGGTGTTGGATCCGTTTCGGGCAACCCTTTCATCAATGCAGCCCATTTACCCTCGGGCAACACAACTTTACATGAGCAATGAAATCACATTCAATCATCTTTACGAGACAGTCGGTGTGCCCCCAGTACAGGCACAAAGAGGTACGGACAGAACTAATGCATAAATGCTTTCAACATAAGTTGGAGAGAGTTGAGCCTTTCAAGGAATTCGGCAATGCTTTCCCACCTGTGACTACTCCTGATGTACGACTCGAGAGAATGTAGGTTTTGCTTGCAGGCCACACACACACACACACATGAATGATGTGTTTGGTATTATCTCATGGAAAAAAACAATTGCACAAGGGCCAGGGTCATGCCCCATTCATTCTGAACGATTAAACCAAACTGACCCACGTTCACACACGAGAGCAGAGAGGTTGGCTGCAGGGTGACGCACGCGAAGAACGCGTCGCTGTGAAAGAGTTAGAAGGTTCCCCTTCGTACCTTCTTACTCTCCCTCCCACCCCCTCCTTCCGGTCAGGTGATTTTGAAGTGTCGTCGTCACGCGAGGACGTGGACCGAGACAGCGCGTGGAACCAGTGGCTGCGCTCCGAGATCCCGGGGCTCTTCCTGCTGGCCCTGCACACGTTTACCGTGAGTCGGCGCAGATGTGGCCTCGCGACTGGGGCTGCCACCTGTCCGCGTTTGACCCCGGACAGTGTTCGGGTGGCAGCAGGAATTGATTTGTGCCGAGATCTGGTACCCCGGGTATGGCTATGGTTGAATTTTATCACCGTGAACTGCACAGTTTTAACAATAGACCTGGGCTCGCTGAGAAATGTGCCTGGGTTTGCTCTGTCGTAGAAATGGTGGCAACTGTACTTGGGGCATCGGCACGTTTATTCGCGCTCCGGCTCCATTTACACTGAGAGTCACGTGCTCGTCTCGTGTGGGGAATGGTGGTATAGCTGTTAGCATGCGCTGCACTACGAAGCCGGCGACCTGAGTTCGATTTTCGCTCATGGCCAACACCGGTGACGATTATCTGAACTGGTCCTGGTCCTCCCCTAGGTCGACTCGGCCTCATATAAGTACCTGGTGTGGTGTGTAAACATCACCACTCAGGAGACAAAGGCGGCTGGGTGTGGTGTTGGCCACCCATCCCCTCATGTGCTGTGTCGGCCTTCATAGATGCTCGCTAACAGCACTTGCCCCAACAGTCTGTGATGGCTCTATTGGGCGTCTTTGTGTTTGCAGCACCACTCAAGCCTGGACATACTGGAGGGCCTGTCTCAGCTGCTGCGCTTTGTGCCGCTTCCCGACGAGATCCTCGATTTCTTCCGTCCCGTTGTGAAGCAGATCATCCAGCAGCTCAAGGCTACTCCCTGCCTGCCCATCCAGGGGCCGTCTGGTAACCTTCACCTCTGCAGCCCTTCCGTTACTGCGAGGTCACAAAGCTGTCCGGTGCTCCAATGTGTCGCATCGTTTCATTCCATCATCTGCCGGGAGTTTCTTCAACAGCTGAAGACTTCAGCACGTGCAGCGAAATTGTCAAACATCGTGCTGAACAACACGGGGTGCAACCCGAAAATACGTCTAACCGTAACAACGTTTAACCTGCGTGCGCCATTAGTGGGGTGTGACTAATCGCCTTCGCCCCAACCAAGGGGTGGGCAAATTTGTTGACTCGCGGGCCACAATGGGTTCTAAAATTTGACAGAGGGGCCGGGCCAGGAACAGATGGATGGAGTGTTTGTGTGAACTAATATAAATGACATGTAAAAATCATTACATGAAAGGATTTGGCCTTTAACAGGTAGCAAAGCATTTATTTGCAAGGCAATTTAATCAATTGCACGAACATGAACAATACAAAAACATGTCGTAACTCCCGGTCAAAGTGCGCCATCTAATGGGGAAATGGGGGCATTACAGGAGAAAGGTAAAATTTTATTTAACAACACTAATATTTGGACAAGTTCGGCGGGCCGGATTAAAAAGCCCAACGGGCCATGTACGGCCCGGGGGCCGTACTTTGCCCACGCCCGCCCCAACCTCCCAACCCCTCCCGCGCGCGTTCGCTCCCAGGCGAGCCGCTGGAGTTCCGCCCACCGTCGGAGACGACGGTGGCACGGGACGAGCTGGTGCGCGAGGTCGTGTCACCCGCGCTGCTGGCGCAGCACCTGGGCCTGGCGTACCTTCACCCGGCGGTGGCGCGCGGCGCCCTGAGCCCCGCGCTCGCGCGCGAGTTGGGCGTGCACGCGCTCAGCGCGGACGACGTGCTCGCCGTGGCGCGCGCCATCCTGCGGGAAGCGGACGCTGCCAGGAAGGGTAAGTACGGCATCGGCGGTCTTTCTGTACATTATTGAACTTCTTTCGCACCGTACATAGCCAACCGTGCTAATTGGAGGTGCGGGGAGAAGGACAACAAACTAAATGTAAAAAGCAGTTTGAAAGAAATTGGTTTTCAATCGAAACTTCGTAGTTTTTTTAAATATATTTTTTTGTTATTTTCTATGAATCTATCTACATTACTTTACCGAAAGACCCAAAGAATATGAATTCTTGCAGTCACAAAAGCTTTAAGTCAAAATCTTAATACTTGTTTTATTGCCACAAAGGGTAAAACCTATTCTACTTTTCATAATTTTTAAATACTGGAAAAAAGGTCCCATAGATATTGCTGTGTGACTTGATGGAGGCGCTGTTGATTTGACTGCACGGTGCTGCTGCTGTTGTTGCTGTCGCTGCGTGCCATGTGCGCCACCGTCTCCGCCGCAGCCCTCCCGCTGGACGAGGTGGCGCGCCTGCTGGTCTGCGTATACCGCTGCCTGGAGCAGCAAGCGGACGGCGAGGAGGAGACCCACGCTGCACTGCGCTCCCTTCCCATCATCCCCCTGGCCGATGGGCGCATGGTGGCGTTGGCCGACCAGGAGGTGTTCTTCCCTCCTGGGTGGCAGGAGGGTGCAGCTGCCAACCATAACAAAGTCCAGATGCACGGTCAGTTGATTTCATTATAAAGTGACAGTCTTGTTACATTGGTTCTTTGGGATATATAAAGACGAAGGCCTTTTTGTGTTTAGTTTGTTGTCCTTCCTCACACCTCCGATTATCATGGTTGGCTACGTCTGATGCGAAAGAAGTTCAACATACTTATCGGACTGTTGGGGCAAGTGTTGTTCGCGAGCACCTAGAAAGGCCAGCATGGTACACGAGGGGGTGGGTGGCCAGCACCATGCCTGGCTGCCTCTGTTTTCCCAGTGGCGATGTTTACACATCGCACTAATTTGAGGCTGAATCAACCTAGGGGAGGCCCAGGACTGATTCGGATGATTCACAGGTGTTGGCCATGAGCGGGAATCGAACTCTGGTCACCGGCTTCGTAGCACGGCACGCTAACTGTAACACTACCGCTGTATACTGTATATACATACATATGACAATACGGCGGTCAAGTTTTAATTGCAAGCCATACACGAATATGAAGTTCAGGATGCCACCATCATCTTATGGTTAGTTCCTTGGACTTGCAATCCAGAGGTCTCGGTTCAATTCCATCCCTCGGTGCGGCAGTTGAAACAATGGGCAAGTTTCTTAAATCCCAACCCACTGCCACCAATAAACACCCAGCAGTGTGAACGGCCGCACCACAGTCAAATGGCAGGTCACGTGTGATGGGGTAAGGTGTGGCCTTCATGGAAGAGTAGGCCAAATACCCTCTTAGACGGGATGTCTAGGGTTCCTTCTCGTTGAGGCCCTTCCAGCAGCAGGTGGAATATTTAAACAAATAAAATTCAGACATTCCTGTGACATTTAGGTTTTCCTGCACAGCACTCTTCGGCATGCCCGAGTCTCTGGTGCAGCCCTCACGTTCTCCTCCTCCTCTCCCTCCTCACCGTGCAGGCGTAGAGCTGCTGAAGGTGGACCTGTGCGTGCTGCACCCAGACCTACTGTGCTGCGTCGACGCGCTGTGCTCCTCGCAGCTCGTGCGTCTTCTCGAGCGACTGCACGTGCGGCGTGTCACGCCCGCCCAGGTCATCGCTCGCCATGTCAAGCCAATCCTGGAAAGCGGTGCCTGGAAGGTATCGTGGGCGGGTTGGAAGGAGAATTGTTTTTGTTAGTCGAAATCAAGATTCTGATTCTGTTATCATCATCATCATCACCTGGGCGGTGGTGGATTCGCATGCCTGTAATCCAGTGCTGTAGAGGCGGGGGTGGTGGATCGCGTAAATGGTATGAAGCTCCCTTCTCGTGGGCGTCGACAAGGTGCCATACCCCGACTTGCCAGGAGAAGGCGGCATGGCAAATTTGGATCCTACCCGCCCACGTGTGGTTTTTCTCCGGGTGCTCCGGTTTCCTCCCAAATGCAGACACTTTTTAATTGGCCGATAATACCTTCATATATAGAGAACCGCAGAGCTTGGGCAGTTGTTGGCACTGGCTCATCACGTGGCTACCGTCCTGCTTGTCTGGTTCCTCGCTCCTCTGAGTTGCTCACTCTCTTCGAGAGTGAGCGAATGCTGCGGCAGGTTAAAAGTTTAAATCATTATAATTCGTCGGTGATTTTCAGCCCTTGGGGGGTGGGGAGGGCGGTGACGTGGCCGAGCGGTTGCACATTTGCCCCTTGTCGCAGAGGTTCATGGTTCAGCGACCGCCCAGGGGTGCATCAACAGTGGGCGTTCAAGATCCTGTGACATTTTCTTTGGTTCTTTCGGTAAAGTCACGTAGAATGAGAATAAAATAATAATTGATAAAATAAAACAACACAATAAAATTCACACGACGTTTCGGCCACAACACAAGCGGCCTTCATCAGGTGAAGGGACGAGACTGTCTGGGGGACAGCGCTGGAGCGAACAAAGCCAAGCTCAGATCGCGACCTTTAAGCTGTGTGAGAAGAAACAGCGCCTTGACAAAGGAATTAGCATAGAATTTAGCATTGAAATAGCTGAGTGATTAGCTTGTGACTGGTCACAGAAATGGCTATGTTAAAGTCAAAGCATACACATCCACAGAGGCACCCCTTGACAAAGGAATTAGCATAGAATTTAGCATTGAAATAGCTGAGTGATTAGCGTGTGACTGGTCACAGAAATGGCTATGTTAAAGTCAAAGCATACACATTCACAGAGGCACCTAGTACAAATCAAACAGGAGAATTTAGCATTGAAATAACTGAGTGATTAGCTTGTAACTGGTCACAGAAATGGCTATGTTAAAGTCAAAGCCTACACATCTGAGCTATTTACAGTAACTGGGTATACACTACACTATATAATGAATACTATATCGTAAACCAATAAAAAAACTAAAATATAAATTACGTCAATGTTATCAATAAACTCTATATATTCTCCAATCAGCTAAGTTACCAACAATAAGTCGTTATATATCACAATGCTATATGGCGAAAAAATGGGTGGATTCTTACCCTCACCTTTAGCACCACGAATAGCTATGAGCCCCGTTCAGACGGACGAGTTCATCCATGGTCGGAACGGAGGAGGGGGAGAGAGACAGCTGCGAGGCGCTGTTATACTCCATGTTGTTAACCATACCATTAACCGTGGTGTGAGAGGTATTAAGAGTCAATGCCAGCGATCCGAGATATGTCGTTTGGTTTCTCCAATGTAGCTACTACCACAGAGGCACTTTAGTTTGTAAACGCCCGGGTACTGTATGTCTGGAACAGCATCTTTTACAGATGGAACCAGATCACGGATTTTATGTACTGTGTTGAATCGGACCTGAATCTTGTGTTTATTCAGGATTTTGGAGATCTTTTTAGTGACCCCGCATCCGCGAACATAAAGCAGACTTGAAACACGGTAGAACGAACTCCTCTGCCGTGGCAGATCACTGTTATAATTCAGTGGGCTCACGTGACATTGACTTCTCCAAGACGGAGGTTCTTTGCAAACCAACCGGCTACCATGAGAGATTCGTTCATGAGGCCATTCACATATACGAGCACAGAGACAATTTCAACCGAGAAGATGGATTCTGGCTTAGTAACCATTGGAAAGATGTTTTAAACCATTTCCGTTTTTAATTAATTGTATTTTACGATGACCTTCAGACTGCAGCTCTTTCGCTGGCATTGACTCTTAATACCTCTCACACCACGGTCAATGGTATGGTTTACAACATGGAGTATAATAGCGCCTCGCAGCTGTCTCTCTCCCCCTCTGTTCCGACCATGGATGAACTCGTCCGTCTGAACGGGGCCCGTAGCTATCCGTGGTGCTAAAGTTGAGGGTAAGAATCCACCCATTTTTTCGCCATATAGCATTGTGATATATAACGACTTATTGTTGGTAGCTTAGCTGATTGGAGAATATATAGAGTTTATTGATAACACTGAGGTAATTTATATTTTAGTTTTTTATTGGTTTACTATATAGTATTCATTATATAGTGTAGTGTATACCCAGTTACTGTTAATAGCTCAGATGTGTAGGCTTTGACTTTAACATAGCCATTTCTGTGACCAGTCACAAGCTAATCACTCAGTTATTTCAATGCTAAATTCTCCTAGTTATTATGCTAAATTCTCCTGTTTGATTTGTACTAGGTGCCTCTGTGAATGTGTATGCTTTGACTTTAACATAGCCATTTCTGTGACCAGTCACAAGCTAATCACTCAGCTATTTCAATGCTAAATTCTATGCTAATTCCTTTGTCAAGGGGTGCCTCTGTGGATGTGGATGCTTTGACTTTAACATAACCATTTCTGTGACCAGTCACAAGCTAATTACTCAGCTATTTCAATGCTAAATTCTATGCTAATTCCTTTGTCAAGGCGCTCTATTTCTTCTCACACAGCTTAAAGGTCGCGATCTGAGCTTGGCTTTATTCGCTCCAGCGCTGTCCTCCAGACAGTCTCGTCCCTTCACCTGATGAAGGCCGCTTGTGTTGTGGCCGAAACGTCGTGAGAATTTTATTGTGTTATTTTATTTTATCAATTTATTATTTTATTCTCATTCTACGTGACTTTACCGAAAGAACCAAAGAAGATGAATCCTTGCAGTCACGAAAGCTTTAAATCGAAATAAAATCCTGTGACATTGTTTGAAAAATAGTAGGCCATGTGTGGCATCGGCAAGGTCCAAATGCGCTCCGTTCGATAAATTACCTGCAATCTTCATCTTTGTCTGTGTGACACCCCTCCCCCCCCCTCTGTACAGGACAGGCCAAATGATGTAGTGATCAGCTACCTGGCGTACGTGAAGGCGCAGTGCGAGCACGACGCGTCCGTCTGCAACCTGTCCGAGCTGCGTGCGACGCTGCCGGTGCTCACCTCGACCGGCGCCTTTGTGCTGCCGGTGGACACCAGCGTGTACTTCTCCACGCTCTATGGGAACAAATGGGACCTGCCCACCAACTTGCCAGGTGGCTATTGCAATATAACAAGGAGTAGGGTGCTCTGCCGAGGGGAATGGGGTGAATTTGTAATGCGCCTCGCAGTATCGCTCGCTCTCGGTGGGAGGCGCGAGGAACCGCAGGCAAGCAGTGAGCTGACGCCAACGATTTCCCAAACTCTGCAACCCTCTTATTATATTTTGGTACTTGCAAAGGAGGTCTAATGATCTGCAATTCCCCATATATTAAGATGTTTCAGCCAATTAATGAGTGCTAGCATTTGGTAGGAAACCGGAGCACCCAGAGAGGTGTTCCGGCTCGTCGAAAGTAAGCGATAGGCCCACTACCACCATCTACAACATCCCACGTCCAAGAATGAGGCTTACTGCAGCCTTCGTTTAGAGGGTCGGAGAGCCGTGTGGTGCTGCAAGGATGAGTGGTGGTCGCGAGTTGCTGAATAAATGAAAACTGCCTTGGTAGCATGCGATAATAAATCACTTTTTAACATCATAAAAAAGTAACTTGCAACACCACACCAATCACCATCATTGAGGGAAAGAACGTAAATCCAATCTCCGACTCCCAAGAACAGGTTCGCAGGTTTGCTAAACATTTTTGTAAGGTCTTTGGGCAGGGGAAACCCCTCAGCTCAACAACATCTTCGGGCAAGGTGGGTTGTTTGACCCTGCTGGGAGGAAGTATAGCCGCTCCTTGTGCGTGGTTGGCTGATGTGCCATCTGTTGAGGAAGTGCAAAGGGCAATCCAGAGCTTGAAACCAGGTCAAGCGCCGGGGAAACATAGCCTCTCAAGTGAGCTGAAGACTTCCAAGATGCCCTAGTGGGGTCCCCATTTTTAAAAAGGGGCACTGCACCGATAGCAACAACTACAGGGGCATCTCCCTCTTCAGTGTTCTGGGGAAGGTCCTGGCAAGAATTATTCAACATCACCTTGCCAGACATACTGAGGAGAAGCTTGCAGAGTCCCAATGTGGTTTCAAAACTTGAGCAGTGTGCTTATGACCAGTTCCAGTTTGGCAACTGAGGTCTGAGTCCGAATCAGTCGAGCGGCATCTTTTTATTAACTGCATAACGCTGTGTAAAAGCTACCTGGTCTGTCACGCCATACAAATCTCCAGGTGTTCTCGGCCACAGTTATGCCCTCCCTTCTCGATGCTTGCGAAATGTGGAGCACTGAAGGAACATATGCGCCGGTTTGACACATGCAAGCTAGCCTGCCTACGATCCATCCTTGGTTTAACCAGCCTGGATTGTATGAGGAGCTCACAAATCTTTGGAAGATCTGGACAAAGTCCCATCGGTGAGCTCCTCAGACAGGCAAGTCTCCATTGGCTGGGTTATGTAGCCAGCATGCTCAGCCACCTGATGCCTAAACAGATTTTGTTCGGCTGGATAGAGGGGGCTAAATGGGCTCGGCACAGGCTAGAGAAGAAATGGAGTGATGTGGTACAAGAGAGAATGTGGAGCTGAGTGGACTTGCGGATGACTGGTACCAGCGGTGTCAAGATCGGCCTCTTTGGAAGAGGCTCGTGAAGGACGCTTTTGGGCAGTTGGAGGCAGGTCACCCTTCAGTAACAACAGAGGGCAGAGCGATGCTCACAACAATGAGCGGAGGGCCGGTTAGCTAAAACGCAGAAAGTTGGCACAGTGTGGAGCACAGTTGGTGCATCTGCCGGTCATCTCAGTCAACCCATGGCACATGGGTCTGTTCTGTGAGCTCCTGCCAGCGGGCCTTTGACACTTCACGTGGCCTCAAAGTGCACCTAGCATGCCACAAGCGCTGTGGTGACGTTACCGCCACTTAGTGGAGAATGCCAGTTGTTGTGTGTCCTGACGAATTTGTATACACCTGCATGATTTTTCTATTATGGTTGTTTAGCCCATGCCCAATATACCAAGTAGCCAGCAACAAACAGCACCATTGAAGTTGTAATAGATAAGAGATAATACGCCTCTTAAAATTGAGCAAGGTTATTATAAGAATTGAAGTAAATGAAATGTTGATGAGAGGAGGGAATTCCAAAGTGGAGCAGTGCGAGGGAAGAAGCGGAGGGAGAATTGTTGTGACCTGCAGTGTGGTGGTGGGTGAGTGAGTGTGGGCGGGTGGGTGAGTGAGAGGGCGAACGAATGGATGAGTGAGTGGTTGGTTGTCTTGCTATGACTTGTGGCGTGATGGTTTAACCCGGTATCGATGAGATAAAATTCGTGGAGGAATTGATGAGTGAAATTAATGGATTATTAAAACCATGCTTGGAGAAATAGAAGAGTAATAAAGAGGCAACTGCATATGGCTTTCTTTCCCATTTTGCCCATGCGAGATTCTGGGTTAATAATCATTTATGCGTGTGTGTGTGTGCGTGACGTGTGTGTGTGTGTGCGCGTGACGTGTGTGCGTGCATGCAGGTGCCGACTGGCTGCTGGTGCACCCCGTGTACATACAGGGACAGTCGGACGTGAACAGCTGGAGAGACTTCCTGGGAAGGCTGGGTGTGTGCGACCTTCCGATCGTGCGCAAGGAGCGGAGGTCGTATAGCCAGCAGGATCTGGTGGGTAGTATGTCTGGCATGCATGGTGCATGTAGTCAACCATTGATGGGGTATCCTTAGTTAAGCCTTTTTTGGTGAGCAGTACTACAACATCAAAACTAACCAAAATATTAATTAGATTTAGTTTGATGTCCTAAATTGGGCTCGGCAGGTACTGTACATTTTTTTGTATGAGGATTCTCTCCCAAAATATGACCAAATTACACCTATTGTGCCAATTTATACGCAGCACACCTATTCAAGAAGCCAAGTCGGGTGACAGGGTTCTATTCTTAACTTGCCAGGTTCCGTTTTGAAGATGTTTGACGCACTTTGAAGACAAACGTCGCGTATCGAATTGCAAAGTTTGGCTGTGGGAATTGTTCTTAAACGTAACCGCGGTGAGCTAATACGGTCGTAGAGATTGGAGCGGTAAATGTTTTACGCACGACAATTTATTTTTTTGGCTACGTCAGATCATTACGTGGCCGAGCCCACAAAAAACTTATAAATGTTTTATTTTTCTTCTTCACCGTTCGGTTTTGCATCTCATGTGACGAAAAGTGACCAAGTGTTGGAGGCAGAAACCCAACGAGGCTTCCGGTCACGAGATGTCATTCCCGATTGTAGCTCACGAGGTTTCATTAATGATTGTAGCTCACAAGGTTTCATTAATGATTGTAGTTCACTAGGTTTCATTAATGATTGTAGTTCACGAGGTTTCATTAATGATTGTAGCTCACTAGGTTTCATTAATGATTGTAGTTCACTAGGTTTCATTAATCATTGTAGTTCACTAGGTTTCATTAATGATTGTAGTTCACTAGGTTTCATTAATGATTGTAGTTCACTAGGTTTCATTAATGATTGTAGCTCACTAGGTTTCATTAATGATTGTAGTTCACTAGGTTTCATTAATGATTGTAGTTCACTAGGTTTCATTAATGATTGTAGCTCACTAGGTTTCATTAATGATTGTAGCTCACTAGGTTTCATTAATGATTGTAGTTCACTAGGTTTCATTAATGATTGTAGCTCACTAGGTTTCATTAATGATTGTAGCTCACTAGGTTTCATTAATGATTGTAGCTCACTAGGTTTCATTAATCATTGTAGCTCACTAGGTTTCATTAATGATTGTAGTTCACTAGGTTTCATTAATGATTGTAGCTCACTAGGTTTAATTAATGATTGTAGCTCACTAGGTTTCATTAATGATTGTAGCTCACTAGGTTTCATTAATGATTGTAGCTCACGAGGTTTCATTAATGATTGTAGCTCACTATGTTTCATTAATCATTGTAGTTCACTAGGTTTCATTAATCATTGTAGTTCACTAGGTTTCATTAATGATTGTAGCTCACTAGGTTTCATTAATGATTGTAGTTCACTAGGTTTCATTAATGATTGTAGCTCACTAGGTTTCATTAATGATTGTAGCTCACTAGGTTTCATTAATGATTGTAGCTCACTAGGTTTCATTAATGATTGTAGCTCACGAGGTTTCATTAATGATTGTAGCTCACTATGTTTCATTAATGATTGTAGTTCACTAGGTTTCATTAATGATTGTAGTTCACTAGGTTTCATTAATGATTGTAGTTCACTAGGTTTCATTAATGATTGTAGCTCACTAGGTTTCATTAATGATTGTAGCTCACTAGGTTTCATTAATCATTGTAGCTCACTAGGTTTCATTAATGATTGTAGCTCACTAGGTTTCATTAATGATTGTAGCTCACGAGGTTTCATTAATGATTGTAGTTCACTAGGTTTCATTAATGATTGTAGTTCACTAGGTTTCATTAATGATTGTAGTTCACTAGGTTTCATTAATGATTGTAGTTCACTAGGTTTCATTAATGATTGTAGTTCACTAGGTTTCATTAATGATTGTAGCTCACTAGGTTTCATTAATGATTGTAGCTCACTAGGTTTCATTAATGATTGTAGCTCACTAGGTTTCATTAATCATTGTAGCTCACTAGGTTTCATTAATGATTGTAGTTCACTAGGGTTCAGTAATGATTGTAGCTCACTCGGTGTCATTAATGATTGTAGCTCACTAGTTTTATTCACGATTGTACCTCACTAGTTTTATTCACAATTGTAGCTCACTAGGTTTCATTCACGATTGTAGCTCAAAATAAACTCTTTGAACAGGCTGACTAATTCGTAACATCACAGGTATAGAACATACGTCCCACACAGCAACTTCCTTAGATCACACAGTCGTCATCGCCTGCCGTGCCTCCTCCACCGCTGGGTGTGACAGAGTTCCGAAAGCCGGCGCCCATCTTTGCCCCAACTGACCCCCGCGGCTCCCGTTCGCAGGACGCGTCACCGTGGGCCGGCGTGACGGCGACGCTGCCCCCCGTGGCGGACGGACGCTACACCGTGGAGGACTGGGTCTGTGCCGAGCTGCACGCGCTGCTCACCGTCTCCCAGCTCGGAGACGCGCGCACCGACACGCAGCGCCGGCTGCTCCTCTGCCTGCTCGATGGCGAGTGGGACAAGGGGTGAGCGGAGCCCCGCAGAGGCGGCGGCGGTGGCGGCAGCGGCGGCGGTGGCGGTGGCAGCGATGCAGTAGCGTAGCGGTCAGCGCGCTGCGCTATGAACCCAGCAACCCGAGTTCGATTTCCGCTCATGTCGAACACAAGCGACGATTATCTGAACCGGTGCTGGGTCTCCTCTAGGTCGACTCGGCCTCAAATAAGTACCCGGTGCACTTTGTAAAATCATTGCTGGCCTTCATAGGTGCTCACTGACACTACTTGCCCTAATAGTCTGTTAAAGCGATACAGCATATCTTTGATGGTGGTGTTGGTGGTGACACGGCATGATGGGTAAGCAGGGCCATGTGGCAGTGGTGCTCGTGGTGATGATGGTGTTGATGGTCATGGTCAAATAAATCGATCGAATAATGTGTTTATAATGCGCCATATTCAGAAAAAAGTTGAAGGGCAGAAGGCACTGAGAAGGTTGAACTAAATTTAGCGAAACAAAAGAGAAGTAAATGTTTTTAGTCCAGTCTTTAAAACACCAAGTGTCATCGCTGAGTGGACTTCAGCTGGCAGACTGTTCCAAACCACCGGGGCTGCTGTCTGAAGCTCAGTGGATCTCGAGTGGACACACGGCAGCAGCAGGTTCATAGCAGATGAGCGTATGTTTGGCGATGGTACATTCGAGTGGATGGCATTGTAATTGGTTATCCTTTGCTATGAAAGTAAGTACCTCGACCTTGAACTGGACTTTCTTATGCACTGGTAAGCAGTGCAGCGCCTTCAAAAGATTTAAAGAGCTCGCGAGATGTGCGGCCAGGCAAGCGAATCTGGCGAGGAGGGCATTTTTGTGATGCTGGTGGCAGTGGTGATAGTGGAGGGTGGTTGGTGGTGGTAGTGATGACAGATAAATGATGGGTGGTTAATGAACACGTTTCAATACCACGCGTCCCTAGCAGGATGTGCAAGTGCAGTCTTTTTTAACTGCAGCAAATTGTTGTAAATGCATCACGTCCCTTAATGCGCTTCGGCACTTTGATGAAAAGACATTGACGCGGGAGGATTGGCTGCGCATGCCAAATCTTCTGCCCGCAGTCCGGCAGGACCCTGGCATTACGATCTCCCGCTCTCCTGCCCCCCCCCCACCGTGCGTGCGCGCTAGCTCGCGCTACTCGCAGTACAAGACGGCACGCGTGCTCGACTCGGTCGGGCGGCCACTCAAGGAGGTGGACTCGTCCTTCCTCATCTACCTGACGACGCTGCCGTGGCTGCCGGCTGAGGCGGCCGGGCCGTCCAGCTCCACGTCGCCCCCGTTCGGCCGGGCCCGCGACCTCTACCTGCGCGCCAACAACCTGCGGCGTCTGCTCGGGCGCCACGCCGCGTACGTCGCCGTGGAGATGTCGGCGAACAGCACGCTGGCCGGCGACCTCGGTGAGCGTGAGGGCACGGGGGTGGGGGAGAGCGGAGAGCACAGCGGGGGGAGAGGTGTGTGCAGAGCATGGGTGGGAGAGGCAGACGGGAAGAGGAGAGAGGGGGTGCAAGGAGGGGAGTGGAGATGGGATGGCAGGAAACGGAGGGTACGGATGGGAAAGGAGATGGAGACAGGGAGGGGAGGAGGGATCAAAGAGGGGGAAATCTGGGCGGAGAGAGGAATTCTCTCAGTGTTAAGGGTCACAGATGGCCGTGTCTTCTCTCATGCAGGAACATTTGAGAAAGGTGCAGCCTGGCTCTGAAAGTTCACTTCTGTAAAAGGTCTAAATATCATCCATAATAGAGGTTTTTGGGTTATATCGCGTAAATATATAAATATCTCGTTAAAACCCGCCACCACCCGACACAGCCAACTAGTAAGGGTTGTCACGTAAACAGAACATGCCAATTCGTCACTTGTACAGCACACCGGTGCGTTGGAGGGTCAAGCCACAACATTTACAAACTGAGTACAACGTTTCGCCGGTAATTACAACTAGCTTCATCAGGCGACAGACAGACTTGTGGAGAAGTCTTCCTGTTGGTAGGGCTATTATAATAAACTCAATAGACAGGAAGGACAAGTTCAAAGGGCTCGGATAATGCACATGCATCATGTACGTTGCCTCAGCAATCCCGCCCCCCCATCATTGTGCAAGAGTGCAGAAGGGTGGTCAACACATCAATGCCTCTCTATAAGGAATGAAACAGTAAGACTTCTCCACAAATCTGTCTGTCGCCTGATGAAGCTAGTTGTAATTACTGGTGAAACATCACACTCGGTTTGTAAATGTTGTGGCTTGGCTCTCCAACACACCGGTGTGCTGTACTAGTATACTACACTACACACTACTATACACTACACTATACACTACACACTAGTGCTGTACAAGTGACGAATTGGCCACGTTCTGTTTGCGTGACAACCCTTACTAGTTGGCTGTGTCGGGCGGTGGCGGGTTTTAACGACACATATTTACGCGATGTAACCCAAAAACCTCTATTATAGAACCAATATCGATAGATGTATGTGTAAAAATCCAAAATGCTTATTTTGCGTCCCCGTCTCCTCGCCCCCCGCTCTGCGTCGCTGCAGGCGTCCGCATGTTGCTGAATGCGCAGGAGTTGGTGAAGCACCTGAAGCGCTGGTGCAGTGGGGGTGCGGTTGAGGAGGAGGGGGTCTCCACGGAGAGCGGAGTGCCCTTCTGCACCTCGCCGGAGCACATCCACGCCGTGTACGAGTACCTGCAGGCGGAGTGCTCCAACCAGCAGCTGCAGGACTTGTTCCGGCACTACCCCGCCGTGTTTGTGCCCGACGCGACTCGGTATGGGCCCGGTCGCTCACGCTCTCTTTCACGGTCGCTCAGTCACTTGCAGTCGCTCACAGCCGTGGTTACAGTTGCTCATTCACCGACGGTTACCCACGCTCGTCGCTCACAGTCAGTCGCTCGCAGTCGCTCACAGGATTATTAGACATTCACGATCATGAGTGATTTGCTGCCATGGCTTAGGTGAGGCCTGGAGAGGATTGACTATGGCATTTGAAAACAATGAAAACAATAAAAACACTTTTTTTCGTGAACGCTCGCGTTGTTGCGAGCCTCGACGCGCGTAAGCCCGTGTCGTAGTGCGAGAGCTCCCGCGAACCCTGACGCTCGCGCACCTTGTGCCTGCAGGAGGCAGCATTCAGACTCTGGGGAGAGCAGGGGGGGCAACGTCGGGGACAGCGCCGTGCAGGGCTGCTTCCGCTACCTGCACGAGGTGTGCTGGGCCGACCCCACCCGGCTGTTTCTGCGCTACGCGTCACTGCAGCACGAGGCGCCGCCGCAGCTCCAGCTCTTTTACGGCCGCTCGACCAACATGGCCGATTTGTTCCAGCAGGTAACATTACGTAGGCTGCCGCGAAGCCATTTTTTACTGAAACAATTTTTATTTTTCAGGTATGGCCTGCTGAGTTATGTAGCTCTTTTTCAGAAGCGATCTGACCACACATGACAGCTCAGCGAAGTGGCTTATCACGTGGACATATATAGCAGCCAAATACTCTGGACGCGTGTTTCTAAATGTGGAGGGAAAAACCGGAGGACCTGGAGAAAAATCCAAACAGCCACAGGGAGAGAATATGCAAACTCCAAAAATACAGGTGTCACGGTTGGGATCGAACTCACGACTTCCTGTATATGAGGCGAGGTGGTTAACATCGTGGTCCCCAACATCTATATTAAAATCTACGTTGTGTGTGTAGGTGCCTGTACAAACCCAGCGATCTGTATTCAATCTCACCCAAGATCAATAACAGGGGCAAAAATTTGAACCAGTCCTGGGCTTACTCTAGCTTGACTGAGCTTTAAAATGAGTGCCTGGTGCAGTGTAAAAATAGCACCGGGGAGAAAAGTTAGCTGGGTGTCCGTATTAGCCATCCACCCCCTCGTGTGCAATGCCGACTTTCATAGGTGCTCGCGAACACCACTCACCTCCAGCAGTCTTCATATCTGAACCAGTCCTCGGCCTAACCGAGCTCGGCTCGACTATTAAATTATTAACTAGGGCAGGGGGTAAAAAATGTGCACTGGGGAGACAAAGGCGGCCGGTCTTGTTGCTGCCCATACCATCTCCCCGTGGCGCCGTATTTGCCTTCATGGGTGCTGCTCGCTTACAGCGCTTGCCCCCCAACAATCTGTTAAGGCTTGGCGGGCGGGCGGGCGGGGACCTTTTTTTTGTGAGTGCAGACCCTGAAGGTGTCTGCGACGCCCAAGATGAAGCAGTACGCCGACCTGCTGTGCCTCGTGTGCGAGGGCTGCACTCTGCCAAACGCCGAAGTTTTGCAAGACGTCTCCTTGCTCTACGCCACGCTAGGTGAGGCGCCACCACGCTTTGCCTCAATGCTAAGCTATAAAACTATTTTTGTTTGACCAGGTAAGGCCGACTGAGCTATATAACTTATTTTTGAGAAGCGACCTAGCCACAAATGATAGCTCAACGAGAAGTGGCTTATCGTGTGGACATTTATAGCAGCCAAATACTCGAAATGCATGTTGATTATAAATGTGGAGGGAAATACCGGAGGACCCAGAGAAAAATCCCCTCGACACTGGAGGAACATGCAAACTCTATATATATACAGGCGTCGGGGTCGGGATCGGGATCGGTATCGTACCCACAACCTCCTGTATACCAGGCAAAGTAGTTACCATCTCACCACAGTGATGTCCACTGCAATAACAGGGAACCGTAGAGTAAACCACTCTCGTCTACGCACCTTCAGTTCAACGGAGTAGCAGAACTACACAAGCCCTCTCGTGGACAGCAGACCATTTACATTGCCATTTAGCTCCTGAACATATCACTGCATGCAAGAATAGAATATCATTGCGGGGGCATCCCCATAGTTAAAAGTGTGACGAAGATTTTTACGTTGATATTTTTTCAAAGAGTCAAAATTTTGTCAATCCGCTACTGGATGAGCGCCTCTCCAAGCTGTGCGGGCCATGGGGAGGGGGTTGTTTGACTGCGTGCCGACACCCTTCTTGCTACGGGGTTTGGTTGAGGCAGCAGAGCATAGCTCTGGTGGGTGTAGAAATACGGTACAACAATAGATGATGCTGCCCTGCATTCTGCTGGCTGAATTATTGTTTGGTAAACTGGTAAAGCTCACGGCGTTGTGGGAGAAATTATTTGTTTTTTCACATTGCCCAATGCTTGTTATGTGTGACTTAATGCCACATTACTGTGGCCCTCTCCATAGTAATGTGGAATTTACACCACTGACTGCGGACTGCCAGTGTGCGTGAGGACATGTGTCTTTATTTAAACGCATGCTGCAAATTGCAAGCCGTGCAGGCCGTGTGTAGCCTGGTTAACGGCTCTGTTGGGGTAATTTTTTTTCCCCAAAAGAGCAAATATTTACGTTCCGTGTTGCTGGATTGTTAAAGATGGCCCTAATTGAAGCAGCACCACGCTTGCGCTGGACTCCTTTACAGGTACAAGAGACCTGGAGCAGTGAGACCTCTGACGCGTTGTGTTTGTTGTTGCTTTCGCTGTGTGTTTGTGGTGCAGCCGAGAAATGCGTGCTCTCTCCTCGGACAATGGAAGTCAACCCAGACTACTGCAACAACCTCAAAGGTCAGAGTCACTTCGGTACTCCGTACATCCCACAATCATATTATCCCCATGTAATACAGCTCTTACTGTTCAAACGTGATTTAATGGAATAATACAAAATGTCAATTTCAAATAAATTAAACCGCAACATTTTAATGAAAGGGGAGAGTGGATTCTGTGTGGGTTGGGGGCCCTGTTCAGTAGGAGGCAGCTGTCATCCTGGGAAATCTCTTAAGTCGTCCTGGGACATTAAAAGTCCTGGTTTTTGTCATTTGCATAATAATATTAAATTATTAAATTAGATATTATTAAATCACATGTTCTCCCCTCTTCCGTTATTCTGAAATACTGTTCTAAAAACGGTATGTCTCGGTTATATTATTAAGTTTACATCCTTTGGACGTGACTGTCCCAGCCAGCCAGCCACCAAAAACTTTTATATTTTATAGAGCTCTGTCTCTCTCCCTATCTCTTGAGTTATCTGGACTTCATCACAATTTATCTCGATTTTTCGCTTTGTTTCTGTTTCTCTATTCCTCCTTCCCCTCTCCCTATATATACCTCTCCTCCCTCTACTGTATCTCACCCACTTCCCTCCCCCTCATACAGGTTTTTTTTTTTGTTTGGGTTAGATCGTGTAAATATAAATGTGTCGTTAAACCCGCCACCACCCGACACAACCAATTAGTAAGGTTTGTCACGTAAACAGAACGTGCCAATTCGTTTCTAGTACATCACACCGTTGTGTTGGAGAGCAAATCCACAACACTTACAATCTGAGTACTGCGAAGGCCCCCGTGTTAAACTTCCCTCCCCCTCTCTCCCTGTATCTCTCATCTTTCACCCTCGATCTCGTTATTCGCACCTCTATCTTTCCTGCCTCAATCTCTCTTGCCTCTCCATAATCCTCCCTTCCCATTACTCGTCGTTTTCCCTCGCTCTGCTCTTTCGTTTTTTCTTTCTTTCCTCTCCGTTTGATGCCCTTTCACTCTCTCCCTTGCCCCTCTCCCTTCCTCTCGATCTCCTCCTCCGTCCTCCATGTCTTTCCTGCACCTCCCCTCTATCCATACCTATCAACCCCTTAGCAGTACCCAACTTATTACAGACCAATTCAGGCCTTATTGGTCACCCTGTGGCCTTGTAAATCTCAACGTTCATCCTACAAAGTCCTATCACAAGGAAGAAACACAAACAAATGGACAAAACATTTTATTTTGCCCGTATTGAAACGGCTGTACGCACCGTATGGGCCTGATGACTGAATATCCCTGTACAAGGATATGGGTAAACCGTATGGGTTGACAGGTATGTCTATCTCCCTATCCCCCGCTATCTCCTCTCTCGCATGTGTGCTGGATCCATGCTCGGGGTGGGGGATAGTGTTTTCGGGGGGGGGGGGAAAGCGTGCCGTTAGTTCGATGCACAAACCTGGCTCAATACCGTGGGATGCGGATGACTTCGCCACCGTGCAAGCCAGAAATGCAGGCAGGAATCCAGCCTGCAAAGTTTTTTATAATATAGTATGACTAGCTTTACTACCCGGCTTCGCCCGGGACTTGGATTCTTGTCTTGGATTAATACACGGCCTACGCGGAGGGTTGGGGGAGGGGGGGATGCGTGACGTCAGCAGGCCCACTACGTGACGCTTCCGCATGCGGGTGACATCACAGATGTGACATCACCGCTCACTTGGCGTGCAAAATATGTGCATTAATGCGCCCCCCCCCCCAAAATACAAAAGTCTATTTTTATACTTTTTGCATTGCGTACCATCTGGAAGCTACCCACATGCCAAATTTCAAGTTTGTTGCATGTCGGGAAGTATGCTAAACATTTCGAACAGACACACATTCACAAATTTCCCTTTTATATATAGATTATTGTTGCACTTGTTTACCCAGCTAAGCCTGTTGAGTCTCAAGATGTTTGTCAGGAGGGTCCTGCCAAGCTTTTACAGTGGGGGATAACATTTTATATGTTGATTTTAATTTTTTTGGCAAATTTGTTCATGACACCGTTTCTCAATGGCTTCCTACTCTCAGAATGAAGTCACCAGATCTTGAACTTCCGCTGTGAAGCAGGCGGCACGTATTTTTTCAGTTAATACACCAACAACATTAACCAGGGCGGCCTGCCGGTTCCGAGTCAGGAACCTCTGCAACAGGTGGCTAATTTGCCACCGCTCGACCTTGTCACCGGCCGAAGAGGTGACAGCCCTACCTGGCGGGGGGCCTGGTGTTGATGCGGAGTCTGCTCCTCCCTCACCCCGCCGCCCCCCATCCCCTCTGCAGCCACGCTCTCCAAGGAGCGCATCTTCCCCACCAAGCGCAACTGCTGGGTGTCGCTGGAGAGCCGGCCCCTCATTGCCGATGACCGCAACCTGGAGGCCCTCTTCCGGGACGAGGAGAAGGTTTGCTTCCTCAGCCTTCCCGATGTCGGTGCCAGTCAGAGGAACAAACAACGTGAGTGCCGTTAACCGCTCGCTTGGCTTCCCCTTTCGCCCGTTTGTACGAAACATGTTATTAACTCGTGATGTCTGTGCAGTTTGTTGCTGGCCGCTTGGCATTTCAAGCCTTTTTTGGCCCTCTGTGAGGAAAACAAGGAGGCAAGAGAAGAAGTTTGTTGTTGGGTTGTTTCACAGCCGACAGGTGGCACATGCGGATAGTCGAGGTGAACCCTGACATGAGGGACCTCTTCCTGCGGATCTGCGACGTGGGCCAGCTCTCCGGCTGCGTGAGGACGCGCCTCGAGACCGAGAATTACCGCCCGTGCGCACCACTGCGGCTGCTGGTGGGGCGCCTCGTGCCGCACATCCAGGCTTTCCTGATGTCGCGTGGCGATGCCTTCCGCCACGTGTACGACGAGCTGACGCTGCAGCGCAACATCGCCGCCACGCTCAAGACGATGAACTTCAGCCAGGTAGGGATAGGGGGAGTGAGCGAGCGCGCACGTGCGCGCACGTGCGCGCACCCTCAACTCGACGCGTCCGTTCGTTTTCCAAGTGCGGGCTTCTGTATTGGGCCGCGTGTTCAGCATTTCTTCTTTCGAGCTTTCTTCAGGCACTACTTGCTGCGGACATGTTCAGCAGTTAAATTGGCTTGAGCAATTTAATTAACTTCAGGAGTTGAATTAACTCGTGAAGGTTGCCCCGCAGTCAGTAGTGCGTGGTGAAAGCATTGGTGCTTGGTGAAAGCTTCAGGGAATAAATACTCAATGCACGCAGCCCAATCGGGAAAACTACGCTGCGTCAGTAGAATTGGTATTCGCGCCATCCTTATGGCACAAGATGATTATAGTCTGCAGTAGTTTCATAGTACAGGAAGTCCTTGCTGATATGTGGCTTCACCCATTTAGTTAATTTGCGAGAAACGATCAAAGTTGTAAAATGTGAACCGTGACGCCGTCGGCACGCGTGGCCGCCTCTTGAGGAGTGGGTGCGGCATTGGCGAGGGGTGGCCTCTCTGGTGGCTCAAGAAGGAACTCGCCCGCGCCTCCGATTAGCACGGTTGGCTACGTACGGTGCGAAAGAAGTTCAACATACACACGCGTGCTTTCTCTTTTTTCCCCTCCTCCGCCGCCCACAGGTGGGAAAGCTGTACGTGCTGCACACTCTCACGCTCCCGGGCGGCCCTGACGGCTCGGACGGCTCGCTGCTCGTGCGGACGGTGGAGGCGTCGTGCCGCCTACAGGACACCGGCGACCTCTGCATCCAGAAGGACCACGTGCAGGACAACGCCGTGCGCGAGCTCGTCGACATTTTCAAGTGAGGAACCACGGTTTGCTCCTTCGCCGTCTGTGATGGCGGCTGCCTGCGCCATCGTTTATCGGTTCCCCTTTTCGACCGGCAAATTTGAGCTGAGCGAGCGCGGGAGTCTCATCGCCACCGTTGGCTCTTCCACTGGCAACGTGCCTTGCCGAGGCAGAGCCACACTGCGATTTGATGGCACAAGACATCTAAAAACTAAACTATTTTTTTTTATTTCACCAGGTAAGGCTCACTTAGCTCGAGCTCTTTTTCAGAAGCTCAATGAAGTGGCTTATCATGTGGATATTTACAGCAGCCAATTACTCTAAGCGCATGTTTTGAAATGTGGAAGGAAAAACCGGAGGAAGGACCCGAAAAAAAATCCATGCGACCACAGGGAGAATATGCAAACTCCCAATATACAGTCATCAGGGTTGGGATCGAACCCACGGCCTCCTGTATACCAAGCGAGGTAGTTAACATCTCGCCACCGCGGCGCCCGAGATGGATCTGAATCTAGATCTGAATCTATCTCGGGGCGAAGCAGGGCCAGGAGTGGGGATAGTGACGCGTTCACTGCCTCTGCCTTCAGTCGGTACAGTGTGAGGACATGACGTCGTATTAACGCAAACACACCTTCCTCTCTGCAGTCGCCATAGGTAGCAAGGTAGTTGTTGAGAGGCTGTAGTGGTAGGCAACCTGCTGCCCACGGGCCCCTCCTGGTGGCCTGGTCTCAGTGTGTCCAGGATGATGTGTGGGGGGGGGGGGCACGATTAGTGCACAAGTACCATGTCAAGCTTGCGGCCCACTGAGGCGAAGGAGGGCTGCCCATGTGGCCCACGAACTAGCCCACGTTGTCCATTCCTGCTGTAGATGTGACGACCTGGGCAGTGCACTTAAATTTGTCTTCTGATGTCTCCCTCTGATTTAACGCTCGATGTTGTCACTTTGTCGGCTGCATAACAATGTGTTGGGCACTGCACAGACTGTCATTCCACATGGCCACAGTCATGCTCTCTCTCTCCTCACTTCATTAACGCCTGCAAAAGCTAATTACATTTTAGTAGGGTCGGCCTAGAATCCATCTCGGGCATATCCGCATTGCAAGGACAGACACTATAAATATGAGGGTGAATTTTCTATTGTGTGGGCTAACATGTCCAACATGTCCAGACCTCGTTAGTGACAGTTGGCATCGTGGAGCCTTGATGAACACAACGTGGGTTTGAGAAGTCATGGACGGATATGGTACGAGAGGGTCTGCGGCAGAGCCTCCTTGCCGATTGGCCGGTGCCAGTGGGGCCGGGATCATCTTCTGTAGGGGAGGTCCATGTGGCTTCTATTGAGCAGCTGGTGGTGCCTCTCCGTGTTCCAGCGCCAGCAGCAACACTCTGTGTGTGCGAAGGAGCGTCGCTCGCTACGAGCAGCGCGTCGGGTGGCAAACGCATTCATTCCACTCTGTTAATCCGTTGCACTTGAGATCTGTGCTCTCACCACCTCCCACAGCCACCTTTTTGCCAATCCAAATGTAAACGTGGTCAGGCACAAACCCCATGGTGAAATTGACTCGGCATGTAGTCGTGAATGGCATCCTTTTTTGCTTGTGTGTTCTATTTTCATTGTTTACTACTTACATGGCCGTCTATTGGCTTGGTTCTTCACACTTACAAGTACTGTTTATATCTTAAGTCTGTTGGCCGTGCCTTGATCAAACGCTGAACTTGAGGTTGGTTCCGAGAAGTCGTCTAAAATCAGGAGGGGCGAGGGACTTGAGTTGCTCTGCTCCCTATGGTCACATCATCTGAGAGCTGAGCTATGTTAACACGTGATGATGCTGATTGTAATCTCCCTGCCTCTGGAACCCTATTCCAAGTCACATGACCTGAGAGCGGAGCTACGTTGACACATGATGATGGTGTTTGTAATTTCCAGCGAAACGTCGAGCGAGCAAAATTGCCAACATTTTGCTCCGTTTTCAGCATTCCTCCGGTTTGCTGAAAAATAAATATTTTCCAAATTTTGCCATGAGACAAATTGGTTTTATTGGCTTCGTTGGGTGATGGAGCTTTACAGCTATATTTGACATCACACTGACACAATGGTCTAACCCAAAATAAAACAATTATGAATCTTAATGTATTTTTGTGAATGCCTACGTCTAAAAACAAATGTTTGCTCGTTATCTTTATTTTAGAATATGGGTTGATTGTACGATGGCTTTGCGCTTTAAGTGTAAAGCACCGACGAGATGCTCTTGTGCGTGAAGGGCGCGGTATTAAAGCCACATCGTTGTCTGTGTGTAGGGAGTTGGCTCGGTTGTTCAGCTGCGAGGACAAGGATTGTCAGCGAGAGCTCGAGAACTTCCTCCACAAACTCTCGACCACCATGCACAACCAGGTTGGTCGCCAAAACATTTTAAATGCTTTGGGGGAGAGGGTGGCGTAGGGATAGCCCGCTTGTATATCTCACAACGATCAACACACCCAACAACGCAACCGAGGACTACCGAGTGGCAGACGTTTCACACTGATTGGGTTTTTAAAAGTAATGTCAGAGCCAATTTTGATTTCTGGAAATTTACTTAATTTTACGTTGTTTTACATTCGTGCGGGATTTTTAATCTCTTCTGCAACGTGGTTATCTTTGTGCTGATTTTTGTTTGCTTCGTTGCCATTAATTTACTTCATGTTATTGCTTTTTGACGTCTTGGTGACCCAGGCAATTCTAAAAAACGAAAATTAAACCTCGTGTTGGAACTAAAAATTGTTCCTGCACTCTTGAAGGCCTCTGTAGCCTTCTTGCTTTAAGACCTGAGAATTGTCAATCTTATCCGTATCCAAACTGAATCCTAAACACTCAAGCAGTCAGGCTTTGGATGTGGATGTCGAACAAACCCCCACTTCTTCAATAAGTGACTTCTTTGGTTATTTGGATAACAATTATGCTCCTCTGTATCGATCAATCAAAGCCTTGACATTGTTGACCATAATAACACAGACGGCCAGCATATGGCATTAGCACTGAAGTGGTGGCTATTTCATAGATTACTTGAGGGAAATAAAACCTCAAAGGATCCAGCAGATACCTCTATGGTATCTAACAAACATCCTAAACTTTCTGTGCTTGGTCCCCCATGCTCATAATACCGTTTATAGCTATGTGAGCTAGAAAGTGAGCCCAGATTCAATCTTTATGTTGATACGATACTTTTCAATACCTTTGTCACTTTCCCCAATTGTTATCCGGATTGTCCTATCGGGGTCGCGCCTCGGGGAGACAAGAATCCCATGTGGATCTCGCGCAGAGCAGTGCACAAAACTGCTGAGATCGCTCGAAGCGACCTCTGATTCACAAACTGGAGGCAGCACTTCACGACGGTCAACGTATTTATAATGATCGTGCGATGGGTGTCGGTCATGCCAATTCACCGTTCTGACCTCTATGCCACTGGGCCATCTCTTCTGATAATGCAAGCCTCCCTACAACTGCCACTTCTGTGAACGCCCCCAATACAGCGTTTATCTCCTACCGGCTACCCGAGCCTTAATCAGCCCAATTGCTTTGCGTGTCTGTGCTTGCGCAGTCCCCCAACAACCTAAGCAGGTTTCTGGCCGGCGAAGGCGTTGAAGATTTGCCCGAGGACGAGCCCAGGTGGCAGGTACCAAAACCGGCCGTGGAGGAGAATCCACCAGGTGCGGTACCCTTGCTCACCACACACCTCACCAACCACACTCACCTCACAAACTGCACGCACTCAATGCACCCACTGCACTCAACGGGCCAACCGCACTCACCACACCAACTATAATTACCACACTCGCCTAACTCATAAGACACCAACTGCACTCAACACACCAATGCCACTCACCACACTCATCTCATCCACAGCACCAACCTCACTCATTTCACCAATCAAACTCATCTCAACCACCGCATTCACCAGACCACAACCATACTCATCTCACCAGCTGCAACTCACCACACCAACCGTTCTCCTCTCACTCACAAATCACGCCCATCAGGCACATTAGTGGCCAGTAGATGGCAGCATGGAAAGTAGGTTCCTGAAAAATCTAAAAATACAATACAGATTTCAGGTAAGCCGAATTGCTCCCACAAACATTATTTGGTGAGGAATTGACCAGACATCCCAAACAGAGGCTCCTGTGGATGAAGTCACGTCCGCATCTCCGTGCTCGACCAGGCGCAGTTCTAGTTGCGATCCTATCCAGTTGCTCGTCAGCAATTTAAGTAGATTGTCAGCATATAGGAACAATTGAAGCGCTTGACAATCCACTTTTATATCCGCTTGCCAAAGGCTCAATAATTCAGTCCCTCAGTTTGCTTGATCTCCCTTCCTCTCGCTCAGGACAATGGACTACTGTGGGTCATCAAGATTTTCCAGGATGCCCCTCATTGTGACCACGCTTTCTCTGGGGTTTGATTTCTCACCGCAGCGCCCAAGCGCCAGGAGCCTAAACCCAGAGAGGTGGTCGCAGCGCCCAAGGAGGAGACGGACGAGGGCCCCAGCTTGACCTGTTGGCCACCCTGCGCCAGCATGGCCCTCAACACCAACTCGACGCCAAGTACGTGAGACACGCAGAGAGAGACATTGAGCGAGGCGGAGAGATGTGAATTTCCTTCCTTTGCCATCACAAAAGTACAACCGGTGTGTGATGTTGTATTACGTTACCAACACGTGTGTAAATGGTAGAATGGTGGCTCAGTGGTTCGGGCACGGTACTGTGAACCCCGGCTAATTGAGTTTAATTCCCGGCCACGGCTAACATAAGTTATCCGGTTTCTTCCCAAAGATAAAAAAACATAAACATACAAATGTAATGAGGATTAGCAAAACTATCACAATGTTGAAAACTTGACCACAAATTATTCACTTGGATTTCCACATAGAACCATTACCCCCGACTGGGAAAACTTGACAGGGCCCTCCTGAAAAACAGTTTTGAGACTCACGCAGTGAGGCTTTGCTGGGTAAATAAGCGCAATAATAAATAATACCCCCGATTTAGGAAAACTTTAAATACATCGTGTCTCTCTTCTCTGCCTGCTGTGCACCCCTTGACTTGCAGCAGGGAATATGTCGGGTGCTAACTCTGTTTGTCCTTTCCCTTCGCCAGCGTGCGCTCGCAAGACACTGATGGAGAACATCGAAAAAATGTTCCCTTCGCCACAACCGGAGCAGACGCCGCAGCAGCACACGGAGCGCCACCTCACGCCGCAGGGCGGGGAGCCTGGGGGTGCCTTGCAACAGCTGCCCGGCTCCGCACCGCAGGGCTCCAACCCGGCACACGGACAGAGGTCGGGGAGCGGCCCCTCGAGCGAGGAGGGAGACGTTCACCCGCGCGGGCCCTCTGCTGCCGCCGGTACAGCCACCGGCACGGGTCCTCGTTGATCTTAGCGGCACGGTTTAGATGATACGTGGCAAAATGTTGTATATTCCACAAATGAGAGACTGCGTCCATCACGGCTGATCCGCAGAAAATCAGGCCCAGATATAAAATTTTGGTTGGTCCAAAAAAAAAGTTATTTTAGAAAGATTCTAAAACCGTCTATGATGTCACTAACCATGACATCATGTCCACGGGCCTTTCCTGCCAAAAATAATGTCACGTGGCACTGTCAGCATTGTTGGAAGCACGTAAATGATCCGAATGTCAACAATTTTTCAGAAATTATCCTTAAAATCTGAAATCCCAAATGCTTAAATCTAAACCTCATCCTGCAATCACTTGCAGCCGCTGTGTCCTGTTCCTGATGGTTACGCTCGCCACCTTTTTTCTTAGATGGCCAGGCACAGCAGATGCGACCCGTGTCGTTGAGCACAGACGGCCACTCCAGTGACGAGCCCAAGGACCCAGAGGGGTCGCATTCCACGAGCCGGGGGGCCACTCGGTCCCCGTCCGCTCTCGCCGACTCGGAAGCCGGGGCCCAGCGGCGCCCTGCAGGCTCCGCGGGCCCTCCCCAGCACCCGCCGGAGCGCGTGGACGGCGCTCCGTCTGGGTGAGGGCTCCGCCGGGCGCAACCGCTCTGTCCTTGCGTACGGTGGCAGCAATTGCGTTCGTGAGACGATGGTCAATGTCGAGGCCATCTGGCCACGACGAAGAAGGCTTCAGGAGAGAGAGTTGGTGTGGTTGTGCCCCTCCGTTGAAGGAGCGGCATACTCACGGTGGTTTACTTATGTGGTCCGTAGCTTGGGTTGCATGGCCACGATCGCACTCCTGTGGCTTGTCTGTACTTTTCCATTTATGAAGATGTGTGCATCGGCCTGGTGGTTTCCTGATGCGGTTGATGGGTGGGGATGGTAGTCTTTTTGCGGCCCACCTGTTATGCGTTTTCATGTTTTCTCAAATGCAATGAATACCGTCATCAAGGCGAAATGGACATCGAGTATAGCTCAGAGGTCAACACACATTTTGCTGTTCAACTAGTTTCTATTTGACACCAACTGTTGGGATCCTCAAGCGGCAGTCTGCATCTCTGCGGCCATCTGGAATGCTCTTTCGATATTAGGAAGCCACTGGTTCTATACACTTTTAAATCTAGATTGAAAACTCACTTCTTTAAAACTGTTTTTGCGTTTGGTTTGTTGTCCTACCCCCGCACCTCCAATTAGCACGATTGGCTACGTTACGGTCCGAAAGAAGTTCACCATGCAACACTACCAATAGCCGTAAAGCTTTTGCCCACATTTCTACAGCTCTTCTAAATCGACGTTAAATCCTCGCCACGTAACGATTCCCGCCATCCTCTTGCAGCTCCACAGACGGCGGTTCCTGGAGCCGCTTCGACCCCGAGCGCCGTCCGCCGCCGCTGCCGCTCGGCGTCCCCGTGTGGGAGCACGGCCACTGGCCGCTGGACAGCGGTGCCGGCGAGGAGCTGGCGCTCTCCTCCGAGATGCTTCCCGACCAGCTGGTGCTGCCGCCGGAGCACGCCGGCGAGAGCGCTCAGGCCGTAGGACGCTGGGGGGAGCAGCTGGTGCACGCCTTTCTGCTGGCCTGGAAGGACGACCAGAACGCCTGCCCTCGGCCCACAGCCGTGGAGTGGACGAGCGAGCACGGGCAGAGCGACCTGCCGTACGACTTCGTCGTGCACATGAGCGGCGGTGAGAAGGAGGGGCTCCTCGACGAGCACCGCGCCAACGGTGTCACCGCCAACGCGGAAGGTGGGTAGATTGAAGCCGCTCGTTGCAACTCCACGTTTCTGTGCCAGGGACCTTTGTTTATCAGAAAACCCGGCAGGTGGGCGTGATGGCCACCGATGTCACCAGACGAGAGTGCCAGTGGTCGGTGGAAGGGGTGATCCCGATTCCTAGACCGTGGCCCAGCGGCAGAGCAAATGTCGCACTTTCCAAAGGTCCAGGGTTCGCCCGGGTGGTGGTGGTGGTGGCACTCGTGGCATTGAATCCAGCACTGCCAAGGTGAGGGTTGGTGGATATCAGAATGTTATGAAACTCCCTTGTTGGCGTGAAGGTCGCCATATCCCGGCTTGCCAGTGCATTGCAGGACAGCAAGTGTATTCATCTGCATCTGTTTTCATCTGACTGTTGCCCCCCCCCCCACCCTTCATGAGTGTGGGATTTCTCCGGGTGCTCTCGCTCCCTCCCACATATATAACACTCATCAATGGAGTTGACCAAACTGTCCGGGTTACACACTTGTAACGTTTGTTACTTTCACATCCTGGTTGAGGATTGACTCGGTCCATCATCCCCCAGGCAGTTGATAAAATGAATGCCACTTTGTGGGGGAAGCCAACAGTGGTTGTCCTATGCAGAGGCTGACCCCCGACAATAGGAATATGGAATTTCTACCTTTGGCTCGACTCTAAACGTGAGCTGAGTGCCAAGAGCTCAGTTCTCATTTGAGCAGGATATCACTTTGACTCTTAACTGGGAAATTATTGTGAAACGCACCACAGTCTGGTATCACGATATTATACCGGTAGACTGCTATGATGCTGCCGCAGTGTATTGGTCAACAAAGGCAACTTGTGGGGGTGGGGTAAAGTGTTTCTCCCACCTATTTCACGGCGTCTGGCCAACGTGAGAGTTGACCCTACTACCCTCTAGAGAAGGCTGTGAAGAGCTCTCTCTAGCAGGAGGACTCTTCTGTAGCAGTGGAATGAGCCAAGTAATTGCGGGGCTGCAAATTTACCTGTCACACTTGTACCCGTGTTCCGCTCTATTTGACTTCCGGCCACCCCCTTCCCCCCCCCGCAATGTCCACAGACGTCGTCTGCAAAGATGTCGCCAGCAGCAGAGAGAGAACGATCTACGTGGAGGTGAAGAGCTCTCTGCTGGCGGAGAAGATGCTGTGGGAGATTTCGCCGAAGGAGATGGACCTGGCGCTGCGCCTGGCCGAGCGCTTCCACCTGTACCGGGTGTGCAACGCCGGCGACTCGGCAGCCGTGCGCCTGCACCGCGTCACCAACCTGGCGCAGCGCCTGCACCGCAAGCAGCTCAAGCTCTTCCTCTTCGTGTGACGTTGGCGCACGGCGCCTCTCCACTTTTATGTTGTGCGCTGTCTGTGTGTGTATGTGTGTACGTGCATGTGTGTCTGGCGTGTTTTCAGGTCGTCACCGCGTGCTGTTTCGGCACGACATCCCGACGTTTCGCTCCCACGTGCCTGGGGAGCTTCGCCACAGGAGCTTGAGTGTCGCTCCGAGTTCCCAAACACGTGCAGCGAAATGTCGGAGGTCGTGCCGAACAACGTGCGGCGCAGCCCACAAACACGTTGGAGAGCAGCGCAGCATAACCGCACAAACTTATACATTCATAGGTGTGTGTAGGTGCTTGCTCACAGTATACTGCCCCAACAGTCTGTACGGCCGTATGCGGACACTTTGGCTGTTTTGTGCAGCGCTGGCCACTGCTGCTTTATGATCACAGATGTCCATCCATATAATTCCATCTTAGCCGATGATGCAGGCTGACAGACGGTTCGGACAGTCAACTTAAAAAAAAATCTTATCTTTGTTGGGAAGGCCCACACTACCACGCGCTGTATTTAATGTGTTTAAATTCAACGTGTGGAAGTGCTTTAAATTTTTTGTACGACCAATTTTAGAATTTTATATTTTTTGTGGAAGACCAAATATTACTACATTTTGGAATCGACAACTGGCAGTAACAGTAAAAAAACATTCTAAAGGGGCATTTCTTGTTACTTTTTGAAGTTTGTAATCTTTTTACCATGTTCAGGTAAAACAACCCAATATATTACACTTTTAATACAATTGTTGCGTTGTTAAATTTTTACACGAACATTTGAATGGCCAATTAATACTGTATTTTAAACAATGTTAAAATGTTATGATAGATGCTTTGTATGGGGCAGTCTTGCTTGCCAGGTAGTAGCATCGGTGAGTTTCTAGGAGCAGGACAGAATGTTACATTCCAAGCCCCTATCTCAAGCTGAGCCGTTAGAGGTCAGTTAAAAAAAATTCAATTTTTACAAAGCGCAGATTAAAACTTTTAGGGATAGGCTCTTTTTAAAAAAAGCGGGAATAAACTTTTCCCATTACCAGTTGGCTCTTCTGGAAATTATCCAGTTCACTCCATTGTTCAACTCTTTTTAAAAAGTTTTACGTTTTGCGACCTTTTAAAGTGATATTTCCAAGAGTAAAATAGAAATATTACAGTGTACATTCCCCCTTACTAATTCCCACTGACAAAATCCGTTACCTTTTTTCCCCATTTTGGTGAAAATTTTCAGTTTCTATACCAACCAATTTGTAAAGCATTTAACTGTGCTAACTGAAATTGACGTAGCCGTCCAGAGGCACACTGAATGTTTCTATGGCCCCTGCACGTTACAAACCACTGTTTTGCGATGTACTTGAATGTTAGTCTTTTGGCAGGTAAAGTGTAGGTACGCCCGCCTCTTCAAAGTCACCTGGCCAGCGTGAAAGAGCAGGCCCAGGTATCTTGTAGAGCTCCGACTCGTGGAGGCCCTTCTGCCGGAACACCAATTTCAGAACTGCAACTTTGCCTTTTACCTTTTTTCACTCTGGTAGCAAAAACTGATTCCTCTCTCAGAAATGTACATTGGGCACACCACTCCTGCAGGAGGGCATGCAGCTCTGTCCAGGACAATGTGGTAGAGATAAGAATGGAGTTCTTGAACTCAAGAACGGAGATATTTAGTTGATGGATGCTGGTGAATGCACTGGGAAGGTACAACACATTCCTACAGCTGTGTGTGCTTGCTCTTGGTAACAGGACCCCCGTCGATCGGTATCAAGGCTGTTGTATATTACAGTTTGAAGAAGAGTAAGATGCGGTTGATTAAGACTTTTGGGCTTAGTATCCAGATTGCGTTGTTGGCATCGTGACATCACAAAATCCCCTTTCAGAGGATGGTAATAGTGAGCAGTGCACAATGTGGTGGTGTCAGGGAGGCCCCTTCATCAGCGCTAGGTGATGGACCTTGATGCCTCGTAAAGAGTGTCATGTGACATCGGCTAAATAATGAAGACTTCAGAGATTACTATAACTAATATGGGAGGTGGAAACCAAGTTTAATTGAGCGTTTTTTTGCACGGGTTTTTGTTGATTAGGCTGAAACCATGGACTTGGCAGTTTGACAAGATCATTCAATGGGTGACTGTCCACATTTCAACCCAGGAAAGCAGTGGTCCTGGATTATTGCTCTGAAATGTACATTTGCCTGATCTGTTCTATTCTAAACAATGTTTTGTTTATGTATAGCGAAACACAAGACTGATCGTTAAATGCTGTACTTCGAGGGCTACACATTTAATCTGCTAAATGGTGGTATGCTTAATTGTACATGATAAACATTGATTAATATATATGCTTGTGTAACAAAGGTAATACATTTTCAGCATTTTTTTTACAACTTTTGTAATCTTCAAAAAAAATGCATATACCAAGTACAAGTTTGTTGAGTGGCATTGTTATGTTTTAGTTGTGAAAAACGTTACTTGTTTTACCCTGTTATCGTTTCATATGGCATCGTAACAATGTAATGGATTAGTTTAAAACAGTTTAAACATGGATCCACATCAGTTTTTTTTCTCAGAATTTGACATTACAATATTTTAACATTTGACACTTTTTCAGATTTTGTTTCTCTCACGTGCTTTACTAATGTATGTGTGTACAATATAGAAAATATTAAATTGGGATGCAGTATTTTAAAAGGACGTTTAAACGAACCGTTTAAAAAAAATTACCAAGTGACTGCTGCAAAAAGGGATAGCTGAAGAATTGCTGATACCGCTGGGGAGAAAGTCGTTAAATGTTTACGCGTCAACAACGCAGGTAAACCTTTGCTGTGTTTGTTGTTGTTGCACCGATGGGAAACTGTTTAATAATAATTCCATTTTAGACAGTGTTACGATGGGTTTCCTTTGTCGGGCAGGTTTCAGGGCAGGTGCAAATCTTCAAGGAAGGATTTATGATCGCTACAGGATCTTAACATGTTCTTAAGGATCATTTGTGTAACTAAAAAAAAAACCTTTTGGGTGAAATTTCACTGAGTTTTCAAAAAACAATGACATTCCTCTGAATTGTGCGAATAAACATTGTTTCAATGTTTCTGTAAATGTCCATTCTCTTTCTCAAAGACGAGCCTGCGGCTCAAACAATGGTCCAAGTTTATTGAATCTCACTCCCTCTGACCTCCAAGAAGTATAAATGGGTGCGCCGCAGCCACTCCAGTCGGTCACCGGCAGGTTGCTTGTGAAAAAGGTCTGGGAGGTAACTCTGAAACCATTTTATTGTACCCTCTGAACATTTTTAGTTGAACGAGTTGCATATTGATGGCAAGTGGCAAATGCTTTTAACAAGTTAAGGAATGGTGCACAGCCGTTTAAGGCCTTTATCCAGGTTACTGAAGAGGAAATGTGATGCATCCATCATAGCTGTGGTAGTGCTTTAATCCTCTCTAAAACCAGACTGTTTACTGTGCAGGAAATTTGAGTTTTTATGTAACAGTTTGTAATTTTAATAATTGTTCCCAAATATAGCAACTGGTAAAAGAATAGAGATTGGTCTTGATTTGAAGCTTTCGTGACTGCAGGAATCTATACTCTTTGGTTCTTTCGGTAAAGTCACGTAGGTAGAAAAAATAATAGATGACATTTCGATCGCAACGAAAGCAATCGTCATCAGGCCGAAGAGCGGAGGGAAGCTGCTGATGCAGGCTGCTTTTAAAGGTTAGAGATGGGCATAGCCCCAGAGTCATAAACGAAGTGGGGGGGGGGGGGCTAGTGATGTTAAAGTGATACATTTGCATGTAAATATACTGTGTAAATGTGATTGGCATGTCAATGTAAGCTCGCAGCGCCGTTACATCGAGGACTGCATGTCAATGTAATAATTTGTATGTAAATGTGAATAGCATGTCAATGTAAGTTCGCAGTGCGGCTTCACATTGAGGACAGCATGTAATCGTAAGATCGGCTTGCAGTGCGCCGTCACATTGAGGACTGCATGTAAATGTAAGAAATTTGTATGTAAATGTGATTAGCATGTCAATGCAAGTTCGCAGTGTGCCTTCACATTGAGGACAGCATGTAATCGTAAGATCGGCTTGCAGTGCGCCATCACATCGAGGACTGAATGTAAATGTAAGATCGGAGAAATGTGCATGTTAATGTACTTAGTAAATGTGATTGGCATGTCAATGTAAGCTCGCAGCACGCCTTCACATCGAGGACTGCATGTAATCGTAAGATCGGCTTGCAGTGCGCCGTCACATCAAGGACTGCATGTAAATGGAAGATCAGAAAAAGCTAAAAAACCACAGCCACCTCGGAGCAAGCAAACGACGGTAGCTGTGTTAGTGAATGTAACTCAGTCGCAAATAACTGCTGACATAGGCAGGTAGGAAGGGAACATCACCGCCAGTTATGACCTAAACTGGTGAGTAACGTCCTTCCAATGATTGCTCAGTTTGAACCCATCTTCGCAGTTGAAATTGTGTCTGTTTATATATCTGGATGGCTTAATGAACGAATCTTTTGACGGTAGCCCGAAGGTTTGCAGAGCACCTTGGTCTCGGAAAAAAACTGTCGTGTGTGCCCACAGCGTTAAAACAATGATCAGCCACGGCCGAGGTATTGGTCCTACCGTGTATCAGATCTGCTTAGTTTCCCCAATGGAACTACTTCCGCAGACACAACTTAGCTTGTAGACACCGGAGTATTGCATGTCAGGGATCATATCCTTCACAGATGGGATCAGATCACGAATTTTATGTACTGTGTTGAATCGAACCTGGATCTTGTTTGCTCATGATTTTGGAAATATTTTGGTGACCCCTGCTATGTATGGCAAGGTGATGATTTTGATTGGGTCCTCAGATGGTTCTCTACCAACGGTTGGGGTGACAGCTTTATGGATTGTGCAGTCCGAATATCCATTCATCTTGAGGGCTTGATGTACGTGCTGCAGTTCACTGGCGAGGTGGTGATGATCAGAATTGCAACGAGCCCTATGGTGTAGAGTTTTGATGAGGGAATTCTGGGCTGGATGGTGGTGGGAGTCAGGTTTTAAATAGGTATCCGTGTGGGTGCCTTTCTTGTAGACAGTGTCCCAATGAGCCATCTGGTCTCTTTTCGATTAAAACATCCAAGAATGGTAACTTGCCATCCTTTTCCACCTCCATGGTGAATTGTATGGCTGGGTGTATGGAATTGATGTGGTTGAAGAATTGGTTCAATGCTGGCAGGCCATGTGGCCAGATGACGAACGTGTCATCTACATATCTCTTCCACAAGGAAGGACGTAGGAAGGATGCCTGGATGGCATCTGTCTCAAATTTTTCCATGAAAACATTGGCTACCACTGGAGATAAGGGAGAACCCATTGGGGTACCTTCAACTATTTATTCCAGGTGAAGTAAGTGTAGGTAAGGCAGTGTCTCACCAGGGCCAGTACATCAGCATTCAGTCCTTGTTGGACCAATTCTTCAATGATTGCAATGGTGTCAGGCACAGGAACTTTGGTAAACAAAGAAACTACAGAAATTGAAAAGCAAATCACCTGGAGATAGTGTGATGTCTTTAATTACAGATACCAAGTGAGCTGAATTAAGCACAGCTGAAGTGGTCTTGCCAGTGAATGGAAGCAAGGTCTCAGACAGAAATCGGGCCAGTTTGTAGGTGGGTGAGTCAATGGTGGAGACGATAGGACAGAGTGGTGTCCCTTTACGGATTTTTGGTAAACCCTAAAATCTGGGTGGTCTAGCAGCAGAGGGTTTAGAGAGAGCGGCTTGGTTGGTTCGATTAAAAATGTCGAATCAGTGATGATATTCTAGATTTGAAGCTTTCGTGACTGCAAGGATCCATACTCTGGTTCTATTCGGTAAAGTCAACTACGTGACTTTACCGAATAGAACCAAAGAGTAGTGATATTAAATTTTGATTTAAAGCTTTTGTGACTGCAGTAATTCATATTCTTAGTTTTTTCGGTAAAGTCATGTTGAAGAGAAACAACAAAATAACAAAATATATATAAAACAATAACAAAAATTCTCACGACGTTTCGACCATAACTCAAACGGTCATCATCAGGTGTGTTGGTTTGCATAAATGTATTTTTAAAACGGCACATTTATTTATTTATTTAAAAAAACCGTTGGCGTCACGCGCAGCGATTGGCAGTTTGCCCAGGACTAGTCCATCTATTTTTTTGAAAAGAGGAGGGGGGAGACGAAATTTTTTATAATGTATGCTGTCTGAAAGCCACTGTAAGCGTGAACAATCAATCAAGAACTGAAATGATTTATCAAATCTTTCCAATGATTGCTAAGATAGAATCCATCTTCTCGGTTGAAATTGTCTCTGTGCTTGTATATGTGGATAGCCTCATGAACGAATCTCTCATGGAAGCCAGATGGCTTACAAAGAACCTCCGTCTTGGAAAAGTCAATGGCATGTGAGCCTACTGAATTAGAACAATGATCTGCTACGGCCGAGGTGTTGGTCCTACCGTGTTTAAGGTCTGCTTTATGTTCACGAATGCGGTCCGAGACATGGCGTTTGGTTTCTCCAATGTAACTACTACCACAGAGGCAACTTAGTTTGTAGACACCAGGGTATTGTATGTCCGGAATCACATCTTTTACAGACGGAACCAGATCACGGATTTTATGTAATGTGTTGAAACGGACCTGGATCTTGTGTTTATTCAAGATTTTGGAGATCTTTTTTGTGATCCCCACAATGTAGGGTAAAGTGATGGTTTTGAAAGGCTCCTCAAGAGGGTTCTTCTTCATGGTTTGAGTGGTAGCTTTGCGGATTGTATAGTCGGAGTAACCATTAGCCCTAAGAGCTTGGTGTACGTGCTTGAGTTCACTGCTTATGTGTTCCTGGTCGGATATGCATTGGGCCCTATGATACAGAGTCTTGATGAGAGAATTCTTCTGTGATGGATGGTGGTGGGAATCCGGTTTCAGATAAGCATCCGTATGGGTAGCTTTCCTGTAGACAGAGTGGCTCATTGAACCATCAGGTCTCTTTTTAATTAGGACATCCAAAAAAGGTATCTTGCCATCTATTTCGACTCCCATGGTAAATCTGATGGCTGGGTGTATGGAATTGATGTGGTCGAAGAATTGGTCTAGAGCAGGCCGGCCATGTGGCCAGATGACAAAAGTGTCATCCACGTACCTCTTCCATAAGGTTGGGCGCAGAGTGGCAGTCTGGATGGCGTCAGTCTCAAATTTCTCCATGAAAATGTTAGCTATAACTGGAGAAAGGGGGGAGCCCATTGGGGTGCCCTCAGTTTGTTTGTAGAAAGTTCCATTCCAAGTGAAGTATGTATTGGTTAAACAGTGTCTCACCAGGGGGGGTACCTCAGTGTTTAGTCCTTGATGAACCAAGTCTTCAATGATTGCAATGGTGTCAGGTACAGGAACCTTGGTGAATAAGGAAACTACATGAAAACTGACAAGCAGGTTGTCTGGGGACAGGGAAATACCCTTGATTGTCGATACCAGGTGAGTAGAATTTTGTACCGCAGAGGTGGTCTTTCCAGTGAAAGGACGCAGGATTTCAGACAAAAAACGAGCTAGTTTGTAGGTGGGGGAGCCGATAGTAGAGACTATGGGACGAAGGGGTGTATCTACTTTATGTATTTTTGGTAAGCCGTATAATCTTGGTGGCCTGGCAGCAGAAGGTTTCAACGAAAACTGTTTAGATTGATCAATTAATGCGGTTGAATAAGAAATTATTTTGTTGGTTTGTGTGACGAGGATGTTGGTGGAATATCTTTTTATTTTTGTATAACTATCATCGTCGAGTAATTCTTTAATTTTGTTGTATTCTATTTTATCCATGATGACAGTAGCATTGCCTTTGTCAGCTGAGAGGACTACAATATCATTCCTCTTTTTTAATTTATATAATTCAAAACGCTCATCTTTGCTGAGGTTGCTAGCTGGCATCTTAGCGTTTTTGAGGGTTGCAGCGATTTCAGATCTTGCTACGTCTGCAGCGATGTGACCCAGGCCCCTGAGAGCAACATCTACTTGGGCAATTATATCATTAACTGGTATGTGTTTAGGTGTGACTGCAAAGTTTAGACCTTTAGC